AGTCAACCTCTTCGATTATTACTAACGGCACCGTAAGAATGGCGGGGTAAGAGGTGATTATGAGTGGGGCATTACGGAAGAGGGCGCCTGTCCTGCGAAAGCCGAGGGCATTGTGTGACAGAAGGCTCCAGTCGAGAGAGTGGAGAATTCATCGATTTGGTCGATTGACAGACGACAGCCAGGAAGAAGCTAATACCCACATGAGCGCCGATCTGCTTGGTTGGGGCAATGGCCACAGTGAGAGAGCAGACAGAAGGTGACGGTTTAGTAAACAGAATTGAGAATGGTTGTGTGATCCCAAAGGCCTGGCTAGACTTGAGTTGATAGGCAGCTGGCCAGTTGATTTTAGAAAAGAAAGTATCCTGCGTGCGCTAGAGAAGGCAGCAACTGTCCATGGAACCCTGTCGCGCTCCGAAATCAAAAGATTTCCCTCAAGATAGTGAATGTCCGTCGCCCACGATGCCCTGGTCTAGCACGGTGACTGAGGTCATTCGGTTTAGACGCTAAGCATCCTAACCTCGGATGGAAGAGCAAGGCATGGGGGGTGTGGGCAACAGGTTTATGTTATTTCTTTTTCCGACTCTTGGCAGCCGTTGGTCGTCGTCGGCGGCCGTTCGTCCAGTGGAGGAGTGGTGCGTGTTTTTTTTTTAGTCTGACAAGAACGTCTCGCCGACCGATGGCTAAACCAGGCGTCATACAGCACCTGTCGCCCACTAGCCATGGGGAGGAGGCACGGAGGATGGGCTGAAAAAAAGCTCGGGCTCGAGGAGGATCTGTGAGTTGGACTGGGGCTGGCGGAGCGATTAGGTCTAGGGTGAGGAGGTAGACGAGTGGTGTGGTCCGTGGTGTCAATGTTTGCTGAGGTGCTGAGAGGCTGGGTGAAGCACCCCGGCTCCGGAGCGTATTGAACACAGTCACCGGGACTCCAGCGGGGGCTACGGACAGCCTGCACACCTTGGAATTGCGAGAAGTAATCAAGGGCTTGAGTTCACGAGGCCGTAGTAGGCCAAGTCCAGATCATGGGCCGAGGTTCCAGTCCAGCATCGAAACAAGATTTTTATGATTCATCGGAGCCCTGGTCGAGGAACGTGCGACCCATTTTGTGCAAAGGTAACGAACAACCAGTGGATGGTTTCGATTGAAAGCCTTACGCTACAGCGGCAGCAGTTGTCGGCCAGTTGGTGTTTCGTAGCGCAGGTCAAGACCGCGCAATGAAGACGGATCCCGACATCGCTGGACCTTTGAGCTGGACCAGGTGGTGAGACCGAGCCGGACCAAGGGCTTGTCGAGAGCCCGGCATACCAGGTATGCAATAAATTAACGGGAAGGCTTGTGCAACGAAAACCCATTAGCTGGGATGTTGTGCGGGAAGGCCGGAAAATGGTTGAATTGAAATCTGTCAATTGTCAATGGGTTGATCACTATCAAAGTTACATCCTTGAACTTGAGCAGGCAAAGGTTTGATTGCCCCCAGTAACTTGCTTGCAAGGCGGCCGACCAGAATATTGTCTGTCTGCTTATTTTTCGCTCTCCCTTCACTGCATGCGTGTGCCGCACATGCCTGCCTGCTTGTTCTCTTCCTGGCTGACTTTCTCCCCGCCTGCTCCCCTGTATTCACTCGCCTGTTTCGGCTACTCTTTCGAATTGACAAGAGAAAGAGAAGAAAAGGTGGAAACGCCGGAAGTCAACATCATGGGTGGAAGGAACCCATGGGAGAAAGTAGGTGGAGTGGTGGCTGGCAGCTGCCTGACCCTGGCTTGGAATACCCTGAACGTGGTGGAGGTCGGAAGGAAGGAGGCAAGGAGCCTTTTCTCAGCAATGACCAACAGAAAGAAGGAAACCATGTCAAATTGTTCTTGCTCTTGTTGTCTTCTATGGAGTGTGGACGCACGATGCCTTGCTCTTTCTTGCTCACTACCATCGCGCACCAGTCAGGCGGCATTTATGGAGTACCTTCTACTTCTTGTTTTTCTTTTGGCCTAAGGTTCTTGCCTTGCCATGGGCTTGCCAACAATTTCGCTCAAGTTTCCTTTCGTATCTGACCCAGGTCATACCATAGTAAGTGTCCAGGCCCCAGCAGTTCGACAAATCTCCTCTTTCCATGGATATCACGGCCGATAACATCGAGGATGATGCTGCTTTACGACTAACACTCCCCAGATAACACACCTCGCCCAATGGCGCCCACGCCATGCCATGCTTTCCCTTGCCTCAGCTCAGTGCCCTGCTCATGCTCCCCAGACTCGAGGTACACACGCATTTTCTTGATCCTGTCCAGCTTTTGCCAGGACTCCCCGTCATGATATCGGTCGGCGCGGGACATGAAGCTGCCCAGACCAGCTGTTTAATCACCTTCGTTTCTTTTTGCTATTCCTTGTCGTTTCATTGTTACACACTGACAAGTCCTTGCAGCCTGCTCTTTGCACGCGACGGGGCACTTCACTAATCGAATTGTGGTCTCGCACGCCCACACAGCTGCCCTCTCACGGTACTATCACCCAATGAAGATGGGCCATGATCGCATATCATGCATCGCAGCCTCGGGTACGCATTCCTTAATCGACTGTGCGCCACTGATCTGGCATTGAGACAAACCCAACGAGGACACCAGAGGTTACCGGGACCACCAACCCGCGTTCTCCTACTCGGAACCCCAACTAGCTCTTCAACTGACCGCAACGAAACTGCCTTCCCTGTCTCCGAGACCCGCAACCCGGCCAGAGCGCCGAACTGGCTGGCTGTGGACGGGCGAATTCGAGGCGAGACAAGGCCAGCCAAGTTGAGGGTAGCGTTACAAGATCTGCCATTGACATGCGCATGGCCCTCTGCCGCACAGTGCAGCATGTCTGTGCTTCAGCGTCAATGTCGGGAGACCCAGCCAGCGCACTAAGATCAGAGATCCATTCACCTAAGGTGGCTAGCCAAGATACCTATCTCAATGGTAACGCGCCTAAAGCCTTACCAGTCAAGGTGGTCCGGAGTTAATGTCTAGGCTCGGCAATCGCCCACGAACGATCCTTTTGGTTCGTTGTACTAAGGCGATGGCGCTGTGCTTGGAGGCAGAAAAGAAGCGTCGAGAAGACAACGAAGCATTACAGGTGGGACTATCCGTTCGCTGAACCTGCATCCCCTCTCCCGTGATCTCTATCAATTACTGCCTTTAAACAATGCCTCAATCCAAACGTTTAGTCGCAGAGGCATGCAGTCGGGGATCCATCATTTAAAAAAAAAAAAAAAACCCCAATTGAAAATGACGAGATACTCGAAGGCCGGACGCTTTAAACTTTTCCTAATGATGTACGCCCGAACCACACATCGCCGACCGGATGACATAAAAACAATGGTTGGAAAGAGCAAAACTTGTGACGGAACACTCAGTCCCTAGAGTTGCGAACCCGAACATGTAGTTTATTCCCAGCACGCTCAATATCAACGATCTGACTGTCTTGAAACCAAATAACAAAGATCATAATAATAACAGACACGGGGAATAGCAGTTCCAAAGAGGAGCGGTGCCAAGCCGAGGCCGGGTCACGGTGCACGGCCTGGCGGTATAGCAGGTATCGAAGAGACTGAGGACCGGTGGTTGTGCCGTGCCCTGTCCTGCCTCGCTGTTTAATGGCGTCAACCGCAGCTGCCGCTGGGTCATTGTCTGCCGGACTGCTGGGACACTCTCAGTGCGCCTCGAGTGCAGGTACAGGATGATTTGGTCGAGCAGCTTGAGGTTAAGACCGGTCGCGCTGGTTGTTGACGAAATGGATTGCAAAAAAAGAAAGAAAAAAAAATAGCTCGAGACGAATGCTGGCCTGGTCAAACTGTAGGCGTAGTGTGTAGTGGAGCTACCGACGGCGGTTCGACATGGTTGCTTGCTGATAGCTGAGCGAGAGCTTCAGAAGGGCGTGGACTTGGCTACCCTTGAGGCGCTGTGCTGCCTGGCTTGAAGACAACCAGCCTCGGTGTGCCGTAGTAAGACAGTGACTGATCCTCAAAATCAAGTCTGGACAGGTCAAGTCAGGCCTAGGCTAAGGACATCGAACCGGCTACTAGGACTCTGAGATTGGAATTCGACCCTTCGCACAAGGGCTTTGCATGCTTTGAGTTGCCATACTCTGTGCCCTTCTAGGGAACCAACGCTGCTCAAGGTGCCCACAACCACTCAACTAACCAAACTGTAATGGCAGGAGAGAGATAGAGCAGGACAAGACATCTAATTAATACAAGGCTCTCGACCATCCAAACCACGTTCATAGGCGCATTACTGTTGGACCCTCGCTGGAGACATTGGACAGAGAAAGCTCGAATTCAGATCCATCGCACCTCTCTGATGCCACAGTCACAATCATGCCCATGTGTACATGCCCATGTCCTTTCGGGGTCCAGTGTCATGGCGTGGATGGGCATGCGTGTGTATCCGGATGAATGTGTGTGTGTGTCTGTTGCGAACAAGCCGCCCACCTCATTTTCACTGTCCATCCAGCGGCCCTGGCTCTCAGTTCGCCGGGGTTAAAGGTTGGTCATGGCAAGGTGTCTGGTATCATTGATCCGTAGCGTGGGAAGAGAAGGGTCGGTTGAGGTCGGGTGTGTTGGCCCATGGGTTGGGCCAGTCCAGTCCGGTCCAGTCCACAAGTCCATGTCCACGTCCATGTCCCCCGGTTCAGTCGCAGTTGCGGTCGGGTGAGGCAAGATGCTCTATCAGGTATCGGTACCTTGTCTCGTCAAAGTACTCCGTACTTGAGCAATTGATTGTGAGGGGACCAGGCCTGAGATGTCCCGTCCATTTTCTGGCTTCATGATATTCTGTCCTACTATTCTCTCTTCAGTTCTGCTTTGCGCTTGCTGGGCCCTGGGCCTTCTTGTCTTTTGCCCTGCCCTTTCGTCCCACACCAAAGCTCCTCCTCCACGTCGTCCGTCCGCTTTAATGTGCCCAGTCATTGCCTTGCCAGCGTCCCCTCTGAAAGGCCGACAGACCGACCGCAACTGACTGGGCTTGCCATCAGGCCATGGGTAACCCCAGTCGCAGCCAACGGACCCCTCTCCTTCTGGTGCAACGCTGCTCCAGCCACGCCCCTCATCCGAGGAGGAGAAAGGCCAACAACAACGGAGTCCAGTCCTGTGAGTGAGTGTAAGAGGCCCTTTACGCCATTTTCTCTAGTCACACACCCCTGCTTTGGGCTCGCCTCAAGACCGCTCTCTACCCACCGAACGGCGACGGTTAGCTTAGTACGCCGTACCACCCTTCAAGTGGCTCAGGTAGCTAGCTGAGAATTTACTCGACACCACGCCCCAGCCCGACGCAGTGGTCAAGACCGAAGAAGAGACGAAAGAGGACCAGACAGCGACAAGGAGATAGAGGCGAAGACCGACGGCAGGATCGTCTACCGACGCGTTGAAGCCGCTGCGGATAAGCTGAAGCAGCCGTCAAAATGCAATGGGGTTTAGGGAATGAGTGCAAGGACGATGAGAAACAGAACGTGTTGTTGCTAACTAAGGCAAGGTACGGCACAAGGCGGTGCTTTGAGAAGTTACACGCTCCTGGGGACTTGAGGTACCTGGCAGTTAGCGGGACACAAGACGATAAAATGGGAGGGGAAAAAAGGACACAGAAATTGCGATCATGACAAGCAAAGCCTCCACTTTTCTCAAAAGGCTTCTGTATCTCTCCATCCAAGCAAGAGCTGAGGATAAATCGGAAGGTAAAAGGTACAGTCTAGTTCCGTCCACACACAAGAAATAGTATCCACACGGGAGGAGACCAAAAAAAAAAAACCACCGATCACACAGCCGGCACCAAATGGCACATGGCCGAGTGCCTACCTAGCCGCGCAAAACAATACAAAAGATAGAGTCCAAGAGCAAGAGACAGCTATAGAAAGCAGGAGTAAGGACTAGGCGATGAAGCGGAGGCACGGTGGCTCCGGTCCTAAAAGCCCAAGTCAAATCCTCCCTAAGAAGCGAAGCACGGCGCATCGAGTGTGCGTGTGGTTCTGTGTGCGGTTCTTTCTCGAGTGCGAGGTGCTCTGTGGTGGGTGTATGGACTGTGTAAGGCAGGTAGGTAGGAGAGGTACCGACCCTGATGCTGATGCTTTGGCCAAGTGCCAAGATACCTTGACTTCGCTTCGTCCAGAGCTCTCCGGAGATACGTACCACTTGTCCGTTGCCCTTACCTCTTCCCGACTCACACACCCCTTCTGTCGCCTGCCCCCCCCTCTTCCTCCTCTTTCTCTTTCCATCCCATCCAGCCTGGTTCAACACCCCCTCCGGTACTAGGTACTTTGGCCCCTCGCTCTCACCCTCCCCCATGGATGGTGGCTCCTTCCACCCCGGTCGACGGACAGTCCACTCATCCAGCAGCAAAGAACGGCCAAACCCACCACTCTCTGGTCTCCCCGGGACAGGCCCTCGCCTGTGCCATTTTCAATCTAAACCAACCTTGTCGACCACCGTACCGCCGCACCGCTACCTCGCTGTATTATTCCCCCCTCCCCTTCCTTTGCGTTGTGTACCACAATACTCCGCTCTACCCTACCCTCTGGCCTCTTACCCCCGGCCTTGTGCTCGCTGTCCTGCCTCTACTCCGCTCGTCCTCAACCCGCCCACGGTGCTTGTGCTGGAGCTGTGGTCCCCGTACCGCAGTACCGCAACCCGCACCACTCTGCGGATACCGCAGTACCCCAGTCAAGTACCTCAACCTGCACTGCACCTACCTGTCCTTACCTTGTCTACATTGATCTTAGCTGCACCGGCTGGGGGTGTGCGTATGGACTGTATGGATGGTGGTCGTCGACCTGCCTCCTCTTCTTTTCTCACCACCAAAAACAAAACCTTCCCACGCCCGGCTTCTTTCTTTTCCTTCTACCTCTCACGACTCCACCAACCACCTTCAATATTCCATTAGGATAGCCCAAGAGGCGAGGACGGTAAGTCTGGACAAACTTCTTCTTTACCTCCAATGCCTCTTCATCCACCTTCTCGCTCCTCTCTATAAGCGCCATCTGCTTTTGGATTCTCTTCCTGCATCTCCTCTGCACCCTCCCCCCATCTTATACGCCAACTCTAGCTAATGTACCTGCATTAGAAGAGTTGGGTGAGCTCGACGAAGAGAACAGAAAGGAAAAAATTTCAGAACGACTCCGCAGCCGACGAAGCTTGTCTGGTCTTGAAAGTGTTTGTGTGCTGCGTCCGGTACCTGCCTGAATAGACCTTCATACAAACGGCCTCCACCGCCTGTTACTCAGCTCCCACAAGACAAGAGCATCCTCTCGCTTTTTAACCCTCACCATTCTCAGCGCCCTCGTGCTACACGCCAAGCAAGTAGAGAAACGGAAACTCGATTCGTTCTGTTCTCTTTAACTTGAACCCTCCACAAACGACTTCCAATTAGTCGGTGTTAGAGCTGACGACTTTCGACAAGAGACAGCACTCCCATCCTAGCTGCAACGATCCACCGTCAGATGCCACGATCATAGAAAGCTCCTGATTTTTTGTCACGACTGCTTACGACGCCCACGACCGTCCTGATCTGTTTTACGCCCAAAAGTTCCGTACCACGGCCCTCGTTCCAATCAACTCGTAGCATCCTCACCGCTCGAATCAACTTTGCAATCTTTTTGCGCTGTCATTTCTCCAACTGATTCCAATTGCGCTCACACCTGGACCGTTTGGACAAACCAATCTGGCAGGTCAACCATTCGACGCCTGTCAAGAATCGCGCAGCTCTTCCTACGTTTAATCTCTGCAGCTGTTGCAGTCTAGAGGCTCACTTGACGACTCGGACCGCACTGACCGTCTGCCCTTTGGTAGAAATCTCTGGTTAACACCGTGAAGCTGGATTTACCGTCGATTTCTCAAGTGCAAACCCGGGGACCGACCGACGTGTCGTATTACAACGCTCACACAGCTCAGAGACCCTTGTACATGAGCAGCGAGAGATTGCCGTCTCTGCCATTGCCAACTCCGTACCAGGCGTACTCGTCGGGTACCTCGTCACCCCGGGTCAGCTCCATTGGCTCTGCATCAAGCTCTCATACCGGCTCCCAGTCGTCTTTCACATCGGCCACATCCTCCAACGGCCCAAAGACTCCCTCTCCCACTTTCCACGTCACCGCCGCGATTCCTGGTTCCTCGAGCCAGCCCATCAGTGCTTACGATAATTACCCCGCCATGAATCAACCCGCAGCCGACATGTACTATTCGCAACACATGTCCGCCGGCCAGGCGCCGCCGCCCCAGACTGTCACCTCTGGCGCCATGTCTTACCACTCACAGCCCCCGCCGTTACAACCAAACCACCTGCCTCAGTACCAGCAGCCCCAGTATGGCCAGCCACCCTACGGATACGCTAATGGGTTGACCTCGCCTCAGAGCGCTCCTCCCGCCGTTTCCAACCAAATGGGTGGCCAAAATGTTCTTCCTCTGCCCGGCGTCGCTACTCAGGGCTTCCAGGGATTTGACACTACTGGTCAAGTCGCCCCACCTGGCATGAAGCCCAGAGTGACGGCCACTTTGTGGGAGGATGAAGGCAGCTTGTGTTTCCAGGTCGAAGCTCGCGGCATCTGTGTTGCGCGCCGAGAGGGTAAGTCCAATTTCGGACTGAATTTCACATTCCCTTGCTGACACGACTGCAGATAATCACATGATCAACGGCACCAAGCTTCTCAACGTAGCGGGAATGACCCGTGGCCGGAGAGACGGAATTCTCAAGAGCGAGAAAGTGAGACATGTCGTCAAGATTGGCCCAATGCACTTGAAGGGTGTCTGGTGAGTTTTACAGCCAAGCATTCTCCGTACTGAAGCTAATACGAGATAGGATTCCCTTTGAAAGGGCATTGGACTTTGCCAACAAGGAAAAGATTACGGAGCTTCTATACCCGTTGTTCGTCCACAACATCGGCGCCTTGCTGTACCACCCTACCAACCAGACCCGAACCAATCAGGTTATGGCCGCCGCCGAACGTCGTAAGCAGGAGCAGAGCCAGATGCGTGGTGCTCCTCAGACCGGCGGCCCAGGGCTACCCTCTATCCAACAACATCACCACCACATGGGTTTGTCGGGGCCTCAGCAGTCTCTGCCGTCCCACGCTCAGATGGGGCGTCCGACTCTTGACCGGGCACATACATTCCCTACGCCGCCCACTAGCGCTTCCAGCGTCATGGGTGGAAGTATGAACGCTTCTGACAACGGTTTTCAGTGGGCCCAAGGCCAGGCAATGGGCACTGCTCAAGGTACTAACCCCATGTCCATTGATACGGGTCTAAGCAACGCTCGCTCAATGCCCGCTACCCCAGCTTCCACACCTCCTGGAACAACCATTCAGAACATGCAGTCGTACCAGTCTGGCACGCAGCAATACGATAACTCGAGACCCATGTACAACGCCCCGACACAACAGTCCCCGTATCAGACAACCAACCCGGCGTCTCAAGACCGCTCCGTGTATGGCCAGAGTGACCCGTACGCGAAGAACGATATGGGCCCCCCTTCAGCGCGCCCCACGACTTCGGGCACTCAGGACCAGAAGCCCGCCAATGGCATTATGCACGCGGACCAAAACGGACAAGCTGTTGCCCAGCCTGCCGGCGATGAGGAAGCTGAGCATGAACACGACGCGGAGTACACCCATGATAGCGGTGCCTATGATGCCAGCCGTACTTCGTACAACTATTCCGCTCCTGCCGTTGGCAGCCTGCCCACTGACCACCAGCATCTGTCTCCTGAGATGACGGGATCGCCAAACCACCCGCCTGCCTCCGGCCGCGCCACCCCCCGCACAGCGGCTGCTCCCCAGCCCTATTATTCCCAGCAAACGGGCTACAGCACCCCACCTCGCGTACCTCAGCAACCATCAAGCAACTTGTATAATGTAATGAGCAGCGACCGCGGCTCTGCGCCAGGAAACAGCGGTAACGACGTTTATCAACCCCAAGCTGACATGGGTTCCATGTCCAACGGCTACGCCTCACAGATGAACGGTGGCGCCGGCGGTATTAAACGCGGGCGCGATGAGGATGACGACCTACAGCGACCATTGAGCGGCGGTGGCATGGACCTGAAGCGTAGAAAGACTCTTATGGACTCTTCTGTCCCCGCTACAGCATACGACGCCATGCCCCGAGCTCCTCCCGTTATGGCCCAGCAGCCGCGACGAAGGTAAAGGGAGTCTTGACCGGGTCGATTTTTTCACCCTTTGCCCTTGTCGCTTCATTGGAAGCGTTGTGGCTAAACTGGGGTACGAGGCATGATTGATGATCTAGAAGCACTATAAAGAGGCTTCTCGACACTCCTTGCACACCATTTCTTACTTGTCTTTGTATTCGCGAGACGACTTATCGGCATCAACGCTCCAAGAGACAACGCTGACGAGTTGACGATTTCTCATTCCCTGTTTTTAAACGCCCGTCATGGCTGTAAATGCTGATGAATGACGCTTTGCATGGAGGGGGACTTAATCTTAAAGACTCGGTCATCTGCTTTCATGTTTTTCTCATTTTATTCTTTTTTTTTTCCCCACGGACCTCCGAGGCAACATACACGAAAGAGTTGGAGGGGTTGGGTACGGCTTGCTATTGTCTATTATGAATCTGGGCAACATGGCCTGCAAACACCACCTCGGAGGATCGATCACCTACATTATCAAGTTTCATTTTCCTTTTCTATCTTCGAATACAAAGGGGGACTACTGGCATCAGTGCATGCCAGGGAGGGAAGGATGATGACCTTATGACGACTCTTATTCTTTCACAAAAAGTGTGAGACGTGTGTTGGAAACTGTCTCTTTTAGGTAACGACTTGACGAAACGGAAATAAAAAGCTATTGCTGCTTCAAAAAAATACAGACTTGAAGAGATACGAACTCCCTTCTCGCTGCTGAGTTGAGGCCTCTACCACATGCAGTGAAGTCAAGTGAAAAAAGCGGACCAATAGTCTTTGAAGATATGATCAATGGATACTGGCTGCTTGGGAACAACAGTCACCAATGCCAAGCGGGTGACTTTTGTCTACTTACCCATGGGCCACGCCGATGGATCAAGAGTGTTAGGTTTCTAATTCGTAGACTACTCGAGATTTTCCGCCTCAAAGTCCCATTAATCTGTGTCCCTACTTCAAGAACCCCCGCAGGTTGGTTGCTACAGGGCTCTCATAAACTACCAGGAAGAAAAGACCGAGGCATAGGCATATTTTGCGGTAAAGCAAATTTACAAACGCAATCGATTGTCCAAAGTGTCAACTATCAATCAAGCGACACAACTATTTCACTTACTCAATCGATGAGTGTATTGATATTTCTTTCGACTGTCATGGAAGGGCTTCCGCATTCCGTCTTAGGTCAAACGTGGGTTTTAAGAGAAGCCTCTCTGATTTTGGCGCCAGGATATGTTTTCAGGTCGATCAATGAAAGATTTCATACTGCAAATAATTTGGTTGTTGAAGAAATTTGAAATAGAGTTAGGTTATCTATACCGTTAAAGAACAGAAGTTTAGTGACGCATGATCAGGACTTCCAAGAAAATCAAGATAATGACTATTTCAGAGATCTTTAAGTGAAACCGTTCACCTTCCTTTTGTGCAATAGGTATCGTTCAGAGTGTGTACCGACCAAAGTTGAGGCTTGCATCGGCTAAACCCCGGTTAGCTCCACCCCACCTCTTGAGCCACGAGCAGAAGTGGTACTGGAAGGTGCCGTCCGTCCACCTACCCTTGCCAGTGTGGGACGCGATTTACTGCGACTCGACTCCAGACGAAGCTGTCGTCTCCCACTCTTCACTCTCATAGTTTGCTTCTTCATACCATTCGTGCTCCACTCGTCTTTCGCATTGGCACCAAAAAAAATAATTAATTAATTCATGATTACATAGCAATTGGCATAGTTCCACAGGGTGGTTGCATACATTCGCAGGTTGACGCAAGATCGCGCACGAACTCGACTTGTCCACTTCGACAATGGCGACACCGACTCAAATGAAGCATGCCGCCTCACAGCAAGGCAGAACACCCTCACAGCTTGCGGCAGCAACGCCTCCAGTTTCGACACCCTTCTCGGCATCTCAAGCACATGCAGCTTTCTCTCCTCGAGGACCTCGATCTTCCCCCCAGCAGTTTAAGAAATCGCCTGCAACCTCGACGACCCTCATGGGCCATCCCGCAAATGGAGCCTTGAACTTTGACAGTCCTTCCGCAGCGGCAGCGATGGGGGCCCTGGGTATCAGTGGCGGATTGGATATTGGGCTGGACCATGTTGGCGTTGGTGGTTTCGGCGGTCTGGGAGGACTCGGCAGCGAGGATGATAAGATCAAGAGACTCGATACGGTCATTGAGATTCTTGGAGTAAGCCCTAGAAGCCAAGATATGGTCGTGATGGAAGCTGACTGCTGTGTCTTTAGAAAGCAAAAGGACGAGTTAGCGAAGCTGGCCTGGAGCGACTGACGCTCCGAACAGGTCTTACTAGCATCTGGGACGAGCACCGGTCGCCGGACGGCAGAAAGACGAAGATGCTAGTTATTGCTGGTCAGGCTCTAACGGTGGATATTGTGTTGAACAACAACATCGTGGAGAATGTCTCGTTGACCTTTCCGGAGTCGGCTCCGATCGTAACCAGACATAAGGATCAGGCCGGAAAGATTCTACTCAAGGACCTACAGCTTCGTCCCGACCAAAGCCCCCTAACCAAAACTCTGGACAAGTTTTCTGCAAATCTGGAGCGCCTGGCGAACCTTGATAAGCTCAGTGTCATTCCCGGACTCGACTGTCAGGAGGCGCTGGCCGGCATATTTGAGAGTCTTGAGAGACTGTACAAGTGGGAGCTGTCTAAATTGCGGGAGGATCCAGCCATGAGCGGAAAGCCAGACCGGTTCCTTGAGACTACGGTCATGTGCACGAAAAGTGGTCGCCCGATGATGCATGCTAGGGACATGGTAGGCCTCAGCATCGAGTATTGGACAGAAAGGCGCCATGTCATACCCAAAACACCAGACACGGTGCGCTACTGCGAGAAGGTGGAGAAGGTCTGGTCCATTCTCATAGGATGCAAAGCTCTGGATGGTGAAATGTTCCAGCCAGTCCGAGTCTCAGAGAACTGGATTTCTCAGAAAGTAGTAGCCGAGCCCGGCCCTGACGACATTCTGGCTGGACAGTCAGGCCTAGCACTTGACTGGCAAGAACCAGAAGCTACAAACTTACCACAGACCGACGACAACAAGGACAAGGGTGTTGATGTGGTACACCCCGATGGCACAACACATAAGCTTCCGAACGTAAAGTTCGTAACGACGCTCACACCGTCTGTGATAGTTCCACAATCCGTATGGAACACGCTGCATGGGCTTACAGGCGCGGCAGCTCAGCCCATGCTACTGCCCACCTACACGTTCGACAGCATCTCCTTCCCTATACCTGAGGGAAGCAATCACGATGCAAGTGAACTACGAGTTATCTCCTGCAAGCGGACGGTGCAGATTCCTGGCGACGAAAACACGACGTCGTCGCGGAAGCACAAGAATACCTTGCTCATCTACAAGCCAGTTTACGGACAAACGGTAACGGAGCTCTCGTTCTCCCACCCCCGACAGCTCGTTGCAATGCTACCCATACTTCGTCAATATGCATTGATTTCAACGTTGCTGGAGAGAAGTTTTGGGTCTGATATTTCTGGGGACACACTGCCAGAAAAGGACGAATCGATCGTTAAGGTTGACACGACAACAACAACTAAGGCTGAGTATGAGAAGTTCATGTCTAAGGCGTACGATAGTGACGAGAAGGAGCTCACACTTGATGTGGTGCTTACCGTCCACCCATCCGCCGGGCTCCACGTTGTGTTCCCGTTCCGCAACGCAACGGCCAATGTCGATCTGCAAATCCAGCCGAATGGAGTAGTCCATATCGTTTCGCAGAACATTGTACCTGAGGCCGGCGAAGACGTTGCTGCCGCGGATAAGGGTAAGCACAAACAGCTTAAGCCGCAAGACCTGGGCAAGTTGCTCGAGGTGATGGAGGATCTCTGTTCCTGGGCAGAATGGATCCGACGAAACCTATCATAAATCATTTGGCTTGATAGCAAGGGGAGTAGCAGTGAGCTAGTAGAACTCGTGGATCTTAATATTGGCTGTACCTTAGTTCTTTGGTTGTTTCTTTCTTCTGTATAATTGATACCCAGCAGAATATATATATCCCGCCCCCCCCTTCTTCCCGAACAGCCACAGCATCCAGCCCGTTCCCGTTTCTTTTTGGCAGGCAAGGGAGGCTCATGATCCACGGGACACGGTTGTCGCAAGACGAGACGATCGATCTGACGCCAACAGTCTTCAATTCGTGGCGCTTGGTTTAGAATGAGGCGGCACGGTTGGCTTGCGGCTGCCCGACGTCATATCTGAGCCGAACAAAGAGTAGTTTTTCTCACGAACCGCTATGGTGTGTACCTTAGATCGCCCTCTTAGTCCGCGCTGCCCGCATTAACTGGGCTGAAGGAAGGGGTGAAGAAGTCTACGTATAAAATGACGTCTGGGATCTCTAGGAGAGAGACCTTAAAAAGGTTTTCCACATAATCGGATTTCCTGCCTTTGAGCGCCGATAGAACTCGCACCGTCGTACACATGGTAGCATCAAACGCCCATGATTGATGCGTTAGCGGTTGCGGCGGTGGGGTTCAACTTAGAGGGTTGGTCGGTTCAACCGGATGGATAACGGGACGAAGGAAACCATTCAGATAACACGGACCAGCCCACCAGCCTGCCTCGTTGTCTCTGATGGCAGAATAGAGAGACCTTTGTCGCACGGGGAGAGCGGAGGGTTGGGGGTTGAACAAGGTCTCAAATGCGGTCCGAGTCAAATCTCCATCGGATATACGTGTATGTAGTGCATGCGGCCGAAATTCATTGTCTATTCCTTCGGGACGGGACGGGAAACCTGACGGTAGGTAATATGGGAGGGGAGAAGGAGAGTGACAGAGAGGAGCGGGAATTGGGTTTAGAAAAAATAAAAATAAAAAGTGTCGCAGCGCCTCCCCAGGCCCAGATCATATACACACAAAATATAACACACATATACGCACAATGAGTGGCGGAAGAAGTGAAGAAGAAAGTTAGTGGTCCGGGAGGACCTCGGGTGGTGGCTGCGGCGGAAGCCCGGACGCACGGTTTGCGGCAAGAAAGGTTTTGGGACGAACGGCCAGGGTCCTCCGGGGATGGTGTCATCAGTTTCCTGTTTTTTCTTTCTTTCTTTCTTTCTTTCTTCCTATGGTCTGTCACTTTCCCTCCCCTTTTGTTCTGTAGTACAGAAAATAACCTTTTCTTTCCTCTTTTTCTTTTCCCCCCTCTTCCTTCGCTTTGAGATCCCGTGAGCAGTTCTTGTCTGAGACGCTATAGGCCAAGACACCTCATTGCTTTCTTTTTTCTTCCCTTCTTTTTTGTGTGATGACTTTTTTTTAAAAAAAAATTCTTCTTTTGCAGTTCCTTTTTTGTGGTCGGGCTCTCCCGCTACTGTATTTCTTCGACTCTCCTGTCTCGGAGACCGGGAGGGTGTGGTCAAGGCGACCATTGGGGGGGGGGGATAACCTGACCAATTACCCACTTATTTTGTGATTTGTGGGGCTACCCTGAGATCAGCTGACCATGGTCAGCTAGTTAGCTATGGTCAGGTTGAAATTCCTTAGCGCGGTTTGAAACCTCACCCTTGACATACTTTTTGTAAGAACATACGACATTTAAACGCTTCCAAATCCGTTCCGAATCGATTTACAATGGCTCTTCAATCGATTGAAAATCTCTTCCCTCGCCTAGAGGGAATAAGTCCTCTATTAGAACCTACTAGTCTTGATGCAGAAGCTGAAGAAGACTTAAATCTTTACTATCAACTACCAGCCCAGGCCCAGTCTGGCTTACCAGTAAATGAGGAGGTAGGGATATATGAGAACGACTTTGGAATTAGTTCTAAATCGATTCAGGATCAACTCGAAACCGATTCAGAAATACCTCCAACACTTGTTTCATCAGAGGCAACCCGTTCTGGGCATAATAGCCTCAGGGATGTTCATGTACTTGCTCAAAAAGTAATCTTTCTACCTACATTTATAGAATATCCAGAAACAAGTGAGAATGGAGTCCTTTATGTTATTGATATAAGGACTTTAAATGAGGAGGATATTAAATCGCCTTGGAGAATGGTAAACGAACTACTTTTGAATCGATCCGGGATCGATCCCGAACTACTTCAGAACTAATTACATCACAGATTCAGTACAACCATGCCCGGCAATTCCCACCAAAACGGACGACTTCAGCATTCCTTCAAAATGCTGTTTGTTTACGTTCAACTTACACTTGTACAGGTGGAAAGGCATGCTCTTATTTCGATCAGAATCTTCCATGCTGGAAGCATCAGAAAGTTACCCCAGAAATCTTGCAAAGTATTGAAGCATTACGAACAGAGGTACTACAGTATGATCTCAAACGGAAAGCAGTTTCGTAAGCATTCAGAATCGATTCCGAACGGGTTCGGAACCCTTTTAGAAATAATATACTAATACTTATAAATAGATGGGCACAAGCACAGATAAAACGTTTCCAACAACATACCGCCTGCCGACCGTTTACAGAAAGATGTAGTCTTGAAGTAGTTAATACAGAGTATGGGGTAAGAAGCCTTTCTGAATGGATTGGGAATCATTTTGGAACTGATTCGGAATCACTTTAGTATATTCCAGGAACTTCCCAGATTACAGCCCGCTGCATCTGCTGGTCACAAAGTCTCCAAGGAGAAAACCATTATATTGGCTTTCCTCCAATCGAATTCCAGCTATATTTACCTCTAATCAAAACTATACTTCAAGGGGGAAGTATAGAAGAAAGCTCCCCTACTGATAGCTGTTATCTTTTTGCTAGCAATAAGAGGAGAATTACACGATGCGGTAAGTAAATTAGTATCGAATCGATTCCAAATGGGTTCCCAACTGATTCTGAATCAATCTAGACGCTAATCATATCGTTCCTGAAACAATTCTTCAAATTACGTGTTCAGTAAAATGGAACTTCTGGGTCCCGCTTGATCTAGAAGCTACCCCAGTTATTCTTCTAACTTCTCATGGGGTCCATTTACATCCACCACCACCACCAGTTAGAGCCCCAGCTGGTATTATATCTGGGCTGCAACAGGTAGTCCAGAAGATCAATCAACCTAGAACGGGGTTAAGTGAGAATCCTTTTAGAATCGTTTCCGAACCGATTCAGAACTAATCCAGTATTGATTCTAGATGCATTCCTACAATCTCGCGAACTTCAGGAATTCTGTGATACTTATAATAGCCAGACTATTACAAGCGTTCATCAAAGTCTAGCAAATACAGACTTCTTACGCTCAATTATCCGTAAACAAGAAGCAATTAGCTTTCCAGCAGGCTGTTCACGTCTAGCGATTTGGTATGAATACCAGTATGCTCAAACTAGGCGTCAAATTCGGGTATGAAGTGATTCTGAATCGGTTCTGAGCGGGTTCAATACTAATTTACTTATAGTATATTCAGTACTTTAATGATGACGGCAATACATACCTATGTATTGTATTTCATGCAGAGCAAGCTGAATTATGGAAGAAAGAGGCTTTTAATACTTTCCAGGTAGATACAAACTATAAACATCTAGCTGGAAAGGAGGAAGTTGAGGTTATTTGGGGATGGTATAATTCGATATCTTCGAAAGGTGCGTAATCGCTTCTAAATCGATTTAGAACGGATTCTTAACAGATTCCTAACTATTTTAGCAATTCCACTTATCCGAGTTTTTACCAATTCTGAAAGTACAGAAATGTATCAGCAGATGTATACAATTGTGTTTAAACTACTTTATAAGAAATTTGGATATAAAGTCAAGTGGAAACACCTTCATGGTAGGGGTCTACTAGGTATTACAGTTGATCAAGACCATAAAAACCTTATTGGTATGGGTTCTTAATAGTTTCTAAACCGATTCAGAACCGATTTATAACTAATTATCTAGGGTTTGGGAAATATCTATCTCTGGAATGTGACCCAGAGCATAGACCATGGGCATGGCAGGTTGAACGCTCTGTACGCTTCTGTTTAATTCATTTCCAACGAGGGATTGAGGCATACTGTACAGAAGACCGTAGCCCTGACTCTCTATGGAATCAAATGCGCAGCCTACTATTCTGCCGTTCCTCAGAAGACTACTTCGCTTTATGTCAGGCATTTGAGAGTAAGGATCAATTCTATATCGCTTCCGAATCGCTTCAGAATCACTTGGGAACTAATTTACTTAGCTGAACCTCAAATAAAAGCATGGGCTCAACATAAAGCCCGAAAAACAATTGCAGCTGGACTTAATCAGAACTGCTCTAAAATCCCCTTATCAGATTGGAGTCAATTCATACCTAATACAAATACTGTTGAGGTTTTACATGAAGCCTCATATACTTGGAGTAATCGGTATTTACCATTACTTACATGTATCCAGAAGTAAGTTTGGAATCCCTTCTGAATTGATTCGGAATTGGTTTGGAATGCGTTGAGAACTAATTCAAAAGTACTTAGATGTGCAGAATACGATCGCCATCTTTTAGAGCAGGATACAGTGTTTACAACACTAGGAATCCGGCTTTCCTGGAAAGATGTTTCTATTATTAGCCGTTATAATACAGCTGCAAGCCGTTTACGTAAGTTAAAAATACTTTAATATTTATTAATAATTATTTCTAAATTATTTTAGAACTTAAACGCCAACGCCAGAGGGAATCCCGTGAGCAACTAGATAATGAACGTGTTGAAAGGCTTTTATCAACCCGACTCTTTACGTCTAGTCCCTCAAGGGGTACTAATTCAAGAAGTCCATCCTCAATTCCGAATCGATCCCGAAGTCTTTCAGAAGCGATTCGGAATCGATCCCCTCGTCTTTCCCATGCTTCATCTTCTGGGGTTATTAGGTCAAATACTCTCCAAAGAACATCTATTTCTAACTTAAGAAACGAAATCAGACAGGGACAACAAGATGACTTTGACTTACAGAAGCAAAGTCTAGAATTAGAAGAAAAGCGATTAGAATTAGAAGCAAGAAAACTTCTAGTTGAAAAACAGAAGCTTGAACTACAAGAAAAGGAACTAGAGTTAGCAGAGCGGCGGAGAAGGTTAGGACTTTGATAGCATATAGGATAGGTAGAGAATCGATTCTAAATCATTTCTATATTGATTTAGAAATGCTTTTTTTAAAAAAAGCTTAAAAACCGAACGCCCCGGGTATCTATAAAGAATTGATTCTAAAGCGGTTCCAAATCGGTCCCGAAAGAAGTCCCAAACTGGTTCCAAACCGATCCTGAATTGATTCAGGCCTCATCTTCTTCATCATCCTCAAAGCGGGCCCAGACCTCACATTCCTGATCGCGAAGGGCGGGAGGACATTCTGAATCGATTCGTAATTAGTTCTGAACTGCTTCAAGACTGATTCTAAACTTACTAGCATTGCGGGCAGTGGTGCAGTAGGTGCACTTGCCCTTGGCAGGGAAGCCGGCGGCGCGACGCATTTCGGCGAAGTTGATCTGTTGCAGAATCGATTCAGAATGGGTTCCAAAAGGATTCCGGATCGATTGAGAATCACTTACCACAGTTTGGTTGCCCCGCTTGCGCGTGGGCACGGCAAGAAGGGGGGGAGGGGTCTGCGCCTTCCGTTTCTTGGAAGGAGTCTGCAGCTCGCTGTCATCGCGAGCGCCGATGGCGATGCCGTGGATGCGGTCGTAGAATTCTATTCCTAATCAGTTTAGAACTAGTTCAGAATCGGTACAGAATCAGTTCAGAATCACTTACCAGCTGCATCATCGTTCTCCTCGACGGAGTTCGCGCCGGACTTGCGGCTCTTAACCTTGGCCGGGACCCCGTCGAGCTTGTGCTTCTTGATGTGGTTCTTGAGGTTCGACTCGCTCGAGAACCGCTCCGTCTAATCGATTCGAAATTAGTTCTGAACTGATCCGGAACTGATTCTGATTACCTTGGTGCACGTGATGCTGCTGGATCTACCACCCAGCGGCAGTAGAGTTCGCCAGGGGCGAGCTTGACTTCGCCAGCCTGAATCGATTCAGAACTGTTTCTGAATCGTTGTGGAATCGCTTCTGAATCACTTACCTCGTTGAACTCGAAGGGAGGAAGATCCTCCATGCGGTGGTTCTTGCCGCCCTGGAGAAGACCTTCTTTGTAGGTCTTGTAATCGTCCTGATTCTGAATCAGTTCTGAATCGATCCTAAACCGATTCCATTGTACTTACAGAATCCTTGTATGAAGGCATGATGTCGGATTTCTGAACTGATTCGGAAGTAATTAGGAATCGGTGCGCCAGGGGGGGGGGGCGCATACGATTTGAAAGGGTTACGGAGGGAAAAGGAAGAGAATCAGAATGGAATAGGGATTTAAATATTAATATGGGGTATGCACCCCAATCAGTAGTGGGACGCAATCAGTAACTGGTCCGTGCACCTGACCGATTAAAAATTCCATGGTCAGGTGGACCCACTTCACCTCAATACAGCCAATCATAAAATTGGTCAGATAGACCCATAATTCATTTAAATAAGTGGGTAATTGGTCAGGTTATCCCCCCCCCAATGGTCGCCTTGACCATACCCTCGAGACCGGGAGTCTGTGCAGTGCCTGCCAGGGTGGGCGACAAGCTGATGGAACCGCGTAGCAAGAGCAAGGAAGAAGATGAGCTGGAGGGGGAGGGGGGAGGGGAATCGAGGGGCGCGACTGAATCCACCGGTGTCGATAGGCAATGGAGGAGAGAGGAGGGAGGAGTTCCGGATTTGTTGATTGTTTTGTCCATAAGTCAAAATCAACAATCAAACAAACAAAACATGGGCTTGAGAAATCCGATTTAATCTGGCAAGGCGGGGGGATAGGAAATTGGGGAATTGCTCATTTTAGACAGGTGCTATGTAGGAAAATATCTGGGCCGCACCGGGGTTTCGGGGGTTCGGTACCGGCGCAGATTGGGCTAAAGGAGGGGGAAGAACCTGGGACTGATCTGAGGAGGGGCCGCTCTACCCATAGTGCTTTGCTCCTTCCGCGGCATCTGGCAGGAGGCAGGGTAATCTGAACAGTCGCCGTGGCGCCGTCGTATACCTACCACCACATCTGAGGCTTTGTGGAATTTTTTTTTTCCACCCTTTGGCTTACACGTGCCAACATCTTGCATCGTATCAGAGATTTGACGGGGAAGGATGAGTGTCTCCACATCAGGTCATCCCATCTTCGCTTTTTCTAGGTGGCTTGAGGTTCAATACTTCCCGTATTGGTGTAACCTTGATGATACTTTACCTTGAGAGGGCATTGCGTCGACTTGCAGCCACTTCCCGTCCATCCCTTGCGAAGTGACGAGTCGCTTCCGTGTCTCTCTTCCGCTCTCTTCCGCGCTCTCTCTCTCTCTCTCTCTCTTCTCTTTTTCTTTTTTTCCTCCTGTCCCTCTTTGTTGGGCTCTTCATCGCTTAGTGGGAGATGGAACGAATGAGGGTCAAAGAGTGTCCGAGCTTTTTATTTTAATGGAGGAGGCTTAACGGCGATCCAAGCTCCCCCTCCCCCCCGCCGTTGTGGGCCGAAACGGGAGCGCGGTGTTGTCGCAACTCGTTTATTTTTGACGCACCCGTTGAAGAGGAGCAACAGGTGAAAGTAGCGCGGCGAGGATCAGTGGGATGAGGCGAATGGTGAGTGCAAGAAGGAAACGGGGGAGCCACCGGTGCCGGTGGACACTGGACGAGAGACACTACGACGTAGTAATTCCTTTTTTTAGAGGAAACCTTGTAAGCCGCTGCCGCGCCTCCAAAGTGTTGGACCATTCACACCTTTCCCAATATTCCAAGACCTTCTTACACTTGTACCAGCTGAAGGACAGGGAATGGCTTAGGGAAGAGGGCCAGGGGGATTAGGAGATTTCAAGGAGGAGGGAAGCGGGACAGGAAGAATTCTCATGTCACAGGAGAGGAGACCGGTCGGTTGTCTAGTGTTGGCGGCTTTCTAGAAGTCAATGTGGAAAAGCTCAGATTATCTGTATAGAGCCCCTTCACACGATGGGAAGAGTGAAAAGTGGCGAGTGGTTCACGATTTTGCCCCGGATTAACAGCAGAAGCGAGATAACAGAGGTCGCGAGCATAAAGCTGTAATGTCGGGGGCAATTAATCGCAAACCTTGTCATTCCCCCGATTCAGATGGGAGCAATGAATAGTGAGACGGATGGAGAAAGTGATTGATGTGCGTAATGACAGGGTCTGGGCATCTGGGAGGTATGACACCTACTACGTAGTAGATGATGAGGGCAAGGTTGGCGGTTGTTGACGGTGAATGGTCATGACGGTGATGACGGTGTGGTAGTGACCTGAGCCAGCCGAAACTCAGCTAGGGGTTTTCTCAAAAAGGTTTAATAAATAAAAATAAAAAGTACCTCCAGGTCCTGAAGTAAAGTGGCAGGGCCAGGAAGGGGGGTATGTAGTGTGTATTGTTGTCGAAGCTGACTATTTGTTTTGGTGTTTTTGTTTTGTTTTGGTTCCCGCCTGTGGCTTGTCGCGTTTGTTTAGTGGTCTGGCTCCATCTTTCATGGATCATCTCCGCCTTACCATTTGGGATGATGAGCCCACCTTTTGCCGCTGCCCGAAAGTCGCAGACGACCACCTCTTTGCTGCAAGATGATGCTGAGGTGCAGATACAACACACAGGATGAACAGCTGGAGGGAGGAGACAAAAGAGTCAGAGTGTGAGATAGAACAGTCTCACTACGTCTGGATGGAGCGTCAAGCGGACAGGTGGCAGTCGAATCATGGCTTTGAGACCAGGGGCAAAGTTGACACTGCAGCGGCTACTGCACCGTGCAAGTGACCGATCAAGGCACCATCATACTCAGTAATACTACACGGGGAATCCAGGCAGCGGGGAAAAGGACAGAGATCAAGCAACAGGCAGGGCGAGAAAGGGGCCCTGTTCCATTTTCGATTGCCCCCAACGACGCACAAGCGCCGTTTCCCTCAGGTCAGTGTGTTGGGAAGTGCCCTGATGTAAAGCAAGCCTCACCTGTCGTCTGGTCTTTTGGCCAGGCTGGATGTAGATGGTGCGGACGCTTCTGCAAGTCGTGACGCACAGAACAGGAGAGAATGGGGCCCCGCTGAGGTTCCCGCATGCTCTTCTCCAACTGTCCTCAGTGCTATTGTTTTTTTTTTATTTTTTATAAATCCCTTTCTTTACTTATTTTGTTCTCGAGTACGGATAATCCGGTGAGAAAGTGTGTGTGTGTGTGTGCCTAGTATTGCATGAGACCTCAGACGCGTGGGCGGGACCCTGCAGTGCTGCAATGCTGCAGGTAGGTAGAGAGAGTATGTGTGTGAGAAAGCAGATCTAGCCAATGGGTGGTGCTGGTAGAGGTCCGAAAAGGCATCCCCTGGGTTGTGCCTGGGGTGGGCCCCCCTGGCACTGCTTGGATGCCAGGCCGTTGGATTCGAATTTGCTAGTTTGTTAGTGATGTCAGGGCTGCCAAAGAGGCCGCAGGAAGTCGCGGGTCGTTTGTTGACTGGATGTCTGATAATGAGGAACAAACGAACAACAAGAAAGAAATAAGGTCGCAACACCACCACCTCAAGAGATTTTGGAACATTTGAATTCTTCATATGAGACGTCTGCATGTCTGAACCCTGGTGATGAAATTTGTTTTTCCTCAATCCGGGACCTGCATGTGCGACATGAACTTGAGTTCGTAGCCAAAGCAGCCTCAGTCGGCGCTGGGCTGGTCTTACCCTAACAGAGCCCCGCTTTAGAGTTCGGGAAGAGCGCGTCATCACGTGATACGCTAGCCTTTCCGGGCAAGAGTGTAAACAACACACGCCACGCGCGCTATCGCGAAAAAAGCACCACCAAACTCCCATATCCACACCTTTCTCCCCAGTCATACTATGTACTGCCAAAGGGCTCCATATTGACTACGATCCCCCCAGCTGTGTCTTTGGCCCTTTGCTGCCCGCCCGCCTTGTCTTCCTGCCCATCTATCCCATCCCATCTTTCCCACACGCCCACGCCCACCCACTTCCTGCGCGCGCGCAACTCACTTGTACTTGCGCATTCGCACCCGCCATTCGCACCTAAACCACCCACTCACACACACACACTTCATCGCGCATCCTCCTCCCACTCCTCCTCTTGCGCCAACTTCTCTCTCACCTGTCTTCGCCTCCCTCTCGTGTTTTGAGTACGTGCTTATCCTTGGTCTGCCCCCTTTACAACTTTTTGGCACCCCATCCAAGGCACAAGATACCCCCAAACCACTTCGCCACTCGCATCAGCCAACTCATAACCAACACGACACGACACGGGATAAAGTTACTCGCACCTACCCTTCTCTATTGCCATGACTTGAAAGAGTCGTCTGCCGATCACGAATCGCGACATCAGGGGAATGGAGATTGCGAAGTTCTACGCATGCCTACACGTTCCTGCTTGACATCCCCCCAAGACCTTAGCGCCATGCAGTAGATGCACTTGCGCTCCCGTCCCGTACCTTCTCTCTCTCTCTCTCTCTCGTCTCCTCTTCTGCCTAGGTCTTTCCCTCCTTTTTATCTTTTAGTCTTCTTTTCTGCGACACCGCGTCTCTAGCATCGCACCAAGAAAGAGGGCGCTTTTTCTGCCTATCCGGGCCTCATCGCCTCGTCCACGTGTAACCGCTCCCATCCTGGGTCCCCATCAGTCTCGTCCTATCACCAACCATCTTGGGATAGAACCACAAACATCGACGATACTCCGATACAACCTCGCGCCCCCAGGAAGCTGCGCCCTTGCTGTCAGCACTTCCTTCGGTTCGTTCCCATCTTGGCTCAGACTGTAGCCAAACATCACGCGCCATACCCATCGACACGACAGATCCTCGTCCGCATCGATCCCACCTTGCTCTAGCACCTACTTAGAGCATCTAGCGAATACAGTATACCGACGACAACGAATCCCAGCGGCACATTGGTTGTAACCAAGACTGATCAGTATCTCGCTGGGTTCACACCACAACAAGTGGCCCAGTCCTTTGTATCTCAACATCGAACGGCAAACCCCAACGGCAAAGAACTTCATTCACCAACCATGTCCTTCTCAAATAGCAGCGGAGGAACACTTACTGTTCCAAGCCCAACCCACGTCCACCATGTCGATGTGCTTGCATCTTCAGTGAGGGGCCTACGTCGGTCACTCTCCCGATCACCCTCCAAGTTCAGTCTGGCACGCACAAATTCCCAGAGCTCCGACAGCTCTCACAGCGGATCACACACTCCTATCCAGCAACAATCGCCTTGCCGACGATACACCCCAACACCGACACCACCTAGTAGCAGTGGCAGCAACAGCGGCTTCCAGGAACAACTCCCTCTCAGTTTTACTCCGGCGGGCCTTCCTCCCTCAATGACCTCTACCACCCCTCTCAGCTCACCTCCAAACCTTGCTACGCCCTTCCGCCCAAGTGTTCGCCTATCTCTACGCTCTGCCAAATCATCCAAGGTGACGGGCAGCCCATCGAGGCCAATCACTCGATTACGGACTTCGCCAAAATCTCCCCTCAAGCGCGCGCTCAACGCTGCCGCGGACTCTGGAAACTCAACGCCTTCCTGCCCCTCCTCTGCTTCAAGCTCCGATAGTCCTGGCCAGGAAAACAACCAAGCCAGCGATCAAGTTAGCCCACTTTCACGATCAAGCCTTCATAAATCATCGCGCCACAGTCTCCATCTCGACGTATCCGGCCACGGTCAACAATCAAATATCTTTAGGACGGTTGAGGGCCACGGGGACTCGCAGGCAATACCGGGATCAGGCGCCCTCAAACGTAGTGACGCAATCATGAATCTCGATCAGGCGTCGCTGGGCAGCCCTGTCGCAAAACGACGTAGTTTGCACGGAATCTCTGGTTTTAACCAGAACACGGCTGATTTCAACATTTTCGACAACACCGCGAGCAGTAACAGCAATTCTAGCACACCTGGCAAGACAAATTTCGATATTCACGATGAAGCCAACCGTGAGTACGAGCTTTTTGGATCGAGCGCTGCTCCCCACCGGGAGCCGCTCCCTTCGCCAACCCCGCCTCCCCAGGCCCCCCGTAGAACTGGGTCTTTGCGGAAGTCTACGCTCCAACAAAGGCAGCATGACAGGAGTTCTTGGGGACGTCGATCTGGTGCAACTCATCTGGCCCAGATGAGCGGAGACTTCTCGACTCCCAATGTCAAGAACCGGCCACGCTTGTCGATGGATCAGTTCCTTCCCCCACAAGTGCCTCGCGACAGCCCCTTTACGTCCAACTCGCCTTTGCCCAACCCATCTGCTCACCCTGTTGAGCGCCAATCTCATCAACCCCATCCGTTATCTAAGACGCTCGTGACATCGACATCGGGCAACAGTCTGGAGGAGCAGAACAACAGCATGCCTCCCCCCTACGTATTCGAGAGACCTCGAGCCCCCATCAACTTTGCCAAGTCGATGCCTTACGGCTCCTCCCGGCCTTCATTCATGCAGGAGGAGAATGAGAACGTCACGCCCTTCAAGGCAGCCAAGCCTTGGGCCGGAGCCTTCATGTCGACCGGTCTCGTCTCCAAGGTTAACCGCAACCCCGAGGAGTATGACAACAAGCTTACCATGCCTGACACTCCTTGCAAGAAGCCCACAAATGGCTTTGCTACTTTTCCACCGCCGCCTGGCAGCGTGATGAAAAAGGGCAATCGCTACTCCTTTGGTGGAATGCCATCCACCCCTTTTAACGCCTCGGGAGCACCCTCCCGTAGTACCTTTGGCAACCCAGGAAAAGGTCTGGGTATCTTCCAGCGAATCGGTTCCCGTCATTCCCGGAGAGGCAGTGTTTTGAGCTTGGACGACGATAAGAAATTCTCCCTCGACACAAACTTCAATGTCGGTTTGGGGACCGAGCCTGATGCCCCTCCGACACCTACAAAACAAGGCCTCACCCCTAGCTTGAGCAACTTGAGCGAGCAGAGCATCGAAAGTCCTAGCGCTAAGAAATCCCTTCCGCCCATGTCCGCTGTTCGGCCGATGATATCTAGAGAATCAACTGGTAAGTGTACCTCTCAGGAACAGTCTAACGATAGGACTGCCAGTGCTCCGCAGTCAGGCTCTTTGCTTGACTCCACTGGTCCTCTGAACTGCGGACTGTCTCCTACTTTGCGTCTTTCTTTGCCGTCGTTTGCTCATTCGAGATCCGGGCGGGGGCTCAACGCCCCCTCACCTTTGCGGACTCGTCTCTGCTCCTTGACGGTCGACCCTCAAAATGAGTTCCTGGCTAAGATTACCTCTCATGATACAGCTAGCCCGGTTGAACAACGCTCCCCACGAACTCCGTCAACTCACATGGTCATTCCCGACGCCAGCTGCCTCTCGATCTCAAACCCTACCGAGCCGAAAAACGTGGCCACCCCTGTCACACCCTCTGGACGTGATTCTATTCAGAGTACCACGACCCAGCTCATGACCCCGGTAAACGTACGTAGCGGCGCTGATGTCGATGACTCACTCTACTCCCGCTTCGACAAGGTCGAGATGATTGGAAAGGGTGAATTCTCCTCCGTTTACCGTGTGGTTAAGTCTGGCTACTCTCGCGCGTCGTTTCTCTCCGTCTTTAGTGGAACGCCAACGAAGAACTCCCGTGAGAGCCCTGAGCCTGATAGGGTTTACGCGGTCAAGAAGGCTCGTCGTCCATTCACAGGACCCAAAGATCGCCTGGCCAAATTAAGGGAGGTCCATGCGCTCCAGGCCTTGACACACGCAGACCACGTGGTCCACTACGTCGACAGCTGGGAGCAGAATCAGTACCTCTACATCCAAACTGAATACTGTGACGAGGGCACTCTGGATAAGTTTCTGAGCAATGTTGGCCGTAAGGGCAGGTTGGATGATTTCCGTATTTGGAAGGTCATCCACGACATCGGCTTGGTAAGTACATACTGTTTCACCTTCACCTACCAAGGTTGCTAACATGCAGCAGGGCCTTCAAAGCATTCACGAAGCTGGTTTCATTCACCTCGACTTGAAGCCTGCGAACATTCTCATCACCTTTGAGGGGACCCTCAAGATTGGTGATTTCGGCTTAGCCACCGAGTGGCCCGCCGCAAAAGGCGTCGATGCGGAAGGCGATAGAGAGTACATTGGCCCCGAGATTCTCCGTGGCGACTTCAACAAGCCCGCAGACATTTTCTCCCTCGGTCTGATCACGATTGAGATGGCAGCCAATGTCGTGCTTCCCGACAATGGCCCAACCTGGGTCGCTCTGCGTTCTGGTGACTTATCTGAAGTCCCTAGCTTGACCTTCAGCGCAACCACTACAACAAGTGCTCAGCGTGATGCCGCAGGCGTTCCGACTATGCCGTCTTTGGATGACCCTCTTCTTGCTCAAACCAGTGCTCCCAGCATTGGGCTCTCCGTGGGAGTTGCTCCAACCAGGGTCAACGTGGTGATGGACGATCAAGCTAGCCCCTTTATCACCCGCAAGCGCACCGAGTTGAGGTCGCCTCCTGACTTCATGAGCGATCCTTTCCATCCTAGCTCCCTCGACCAAATCGTTAGGTGGATGATCCGACCTGAACCGAGTGAGCGTCCTACTATTCAACAACTGCTCTCGACCCCTGCGATGACCTGGGTTGCTGAGCGCCGCAGGTCAGCTGCGACAGTCTTCGAAGGCGTATGGGGACCTAGCGAGTCGACCGCACTCCCCACCTTGATCGACGAGGCCTTGGTTGACGAAGATACTGAAATGATGGACGTCTAAGCATGTCCTCTTATATATCAAAGCCGCGCCAACGGCTTAATAATTGCCGACACCTCTGGATATCAGAAGAGAGTGTAGAGCATTGGCGAAATGTCTGGATTGTACGATTCTGGCCGGGTCGCTGTAGAAGTGGATACGGCGAATATCGAGTTGGGATCACAAGAGTTAGCATTGGAAGGCGAGCATGTGTCTCGCTGTCTTCAATAGCTGTCTAGGAGAGCCGTCTAGGAGTCCTTTATTTGCATCGGCGTTCGGCTTACGACATAACGATGCTACAGTTCAGCCTTATAATCAGCTTAATAAGGCCTGCTGCGGATGCTGCATTTGTGTCTTCTGATTGTACGCTTGGCGACATTTTATGATACGAACCTATTGGACTCGGCAAACAATTCTTTCAATAACGTTGTCGACATATCCTACCGATCGATATTGTTTACAAAGCATTACCAACGGAATTTGTTCCGAGGAAGAGAATTGAAAGTCCAAGGGCTTGAGAGCATTGCTTAGCAAATACTTGCCGAGCTTTTCTTCTGTCAAAGCTCCAGCCCGTGCAAGACTTTCGTGTATAGACTAGATCTGGGTTCTTTTGAGGTGTCTGAGATGGCACCGGCTCCACGGCAAACCAGGCGTCGAGAACAAAAAACGAAAACAAAATAAGAAAACGGGGACTATGAAAAGGCTTTTTTCTTCTTTTTTCTTTTAGAAGCTCGAGAGACTCGGATTGTCTCTTGGCATTATGCGCAATGACGGGTACTGGTTTATCACGAACAGTGGGTGTCTTCCTGAACAAGAACGACCGTACTGCATTGAACGCGATAACCATCATGTATATATGGGTAATCCTGTCAGAGTATTGGCTGGCGATCGGGGAGTGGAGGAAAGGGAAAAGGGCTTTTTTCTTTTTTTTTTGGTCTGCCCTGGTTTTATTTTTTTCTCTTTTCTTTTGTTCCTTCTCTCTGTGAGAATACTGCATGGAAACCGTATCAAGCGGTTTACCCTAAGATCAGATAGATCATCTCCTGGCCAGACTGCGCCAATTCCCTTTGTTTCAAGGAGGTTGCGATCTCTTTGGCTCATGATCCCATGACGAAATGGCATGATAGTTATGAATAGTCGATTCAAAATTTTGGTCTCGTCTTCACATTTTTCTTCTTCTGATTGTGTGGGAATGTGTTTTCGTAACTGTCATCATTTGGACATTTGTTGTAGGACTAGTCTTGGAGAATTGACAACACAGTTCAGTCACGATGCAAGATGTTCAATGTGGCATGATGGATGAAATCGTCGTCATTCATTGAATGGTAGTCTCCGTCTATATGCGGAAAAAGGCTTCGGCTATTGTTTTAATTTCCCTCTCCCCTTTCATGTCCTGTATGCAACGCCTGATTCCCATGTCCCAATGCCAGTCCTGTGGAATGTAAGCCCGTTCAAAACACGCTCAAAAGGGCGCATGTCTTGGGACAGCTTGAGCCCTCCGCTCGGCGACTCTTCTCAGTCTCAGCCAGCCATTACTGTTGGTGTTTGGTCCCTGCCCTCGCACCCAGTATCCCGGGCCACTCACGCTCTGGAAGTGTTGGCGGAGGCGCTGGATACGGTCTTGGACTTTCTTCGCGATGGCTGGTAGACGTCGTTAAAGTTCATCGCGACTCCGAGGAAACGCATATCAACGTCTGGCTGGTAGGCGAGGTCGCCCAGGAGGATTTGCAGACGTGAGCGGAACGTGGCGCCCAGTTGCCGCAGACGTTCTTGGAGAACCGGGAACTCAGACGCGACAGACGGGCTCTCGTCGTCGCCGTCAGGGCCTGGGGTTGAGGGCTTCTTTTGGTGGCGAGCCGCACGGGTCGAGATCCGCATGACATCAGCCTCTTGCCGCCGCGTGAAGTCGGAGACGCTCCAACTGTAGAGACCGTCAACAGAGTCGCGATAGCTAAGCATGGCGCGCAGGAGGTCGCCGAGCTGCGAAAGGTATGAGGTGCGGTCATCTTCGCCGGTAGCGACGTCAGCGTGGCGGACGCTGCGTCTTGCGCCGAGGAGACCCTTGTGAGTAATATCGTTAAGGTAGCGGGTGTGTGCCTTGATAAGGTCGTCAAGTGTGCAACCTTCGCGATGTATGCGTTTCTGAAGCTCATTCCAGGATGACTCGATGACTTCGAAGAGAATGTAGTACTGGAGCTGGCCGATGAAGTGTACCATCTCCGCAAGAACACCGCGTGTGGACTTCCAGGTTTGGACTACCATCGGATCGGAATTCTGCAGCACGCCACGAGAGCCGGTCATGCACTTTCGCCAGGTAGAAGCGAGTGCGAATTCGACACGCTTAATGCGCCAAAGGAAGTTGAAAACCTTCAGGTACTGGCGATTACCCCAGTCGGTAACGACAACGTCCACAGGAGCGTCGACCTTGTATTCGAGCGTGAAGCAATCCCAACCAATGTCACCATGCGACAGCTGAAGCATACGAGCGTCGAGGCGACGGAGTACTTCGGGGGAGTCGTACTGTGCATTTGATCCGCGGATGGCATGCTCAAGTTGAGCTGTCAAAGTATGCCGGTATTGCGCACCAGCAGGACGGTCCAGGTTCGCGGCAAGGGACTCCATGAGCAGAGCGATAAAGTCACCCTGCCCAAGAAGGATGTAATTCTTGAGGGCCTGAAGGTGCTCAAACAGATGGAATTTATTCGCCATTAAATCGATGAGGCGCTTCATCGTGGTTTTGTAGGCTTCGTCAATCCACGCTTCGAGCGTAGCAGTGTCTCCGTATCGCAGTTCTTTTGAAGCTGCTTTCGAGTAATCTTCGACCCATTGCGAGTCACCGCAACTGTGTCTGATGAAATTGAGAGACTTGCCAATGAGGAAGACTTTCTGAGCGAAGTCCTGGGTAATGATGCTGGGAACCATGTCTTTGTCAATCTCGTATTTATCTTCCCAGACGCTGCTGCCGCCCGTCTTAGGCTCATCTGTTTGCTCTTGCTCCTTGACAAAGAATTCGCAGTACGGGTCAAGAAGCTCGCCGTCGTAGATCCACCGACGCAGGATATCATAAAACGGACGTGTAACATGAACCAAGAGACGCTCAGCAAATGCTGCAACCATGGGATCACCGTGTGATGATGAGAAGCCGTGGATGAGCGAAATAACTTGGCCTCCTCGTTTGCTCTCGGATTCTTCAGCAATAAGGCTCATAAGCCTTAAGCCCATGGTAGCCTCCCGCGTCCACACCACACATCGTTTCAGAGTAACACCTGCCTTGCCTATACCACCCCTAGGCGCAGACTCGTCCAACGACGAAAGCGCTCTACGGATCTGTCCCTCGAGAGTCGCAACTAGACTGAGATACGATCGCAACTCACCGCCTATTGCTGCCCGAAGACTCTGTCGCAGGAGACCTTGGGCGGGTGATTTGACAAAGACATCTAGCCGTCGGTATAGCAATGAAGGCTCGGATACTGTATGTAGGAGAGAAATGATCGGAGATGGTAATGTTGGTGGTAATGTGACCGTGTCTGGTTTTGAGAGTGGGAGTGTGGTGGACGAGAGACCTTGAAGGGTAAATGGCAGGTCTCTCAGGAGGACTGTTTCCGACGGTTCAATCTCGACATAGTTGTCCGCCAACAGTGTCGACTTCAAAGCAACCCGCCTCTTGCTCTCCTCGTCATCATCAACTTCGACTTCCTTTTCTTCTAGTTTCTTCTCGTCAACTGACTTTGTTCTCGGGTGCTTGGGGGGGAACTTCTTCAGTCCCTCGGGAGCAAAAGCGTCATTGAATTGTTCCTCATCTTGTCTCGATATTGGTGTTGAAGTTTTTGAGGATAATTCCCTTTCGTGTTTCCTAAAGGGATCGCGCTGTGCCTGTGACGGTGGCTTCGGGGGTTCGAGGGGTAGCGGTTCATTGGGGTCTGGAGAGTCGGCAAGCTGGTAGAGGAGGTATAAGATGGCCCATTTTTGACCGAGAACTGGCAAAGATAGAAGACGCGTGTAGAGGTTTGAGAAGCGCAGGGCCTGGCTTGGATTGCTCTGAATGAGTTTCCGCTTGATCAAGTCTGAGGCGTGGTTGACATCTGAGGAAATGGCGGGGGACGCGGGGCTGCGTGACGGTCAGCAGAACTATACCAACTGTTATAGGATCCAAATCTGCATAGATCCGAAATTAAAGCGCCCTCACCCTTCCAAAATCGTCTTAACTAGCTCGAAGCAGTTGTCATGCCTTTCCTGGGCGGCTGCATCGTCTTCGCGGGGATCGTTGGGTATCAGGTGGGCAATTAGGCTGTCGACGGCGCCCGCAATACGATGCTCGCGGTTGGCCGACATAGTGGCATCGCCAGGAGCTGACTACCTCGATGACCAGCGAATGATCGGGATTTCGCGAGAGATGGGGTATTGGCGACGATTGAGCGTAAAGGAGAAAACCAAAAGAGCGACCCTCGTCGCCGTGTGCATCAATTCTGGTGTTGTATTTCCTGTAGTATGCCGCTGAACGACGCGCCGGACGCGACTTCACAGTGTTCCTGGTGCCAGTTGAGAGTAATCTACAGGGGGTAGAATTCAGGTGGTCAATGCGTCGCCTAAAGTACTAGAGACTCTTGGTGCTATGGGAATTCCGCACTCTACTCAGTACCAGTCACCTTTACCCCAGGCTCGGTCCTCCCCTGCGTTTGTCGTCAGACAGCGTCGGCAAAATTTCCTACGACAAAGCAGCGCTGCGACTCAATCGCATCTTCCTCCACTGGACGATACGAAATCGATCAACCTCATTCCGACCTTTTGCCATCACGCCCACACCCGCAACATGCCCCATTCATCAAGATAATACCTTTTTTACGATCGCATTCTCTCGGCCTTTTGATCTATGCTACTCATGATCATATTTTCCGCGTTGCGCCAAGTCCTGCCCGCCGCCGCTGTTGCTGCCGCACGCGACTGTCGCTCTGCTCCACTAATACGCCCGACAACGTGATCTGCCTGTCTGGCATCCCGTCGCAATGCCCGACATCGACCCCGCGGCCTTGAGCAGCCGCCCATCCGTAAATCTCTCGACACCAACACTATCTACCAAATCCATCACCGTTCAGCCCCCTGGCTCCCTTAAAACCTCCAAAACCAGCCAGATTATCCCCGCCCGCATTGACCTTGAGCCGCTCTATACCTCCTTGAAGCAGGCCATTGGCCCGGAGGCATGGGTCATTTACAAGGAGTCAACAACAGAGTTTCTCATCGGTACACAACCCCAAGGTATCGGCGCATCCAGGTTCTAAGTGCTAATTTGCAATCACAGGTCGTCTGAATCAAACTGAATACTCGGAACGAATCGATCCTATTCTAGCGTCCCCCAATGGCGAGAAAGAGCACCTACACAACCAGCTTATTGCTGCGATATACGGCAATGTCACAAGAGAGATGCCTGACCAGGGGCTTGCCCCGTGGGTTAGCGCCAATGACAAGCCTACGGCACCAGCCGGCAGCAAGCCTGTGTCTGGCGATGCTGCTGAGCGTCGACTGAAGGGCGAAGTCATGCAACTTCCGAGCAAAGATCGTCGACGCATCAAGGACCTGGCGTCCAATGATGTTAGTCCAAGTCTCTATACCACATGGCGAATTCACAGTCTAATCTATCCATCACAGTTCGATCCGCACGAGAACCTAGCCAATGCCTTCTTGGATAACCATAGACGGCAGACTAAGGCCGCCGAAGTACCACCTAGTGCGGGAGGCATAGGCGGTATCAACAAGATGAGTGCGTGGAAACTTGACCTTTTGTTGACATTCAAATATTAACTGGATGGATAGATTTTGACCTCGAGATTCGTAAACGCTTCGCCCAGCCCTTAGCTGTTGAGTCAGGCGAATTCCCAGACGCCCCCTTAATCGAAGGCCGAATGCTACCATTCTGCTACGAGGCAGGACTTACGAGCGGACATGTTCCAGATGCGGCACACTTCATGTCAGTGGCAACCGAGACGTTCATCAAAGAGGCGCTGGCCGCTATATTCTCCAAGACACGAAGCAACGGGCCTGGAGAAGGCGGCACAGCCGGCTTCGGTGCTGGCACACAATGGATTCAAACACACAAGTACCGCCATCAGCTTGTCAAAGAGGAGGATGCGGCCTTGCGAGGTGAGCTATCTCGTGACAAGAGCGGTCTATTGCCGATTGAGTCGAAAGCTGCTAGTGAGCGAGGCCCTCTTGGTATGGCAGATGTTAGAATTGCCCTGGAGATGGCGGATAGTGGCCTAGCACAATTTCCCATCATTAATACGTCAATATCGTACGGATACCGCGAAGGAGAACTCGAAAACTGGCACGACTACACTTGGCTTCCAGGCTTCGAAGAGTTGGCCAACGGTGGCAACAGTGGAAAGGTATCTGATGTTCGGCCTTCCGTTACACAGCTTCCTAACGGACACGTCGACGCAATGGAGGTTGATTCCGAACCTTGGTGGGAAGGTGCTGATCCTCAGGACATGGGCACTCTCGATTCAGTTCTGGACTCGTGTTTGGCGGTCGGGTCATAGTATGGATGGCGGCCAGCACCAAGGCCATGGGCTTCTCAGCGGGACAGGCTCTACTCTAAGCGTTTCTTTCGGGCCATAGCTCCGATCCACAAAGACTAGGCGTGCTTATGGGGTTGGGAAAAAGCACAACCCGGAGGCCATGACCAACGCCGACACGTGGATGGGTTAGAAGAACGGCGGCTTGATTCCTCTCAAAAGCCCGGATTGTTCAGCCGTCAGATCGCATCAGCATAGGCATTGGGCAAGGCGTCGAAGGTATTGCGTTTGACTTTTATTGTTTTATTCGTTGTGTCGCCTCATGCGCTTTTATCACTACAATCTACTGCCCAGGATATGGAGGAGGGGAGTCGAGCATGCTTATACATCAACACACTAGGAGGCGTTCACGGATCTTTAGCGAAGGAAGGGTTTTGTACAGTAAGGACGATACCCGATACGCTCGCACCATGTGAGCCTCAAGTATAGGAAGGTGGCGAACAGGGTAGGCCTAGTTAGCGGGTCTTAGAAGGCAACTTATGTAACACGTAAAGTTATTCATTTGCATGTGTGCTCAAGGTTGCTTGATTTATGTATCTCTTTACATTCGTACTGTTATCCCACTTGGAGTTACGTGTGCCACAAGCACTCGTACTTCTAAACGTGCGCTCAGAGTTGTTTATGTACAAGTCGTCCAAATACAAGCGCATCTGTTTCATTATAGCTTGGCATGTGGCTTTTCGCTTTCCATTTCCCTCTTGGCTTGTTCTCTGAGGTTCTTTCGCAAGATCTTACCGGACTGGCCAAACCGTTAGTATCGGACATCTGAAAAGGAATCAGGCAGTACAAAAAACTCACCGGGTTCTTGGGAATAACATCAGTAAATTTCACGCCCCCCTTAAGACGCTTGTGCTTGGCAACTCTCTCCTCTAACCACTTGGCAATTTCTTCGGCAGAAGCGTTGGTGTCCGGTGATCGAACGATGTAGGCCCGGGGGAATTCGTCGCCATCTATGGCAACACCAATTACGGCCACATCAGCTACATCTGGACGCTCGAGCAGAAGGGCCTCAAGCTCAGCGGGGGCGACCTGGTTGCCCTTGACCTTAATGAGTTCCTTCTTACGGTCGACAATGTAGAACAGACTGCCGGTCTTGTACTCGTCAAAATAGGCAATATCACCCGTTCGCAGCCACCGGTGGCCGGCTGAGTCGGTGAGTACAGTCTCCTGGGTTGCTTTGGGATTACGCCAATAGCCGCGCATCACTGTCGGAGCTGTGATCAAAAGCTCGCCAGGAACCTTAGGCTCTGTGATCTCCTTGCCGTTTTCATCAAGTAGCTTCGCCATGCAATTGGGCATGAGCTCGCCGACTGAGGCACTGCGTTCCAGCCGGGAGGGGTCCCATGTCAGGGCCGTACAAGTGAGCTCAGTCATGCCCCAACCCTGACGGACGATAAGATCAGGTTTGTTGAGGATGCGCTCCGTCTGACGAGCAATGTCGATAGCGAGTGGCGCGGCTCCAGAGCCGACAGATTCGAGACTGCTCAGGTCGAACTTTGCGGTGATGGGGTGCTTGGTCAGAGCGACAAGGATGGGGGGCACGCTCACGAGGTGGGTAACACGATAGCGCTGGATGTGGGTGAGCATCTTGACGAAGTCGAAGCTCGGCATAATGTACACAGGAATTCCCAGCTTGGCAAAGTTGGCAACAAAGTATGTCTGCGCGTAGGCATGGTACAGAGGCAGAAAGCAGAGGCCGACAGACCGTGCGATGTAAGCCTCATAGTCCTTCTCGAGTGCTTGAACTTTGACGACACCAACGCCGTTGGCGACATAACTGTAGTGTGAGATCTCGACGCCCTTGGGCACGCCCGTTGTGCCGGAGCTGTAGTTGAGACAACACGTTGTCATGCGAGCGTCGGCCGGTTCAATCCACTCAAACTTCTCCGCCTGGGCTTTCGGGGCAATGAGCTCCGTCCAGTGACGGGCGCCACCTCGTGGGGGCTTCTCTGGCTGGGTCGAGCCGATGACAGTAGTGTCAAAGACAAAGACGTTGCTTACTGGCATTTGGGCCTCTTTTGCGGCATCCAGAGCTACTTCAAGGCTACCCTCAGCGGCCACCATGAACGAGGCGCCGCTATCCTTAAGCTGATATGCGAGCTCGCGTGATACGAAGCCGGGATTAGCTCCAGTGAAGACGCCGCCGGCCATCAGGACGCCGAGGAAAAGGACGGGAAAGAAGAGATTGTTTCCCGAAAAGAGCAGTACGCGATCGCCAGGCTTGAGACCGGCATTCTGCAAGCCAATAGCGATCTGCTTGGCCACGAGCCGGTAGTCGGAAAAGGTCAGGTAGTGGGTATCTGGGCGGTCGGCATCATAAAAGGCCTTGCGGTCGGTGAGAGGCTCAAATGAGGAACCAAATATCCATTTCTGCAACGAGCAGTTCGGAATTGGTTCCGTCCATCGTGACTTGACCGGCATTTTCAGTGATTCCGAGTGGTTACTGGAGATAATTTTGTGGATAGCTAAAATCGTATGATGAACTTGAAGATTGCGACCTGTCGACGTGTTCGAAGAGTCAGTGAGGCTGTATGTGCGCCGCTGCGGGTGCCTCTAACTCAATGCTTGATGCGAGATGCAATGGGGTCTCCTTGCACTCGAGAAGGAAAACGTGTTCTTGTTTAGGATCGTAAAGTGTAACGACAGTCGCTGTTCAAAAGACTCTCTTATTTAAGGTTTGAAGCTTCTCAATGAGGCCCCTGTCTGAACCGAAACCGAGGTAACCGTAGTCTTAGAGTAAAAGATAAAGCTACCTGCACTTGAGTCAGCAAAAGTTCCTTGTCAAAAATTATATGAGAAAACATTACACACAACTTACCAGTTCGTCAGCTAGCCGGTTTATACACGGTAGAGTAGGCAATAAGCAGTTTCCAACTCTACCAATGTTAAGACCATTGAGGTAGGGGACTATGGAAGTTGCGAGGGGTTCGGCTCACTCATATAGCCAAGCAGCACCCGTCGAAACCCCAGATCCCCATACTAAGGCAGCCAATGGCCGGGGAAAGCCCACGAGACCAAGGCAACTTGTTGATACATCTAAACCTGGGGGAAACCATTTGTGACGCTAGTTCTCCGCATCCTACCCCTGTCGGTGCGGGGGTAAGTAGGGGAGCTCGCCAACTTACGAATGGGTGATGGCGCGTAGCTGAAGACAAGCCGAGGCACGGCTAACGGAAAGGCTGTGAGGGGGAACAACCACGCTGACGCCGCATGCCATGTCCAAAAGCGGTTTACATGTCGTTCATTGCCAACCCCCTTCCTGTCAGTCCTGCGGTTCGTTAGGCGCAAAGATGAGATGGAAGGAGGGGAATTTGTGGAATAGATGCGACCGAGTCCGGCTCCGAATTCGGTTATCTGTGACGCGAGACAGCAAGGAGCAGAAAGTCCGTTTTGTGGGTGCTGCCAGAGCCGCGTTTTTGCGTCGCAGACGCTGGGAAAAGAAACTTTCCGACTCAATGCAATTCATGACAGAGTAGCGTGCGCAAAAACAGAGCTATTTTATTGTGATTTCTCCTGTATGCCAGATCTGGCGTAAGTGTGCAGATAGAGCGTTCGTTTTACATCACTTGCTTTTGCCTGCTCGGCGGCTTGGGTGATGATTATGCAGGCCGCTATCCTAAATGTGATCTAGTATGTACAGTACCAAATATTCTTACAGGAGCTGAAACTCAAGCTAAGTCTACAGTTTACCTGCTGGGGACTGTAGAGGTCTTCCTGCCGTTTGCTGGCAGGCCTGGGATATTGGATTGAACAGATGTTGGAGGACAGCTATCAAAGTCAAAGCTCGGCGGTGTGATATGTCTTACCTGGCTTTCGAAAGCTATGCAACTTGAATGTCACAGATAACGACTTTGGGCTCTCGGGCTAGTTAGGTCAGTCGCCTTACCAAGCATTTTTATAGCCATCAATCCCATAACCAATCTCACTGATGACTGATAGATATTGTTGGTTAATGACACCTGAAAGATACGATTATTGCAAGATCGATGAGAAGAACGCTGGCAGACTTGGCAGAACATTAAGCAAGAGTGTTGACCAGGTGGTAGATACTCTATTTTCCTGAGCCAATGGATTATTTTAAACGCAGTTATTCTTTACATTATCATGAAAGAATGCATATAAGTAATTTCGCCGATCGGTCTTCTTCTCGTCAAAAGGGACTAATGTTTGAAGGCTTGGATTGTGGAAGGTACCAAATGTAATGTTAAACAGGACTGAAAGAGATGGTGAGGAGCGATGACCCATAATATAACATAACTTTATGCATGCACAATAACACCAGGACTCTGTGCACAAAAATGGTTCCCGTACATTAGCCGACCCGGCCAATCACCATTATTCATTATCCAAGCAGCTCACGACTTTTGAACCTCCCGGAATCCGAAGCGAACAGCCATCATCACCACGCCCTCCGCCATCGCCAATTGAGCAGCCACCATCCCTCGTCATGGCCTCCAGACTCACACCTCTTCTCTTCAGGTCAGCCCTCCGCTCGACGTGTCGAGCGGCGCGGCCCCAGATTCGCGCCCTTTCTGTCACAGCTGTTCGCCCCAGCGACACACTCCAAGTGGTAAGTCGCTCGCCTCCGGCCTCCCATCACAGCATTGCACCCCTTCGGCTGGCATCAATTGCCCTTCTAGCGACTTCTGCACCTTTGTATACTTGGACTAGAGAACAAATTGGACATTTGCCGGAGAGCAAGTTCGAACAACGCTAGAGAGACCTTCGCTGACCACTGCTCCCTAATAGCACCGCGACTCCCCCGAGAACAACACCAACATCCCCTTCAAGTTCAACAAGGAGAATGAGGCCGTCATCGCCGAGATCCTTAAGCGCTACCCGCCTCAGTACAAGAAGGCTGCTGTCATGCCCATTCTTGATCTCGGCCAACGCCAGCACGGCTTTACCAGCATTAGCGTCATGAACGAGGTCGCCCGTCTCCTCGAGATGCCTCCTTCCCGTGTCTACGAGGTCGCCTCTTTCTACACCATGTACAACCGCACGCCTGTTGGCAAGTACTTCATTCAGGCCTGCACAACTGTGAGTTATCCCCCGCTCTTCCGGGCTGTAATTCTTCAACTCGCTTTTCGCCAAAATAGCCGTTGGTCCGGTACAATAGCTTCGGGCTATAGACAAAGTTCCATATCGGATGAGCTGCGATGGACGGATTCAGGAACAGTTATTCACTAACGGTACTACTTCAGACCCCCTGCCAGCTCGGCGGTGTTGGCTCCGACGTCATCGTTAAGGCCATCATCGACCACTTGGGCATTAAGCAAGGCGAGACGACCAAGGACGGCCTTTTCACCCTTCTCGAGGTTGAGTGCCTTGGCGCCTGTGTGAACGCACCCATGATCCAGATCAACGACGATTACTACGAGGACCTTACTCCCGAGACCACCGTCCAGCTCCTCGATGCCCTCAAGGCTACCGCCAGCGCCACTGGCGGCGTCTCTGCCGCCAAGGTCCCCAAGCCCGGCCCGCTTAGCGGCCGTGATACCTGCGAGAACAGCAAGGGCCTGACGAACCTCACTGCTGAGCCGTGGGGCCCCGAGACGACGCGGAGCGATTTGTAAGAAAAGAAAAGATATTGGAGGGTGACGAGGGCGAGAGGGAGAGAAAAGCGCGTGCGCGGATGTTGGATGATACCGACGAAGGGCCGGGCAAATGGATTAGAGTCAGGGGTTCTGGCTTGTATATAAATCACACATGTGCAGTATTCGGAATGCATGGGAAGACGGTTAGAGATTCAGTCCTCCTTTCCGTGCTCGAGGCCGCGAGTACTTGTGCATTGCTCATTTTGTTTTGACGTCAAAAATAATCTGGTCAATTGCTATTGGATTGTCGCTACAAATTTGCTCTTTTTAAAATTGGGGAATACGGAACTGAAGCAGGTCTGTTCTTTCTGAGATGTTGTCTCACACTGGGAGTCTCAGTATCCATCCATCATGCAATCTCTTGTTCTCCGAGCTCAATCCACCCCAAATAACGACACCGCTCTCCTCCACATCCCCCATCGGTGCCGACGCGAACCAGCCACGTGGTGCTGGCTCACCATCATCATTGTCATCGTCGTAGGGCTCCGTAGTCAGTCGAGTCCACTTGCCCTCCCCCGTCTGCCAGCCGATGGTTTGCCACATAGCATCCCGGACGCTGGCGGCCGTCATGCCGAGAGGCGGTACTTGGAACGCCCACACGTCGTCCCACATGGCACCGGCGCCGGAGTGACCATCCGGGCTTGGCTCGCGTTCGCCCATGATAAGAAGCAAATACTCACGGCCGGCACCGACGGTCACAGCCTCAAGACCAGCTACACTACGATGTCCGGGCCATACCTGATCAGCAATGAGTTGTATCTCATCTTCTCCAGAATTGGCACCCTGAACAATGCTCTGCCATCCGCCGCGGCCATGGACGGCAATCTCGCCCTTGGAAACGCCGTCATCAAAGGTATCCATTTCAAGGTGGAGGAAGTCCAGTTGGCCTCCAAGTTCACCCTTGCCGTCGAAGCCGCCAAAACGAAACAGCCGGCTTTTGCTTACCGCGATCGCGGCGCCGCCGCGCGCGGGGCCAGGTGCGGAGGGAAGCTGGCTCCATACTCGGCTTCGGACATCAAAAGCCCAGAGATCGTTGGTGCGTTCGCCGCTGGCCAAGCAGCCGCCATGAACGAAGAAAGTACCATATCCTTCGTCCTCCTCATCAACGGCGTTAGCAGCAAGATGGCCAACAATTGGTGCCTGGGGAATGCCAACTTCAGCGCTGTCGCCTACAGCCCAAGCCTTCCAGCTCTGAGCGCGGCGCGTACGCTTAGGCGCAAAGTCGCGGGGACGGTCGGTGGCGGCGGCGGAGTGGTAGCTTCGCGCGGAAGGCATGGGCAAAATTGTCACACCCGGAGCAGGTGGAACAGGGTCAAGGTAGGTCCAGGTATTGGTGCGCGTGTCGAAGACCCAGACACGGCCGGCCTCTTCAAGAGGTGTCATATCGGCTCCTCCGCGACCGCCGAAGACGAAGATGCGGCTACCAATAACTGCGCTGGCATGGCCAACACGAGGAGCAGGAACGTCCCCTGGGACGGGGACATCAGGAGCAGCCAAACCCTTCCCCTTGTCCTTGACAGTCACCTCTGCGTTTTCCTCTTCATTCAAGCTTTCTTCGTCGGCTGGGCCAGCTGATGGGGACGCAAGAGATACATCGTCGAGAAGCTGCTCCTTCTGTTCCGCCTTCTCTTCAACGGTCGGCTGCTCAGTTGTCTCTACGGCCTCCTTCTTAAAAGGTTCGGGAACGGCGGGCGGAGTATACTGCTTCGGGGGAACAGATTTGATCTTGTAGTAATCGGCACCAGCGCTGTTGTACGGCAGCCTGATGATGTGGACATCGTTGTCTACAGGTTCGCGCGGGTTGATCTCGCCGCCAAAGACGTATGCAGAACCGTTGACGACGTTGATGGTGTGAGACGAACGGGCCAGAGGGGGAACATCGATTTTCTCCCAGGTGCCCTTCATCGGCTTGGGGCCGGAATTGCTCGAAAAAGATGGTTTCTTCACGTTGACACTAGGCATGGTGGGGAGATTTTGCGGGAGGGATTGGAGGACTTCGGTCGTCCGACGCTTAAGAGCAGCAAAGGACTCCATGGTTGCTTGCGTAATAAGGGTTTTGAATCGGTATCAATGAAGGAATGTGGAATTGGGAGGCAAGATTGAGTGGGTGAATTGCGTGAATATGAGGTCAAGTTTGTGTGCTGACAGTTGCTGCTGATGAGCAGGATAACCTTGATGATATGACGTAGCGAATTGCTTCTCACCTCAGACAGGATGAGAGTAAGCGGGCATTGAACGCAAGCGCCGGATGCGGAAGGATTACGCCGGAGTAGCAAAAGAAGGAGAACGTTGCACTCAAGGGGTTTTATGAAAAGCGAGGGGAAAAGGTTTCCTCTGCAAATTGCTTACTGCCTTTGCCTCGTATCGCCCTGCGACTGGCTTCAGCAAGCGCCTTTGTGTACTATATGCGATGATGGCTCAGCTTGCAGAGGGAGCGGGGGCGCAGGCTGCCAGAGCTCCTTGTCATCCTATCAAGGAGGTCGGTGCGCCCAGCGCAAAGGGCTCTTGTGGTACCTGTCGCCTCTGGTGTAGCGGTCGGCAGTGCCGTTGGTGGGGTAGTCGCCGGCTTTCGCACCCTTAGTTCGCTCCTCCCTGATGCCCAGTCGTTCTAGGTCCACTGGCCCGCCAAACAGCAGGACCCCAGAAAGGTTGTTTCTTCCCAGGTCGCAGGGTTAGTCACCGTGGTCACCTAGTGTAGTACATAGGTGCTATGTAGTGGGACGGCCCCGACGACGCAGTCAGCTCACCAGCCTCCGCCAACGGATCCATGACCCCTATCGCCTAGGAAACACCCTGATCACAGTGACCTCAGCAGCACTATGTCAGACTCAAAACAATCAATCAATTGTCCAAACAAGCCACCAGCTCAGCCAGACAAGCCACAAAACTGGCCTAGTCTGCAAGTCAAGATTCTGCCAGACGCAGGCATCAGCCCCCGGCGCGACTCAGCAGATGGGTGTCATCAGGTTATGATCCCACCGAGGCCCCTCAATTGCCATATATTGGGGACAGGCCAGCCCAATCACGGCTGATTTGCGAAACAAACTGTGGAAACAAAGTAACAGCGTGGAAACGCCCTTGCACCGAACTCTGCCCATGGCTCTGACTGTGTATAGCGTCCCGCGTCATCCATTCGGCACGCTTACTTATATTTAACCCTGCCTTTTTCTCGTCTTCCTCCTCGGCGGAGGAGATGCCATTCTCCGCAGCGGCCTTCGCGGCGGTATCCAGCCCGGAGATGGGGGCGGGGGCGGTATCATTTCAACTAAGACACCCGGAGCGGGCGGCGGGGGCGGCGGAGGCGGAGGTGGATTCAATGGCCACATATGCATGGTTATTAGCATGCCCGGCTCCAAGATATCCTCCCAAAGCTCCGGCAAAATCATGCTACTACAGGAGCCTGGCAGCGATGCTCCAGCTGCTGGTTTCGGCGGCGCTGTGTTCGTCGACGAGGATGGTGATGAGCTCTCGGCGGTTTGTGAAGCCATGTGTTGAAAGCTCATTAATGCTGGGTTCACCGCCGCGCTTTCTCCCGACACCCACACATTATGAACGAAGAGGTCATAATGGCCTGCCAAGACATGCGGACCCAACACGTCGACATTTGAGAAGATGCTCTTGATGAGGTTCCTGACACGCTAGTTTTCTTGCTTTTAGCTAACCGTCCATTGATGCTAGTAGTTGTGTTCAGTTCAGGAAGAGAGGCCTTACCGGCCAGGACTTGGCAACCCTCCAAGGAATCATCATGTTCCTCCCTACACAATCCTTGAAACGGATGGGCAGCTTCTGCGGTGGCCGGTCTGGTGTCTTCTCCCAGCCAGGCTGACCCATCACGGGTGGTTGATAGGGTTGGACAACTAGTGCTGGCGGCAGTTGGGCTACTTCCAGTTGTTCTCTCAGAGAGTTCTGCTGAGCTGTGGTGCCGTGGACAGCGGAAGACGTTTTATTCAACATAACTCCGGCAAGTTTCTGCTCCTTCACAGCCTGGCACTCATGATGTTCTCCAGGCAATTCACCCGCGCATTCTTCCAGACTTGACTCATGCGTGGCTGGTTTAAGCTGGCCATTTGAGCTGCTGGTATCAGTATCTGCTCCCAGCTTGATACTAGCAATTGAGCAGAGCTCTGCAGCATCTGATGTCTTCGGTGCTGCGTTGCCGTCTACTTCCACTAGTCCTTGGCCCGCACTGTCATCGTTCTTGGCCGAACCAGCTTCGTCACGTACTTGTTGTTCGTCTTTGGCCTGCGGCTCTTCTCGTCCAACCGAGGCCTCCATTAAAGAAAGAAAACGAAAAAAAAATTAAAGCTTAAACGTATCGGCAGCGGAAGGCTTAGTACGCAACAAATGCAAACAAGGCTACTATCAGCTCCGCCGATCACTGTTGATCCAGAAAAGAACCCCTTCGACGAGGAGAGATGAGGATGGGAAGAGGGTTGCGGCCGGTTTCCCCGCCCTTGGACACGAGGCAGATAGTACGTTGGTGCAACCGGTGTGTAATACCGGTACGCTGCACTTGTGATTGGGAGTTCCGTAATTGTCGACGCATCGAGTGTCATGCCGCCCTTCCCCTTCTGCTTGCCTACGTCTTCGGCGTCTCCTCGTGATCTGCTTTTATGCGCCGTTCTACAGACATTCTCGTTTCGCCCGCGGACCCGAGAGCGTGGTTGCTGAGGACCACATCACCCTAGACGTGACGACGATACGAATGTTTTGCACGTACATTGCGCATTCATGCAATTTGTTGGTTACTGCACTGCACGGCCACGAAGCATTGCATCTGTTCACCAACAGTATGATGCGCCTCACTCTTGGCTAACGTACCCTCTTGGCCTTCCAACCCTTTCTTTCCATCCTTCCATCCTTCCTTCTCTCCTTCCCTCCCTTCCGTTACCGACGGCGCATTCACGTCTGCGCAAGGTTTTCTTCTTTTTCCTAGGAAGTAGCGCCGATGTTACTCAGAAAAGCCCTGAACCAGATTAGAATGGTCTGTTGGGCGTCATGCAAGCTGTGTGGCTATGTCTCCACCCTCCCAATGGAAGGTCATCACTCTAACCCACCTCAGCCGCTGCAGGACCGACGGTATCAAACGTGTACTAGTGCTGACATGCTTAGTTCTCCTTGGCTCTCTTTTGCTCACCTTTCTGTCTGTACGTCTCTTGTTCTATCCGTATTTGTGCTCATGTAAAAGTCACACTAGAAAAGTGAAAGGGGGGAGGGGGCGGGGGGGGGCAGGATCTGTCTTGGTGTTCCGCCGGGCCTTTGGGGGCTGAAAAACGCCCACTTTGAGGTAGAGGATCAGGGAATGCATAATGGCGTCAGCACCCAGAATTAAAATGAGATGCTGACGGGACACACATTCGAGGCCCTAAACGGGGGTAGAGACCCGGGAAACCACCACTGCAGTATGCAGCCTTGAGGCGTTGTCAGTATGCCACTTGTCAGCAAACTTTGATAGCACACACCCAAAACCAGACCGCACGCCCATACCAAGGGATACACGCCCCCTCCCCCCCCCCCCCCCCCCCCCCCCCCCCTTCTTACGGCGGTGGTGTGGTTTTGTTCGGCGGCTATCGAAGCAGTTGAGCCGCATTTGCTCAGGGTCCTAGGCTGCCCCTCCTCTCTCAATCCAGTCCAGACTGTCAGTGAGATTGACTTGGCCGTTAGGTGTAAGTGGATTTGTTGGTTTGGTGTGAGCCGGGCCCCCCTCCTCGCTGTGAGCCTCTCTATTGCAACGATTTGCCGCGAAGGTGTACGCCGTTCCCGCCAGCCTCGAACACAACGACGGTCAGTACAAAGCGACCTTAAGCGCGAACGTATAGAGCAACCATAATTGGCATTTGTCTTCCTGCAAGGCCTCTGGGGCGTCAAGTAACTACAGAAGATACCGGCATGGTAGTCAGGGGCTCACATGAGAGCTGCGCTCTGTATGCCAGCGAGCCAACTCCAAAGTTCATAGTAGTCACGAAACCATGACGTGGGAAGTACATAGAAGCTAAAGGAGAGTGATAAAAACGGTATCAATATTGCAGTTTCAATATTTAAAAGTCATGACAGTCATGAAACCTGGAGCCCCCGTTCCAGTTGTGCCTAGTCTATCTATCCCTAATGGAAATGACCCCTTTTACGTGCCCTATCACAGTCCGTCGTAGAAGCCATAACAGAATAATCAAAAACACCTTCTCATGGTAGTAGATGTAATCGTCCAGAGAGGGTCGAAGAAAGAGGTATCACAAACGATTAAGAAAGAAAGAAGAAGAAAAACAATGCCAAAGAGTACCTCGTAAACCACCGCTAGAAAAGCTTCTTTAATAAGAGGCAAAAACGTATGAGGTTGATTAGGAAATGTAAACGTTGAGAACAGAAGTTACTCCTCGTCCTCGCCCTCAGCGTCCTCGTCGGAGTAGCCGGCAACGACAATCTCCTTGAGAGGTGACGACGAAGGAAGAACGCTGCCGCTGCCACTTCCAGGCTTTCCATTCCCTGAAGATGGTCCAACTTCGCCCTTGAGCGGATTGATGAGCTCCCACCCCTGGGCGGTGTTTGTCCTGCGAACAACATAGACTTCTGCACTTGAGGCCCAATTGGAAAGGGTAGGGTCGACCTCGCCGCCAAATACGACAGGGGGCTCCTTGCCGTCCGCAGCGCGTTCGAGATGACGGGCGACGTGCTCCATGCGCTCATCCCAGGCCTGGGGACCATTGAATTCATGGCTGCAGTTGACGGCAGGGCATCTCATGTGCCGTGGAAGATCGCAGCGCGTCTTTTCGGCTTCTGTCTGGAGACTTTTGAGAAGCTCGTCCCAGTCAGGAGTCGGCTTCTTCTGCTTCTGTGCCTTGCGGACGTTGTGAGGTACATGCATGCGGCGGACGTGCTGGGTGTATAGGTCCTTTCGGTTGAAGATGGCGCCGTTAGGCAGGGCTGGAGGCGTCGGGGAGATAGGACTTGAAGAAGATGAACGCCGGGAAGTTGGGGGATTAGTGGTCTTGGAGCAGCCGTCTTGAGTGCAAAGCCAGTATTGCAGTGCTAGATGTTGCGAGCTCACGTGGCGCTTCCATTCATTCTTGCTGGCAAAGGTGGACGGACATCCAGCATAGTTGAAGACGCACACGAAGGGGCGAGTGTGGTGCTGCTTCATGTGCTTCTGGTAAGTGCTTTCGTCTGAGAAAGAAGTCTTGCACTCGGTGCAGGTGATTTTGGTCCTTCGAGACGAAGGGACTGGTGCGGTAAAGTTGGGGGTCTGTCCATTGTCGTTACTGTTGACCCTTGGCCGCTTCCTCTCGGGTGTCGAGCTGGAAAGGGATTTGACAGTAGGGTTTCTAGTACGCTTCCTCGAAGTTTTAGGCGCGAAATCCAAGGCCTTCTCTCCATCGTTGAACGAAGAGACTTCAGCCTTGATCGCCGACTCGGAGGGTTCTTGTTCGCTGGGCTCAGGGTCAGGGTAGACTGGCCCAAAGGGTTGCTCGGCGACGTGGATCTCGCTCTTGATAATAGGTTCGGGGGTAATCTGTCTTGACGGGTATGCCCCTGTATGCTGGGCGATACTCAGATCGTCGGACTCAGTGCAGAAGCTGAAGGTCCGGCTGGGGTTGAGGTTCGTCGAGATCACATCGTCATCGAACATGGCTTGGGAAAGGTTTACTTCATGAGGGTTGACGCAAGCGCTACCCTGCATACCCATGCCAAGCAACGTGTGAGTTCGATATTGCTGTTGTGCTTCCCAGTCGACGGAGTATTGTTTGTGTTGCATGAACGGAGAAGTGGCCGAGTAGTCTGGAGGGGTCGCCGGAAGTATGTCGCTCTCAGTGGGAGGGCTATGGGAGTCGCTGCTGGACAACGTCTGCTGGGAGCAAGGAGAGCCATGCCTCCTTTGCGAAGCCGGAGGAAGAGGGTTGCTTGTCTGGGCTGAGTAGCTTATATTCTGTGCCGTGTGAACCTGATCGGGTATGAAGAAGGATGTCCGCGGCCCTTCCATGTATTGTTGAAGCTGGTGGGTTTGATGCCCTGGCCATGTCACTTGGAACTGTACTTGGGAGTATGACTCGAGACTTGGGTCGACGGGAGTACAAGAGTCGGAGATCAGTGAAGCGTCAATGTAAGAAATAGGTATCTGGCCAAACCCCTGTTGGTCATAGTATAGCTGCTCGGGAGGAGCCTGCCCGTGCGCATTCTGGTAGAGGTAGTCCATGATGGTTGATTCTATGTAGCCGAGGAGGAAGAAGGTCCACGAAACAGCCGCAAGAGGGTGGTGATATTATGTATAAGTGTTTTCCAGGAGATTTTTTTCGAAAGGCTTGAGAGAGGAAAAAAAAAGAGGCAAGCGTTCCAAGAAAACGGTGTTAGTCTGGGTGGAATGGGACCAAGTCTTCAGCCTGATGTTGAGTTCCGTCCCCGATAAGGCTATAGGGCTGGAGTCGTAATGAGGACGGGGAGACACGCCCAACTTGAGACCTGGACAAAAAGACAGATGAATTATATAAACGAAAGTGGTCTAAGGTTTGTGAGAGCTCATAGCAGAACCTGTCTTCGCGCTTGGTATAAACAATAAGAGACTCTATGATGACATTGGAAAGCCAACCAGCGTGGCGGAGCTCAGGGTTATAAGTCGACAAGGTGGAATCGAGCGGCAGAGGGTTCAGCAGCATGCCAGGGCTGCCGGCCAGGCGTTTCCCACGACTAGAGGAGCCAGAAGGTGCTTGGGGAATTGCAATAACCCCCATCGCAGAGGGCAGGGTGACTGGGGGCTTGGTACGTACCTTTTCGCAGAGCCGCATGGTACCAGAAGAGGGCTCAAAAGACGGATGGAAGGGCGAAAGAGAGGTGGGAAGGTATGGAAGGAACGGCAAGGATTTGCAGTTGAGTGGCCCATCATCATCAGCCAGGCGCTCCGGCGTCTGCATATGCACACACACCCCTGAGCCCTAAGACTGTGGCAGGGAAGATGGGTGGTGTTGGCAACCTTAGCACACCATGCACATGAGGAGATGGCAGGACGCTGTTGGCTTGCATCTGTATGTACATAAAATTATACAACACCACTTTAAAGCCGGTTGGTGCATGGCATGGGGGCCTAGGAGCGCGAACCATCGCGACAACGGCTGGTGGTGGTGACGGTTGTGGAGGGTGGGAGGAGCCGCCAGGGCTGGCCGCTGCGCCTTGGTTTGACTGTCTGTCCCCACGGAAGGGGGCGTGCAGGTGCTAGGCTTGTTTCTGTTGAGTCGTCTCGGGCTCGAGGAGGGCAAGGCATGTGGCATGTCTCCCCTTGTTTTCCAGATCTAGGCAGAGACGGCTGGCCGGTTGCCTTTTTACAGTTGCCTCACGACCAGCGAATTGAAAGTGCCTCTCCGGACAGTCATGACCAACACTTGCCGTCACTAAGGCGCAGCATCGAAGCATGTCGACTCAACTGAGGTGGGTTCCAGGAGGGTTTCGATCCAGTTGAGCTCTTTCATCCAAGCCCTCTCTTGAATTTGACGGACAGCGGCGGCGGCGGCCCCAACCTCGTAAAGCGATACCAGGACGCAATAAAACGGGAGTGGCGTCGATGATCATTGTCGGAAGTGTCGGTCAGCTGGCGCTGCTAGTATTGGTAATTTTGAGTCCCATCACGGATACTGCTTTTTGAGCCCAGGAGTTGATCCATTTCAGCATCCCATGGCTAGGGTACGGATGTTCACTTCTCAGTCGGGTACCGCCTTTAGGGGTCTGGAGTGGAAGAGCGCGCGGCTGCTTTCTCCTTGTCTTGACCAAGATCCTGGATGGCGATGAGCGAACGAGCATCTGTAAATGACAACCGGGCCGGAGGGGTGGTTGATGGGCAAATCATCTTGAGACTGGCCAATGACATCTCAGCCGTCGTAAATGGGTAAATCTGCTAAGGAACATGGAATCGTCGATAAGGGTTGGTGTCGGGACAGATGGTTATCCCGACGCAACACCCCCCTCTAGTGTATACTTGACCGCGCCGCAACGTGCTATGCTAGGAAGCCCCTTGGCTAAAAACCACTGCCGACGACATGCTACGGGGTCTCAGAAACGACATTATTGTCTCGCGCGCTCGCCTGTTGCTGAAATGGAGCAGCAGGAGGCATGGCAGGGTATCCATGGGCTACTTGAAGAGAAGCAAGCAAAGATCGCCGTCGGGGTTTCGATGGGGGGGTGGGAAAGGGAGAAGGATAGGGCGTGTCAAGTGAATGTGAGATGGATACATACTATGTAGGAGTGGGTGAAAAAGGGTGAGGGAAAGAGAAGATTGCAAAGGGCTTGTCTACTTTGCATCCTCCACTCCGCACAGTAGCCAAGAGCCAAGTCCAAGTCCAGGTCCAGTTCCGGGTCCAGTTCCAGTTTGGGAGTTCCAGTTCCAGTGCAGCAGTTTCAATTGGCTCCCCGCAAGGCGGATTAAGGCAGCCAGAAAAGGCTTACTAGCCTGACAGCGTGGTCGCAATGAGTACGGAAGCACTTTCTCAACCTTACCCCAGTGTCCAGTGAGCGACTGCCAACATTGCGTGTTTGTGGAGTTGATGGATGGGGAGGCGCGGGTTGCGAGGCAAAAGTAGTCAAGAGCGGGTGGCCTGGCCAGAAATGCCCACTTGCCTGCCAGCAAGGCATCGATATAGCTACATAGTACTGCTGTACGGATACCTACCAGGCGCATTGGGAGCATCTACGCTTATTCACACGGAAAGTGTCTTCTACCCACCTTAGTCAATACCTTATCCATACCCACACCAGCAGTTGCAGGTGCCTTCGTTTCGCTACGGCCAATGTCGAATCTCTCCAGTACGAATTACGGACTCCCTTGGCCATCCCATCCCAGTGGGCAGAACCTACGGGTAGTAGCCAGCTACTGGGCAGTAAAACAGATTCAAACTTTCTTCGACAACCGATGCACCAATGCACTGACTTGTCTGTCACCTCCTTATTAGAAGTCCTCCACAATTTGAAGGTCCGTCCCGTCCTGCGCTCTCTGCTGTCCCGGTCCATGCCAGTCTTTTCATTCTCTTTCAGGCAACCTATTCGGCTGCTGGAGTAGATGGGGCCAGTGCAGGCCATCCCTGTTCCATGGCAGACCACACCGGACGAACACACAAGTCCGAGCATAGTCAATGGGCCCGACTGTACTAGTAGTGAGGGTGAAGGAAATCCACAATGCAGTTGGGAAACGCGCGGATGCTGGCAGCAAAAAAACAAAAAAAAAAAAAAAAAAAGAGTGGTTCGAAACCCCGACGACCACCCGACGGTCCTCCAACAACGTTCCATTCTCAACTGCTGTTACATCTTAGCATCCTAAGCAGAATGAGATTACCCAAAACATCGCCCTGCACAATGGACACCACAATAATAGGTCTCGCTCCGACGCCTATCAGCACCTCTTCTGGCCGTCCAACATCCAGACGTCGTCGTGCCGATCTTGAGAGGGTTAGGGCCCGACGTGTATGTGGCCGCGACTACGGAGTACTATCTATGTCGAAAGTCGCGTTGCCCGGCTTCAGTGCCCCAATTCTCATGCACCCTTTCACTGCAATAATGGCGTGAATCCATTTCCAAATTAGCGAGTCTCTGCCCCATTCAGCAGTTGCAGTGCTTGGCACCATAAGTCGTAAAGTTCCGTTCTGCCCAGCGATCGCTCCTGACCACCCTGCCATGGCCCATTCCCCCTTTCGGCCTACTGGGCTCTTGGGTTGGCTGGGTACAGTACACGACCACACTGATTGTCCCAAGGTGTTCCGCCAAAGGACGCAAAGGAGACAGCGGCCCAAGAAATCAGGCAGACAGGTTTCTATGTAGCATTTTGGCGAGGCAATGTGCCGGTTCTGCTGTCTCGGGATCCAGCACCGCACTGCACTGGGCTTGCCACAGAACTTGATCTACTAGTATCGAGTGGCGGCTGTCACACTCACTGAGCAACAACTTATCACCGACAATCTCTTGCGCTGTGAGTGTCGACGTTGCATCCAAGAACTGATGCCATTCTGAGCGCGGAGTTTGGTCCGCACAGAGTGTGCGCTAGGAACAAAGTAGCCACTGGTTACTGGATTCAAGTTCCCACGTGCGATCGAGATCCACCGTCCCGCCTACTAGTAACTTGCCGTTTGCGTCCCAGGAAACGATGAGAATATGATACCGTCCTAGTACCTGTTCCGAACTTTGACAATACCTTCCTTCCACGGCCATGGCCATTTCTGCTGCGTTAAGCAGCCAATGATTTGCGCTCCAGCCAGATTTGGGTGGGTGCAAGGGAATGGCACAAGACCGGCTTGCCTGCCGGCCGGCCACCTACCCAATCACTGACACAACGGTCATTATTGGAGTATTTTACGGATACTCGCTGGCTTCAATCTCTACTATGTACGGAGCACCACCACCTGATGTTGATGCTGGAGAGCCCCCTCTTTCGGACCCCAACCTCTGAGCCAGGGTGACTGTATCCAGCAATCATTGGCCAGCCAAGTCAAGCTGAAAACATGTTCATTACACTATGGCACTCCTACTACAAAAATAGGCGGCTATTTTCTACCTCTCCTCTCCAGCACACTTCCAAACTGAGATCCAACGCCGTCTGAGCCCCAGGCATCTGATCCTTGCAGCTGGGTCCTAAATCAAAGACACTATATTTGCATCCACGCTGCATCCACGCAACTGCGATGCGAGCGGAAGCCAGCCCTCCATCATCGGCTGCAGGGGCGATGAGAGATGTTAGGATCTAGTGGAGTCTCGGAAGCCAAACAAGTTGGCACACTCCCAAAATGTACTCAACTGATGATCTTGGCCACCTGTCTCAGCTTCACCATCACGAGTGTTGTCGCGTGAGTGTCTTCAGCCCACGCGCAAGATGCGCGCCCACTTCTGGGTGACATAGGTGCGCGGCAATCCCAGCCTTAAAACGCACAAATGCGCACCCTCTACCCAACAACACAAACTGGCTCGTCGCCAATGGGGTCTAAACCCTCTGTTCTTGGTCGCTTCGCCATTCCACCTGGTGTTTTTGAGGCCCATCTATCTGTTCCATTCGCCTTAGCCTCCAGAATCGGCAGATCACTGGTAGACAGATCTTGGATATTCCAACGAGCTTCCGCCCAGTAAGGCGAAGGACTCGTATTATTGGGGCCACAAACTGGCCGCGCTTGAAACAACTCTTGCAGAAGGATTCGCCCAAAGGAGAAAACAACCCCGTGTATTGATTCCAGCATGTCGGTAGCGGATTCACGGCGATTGTGATTTTACCTCCGAGTTGGAACCCAGAGCCCCAATTCGTTTTTATTGCCTGCCCTTTTGATTGAAAGCAGGCCTGCCACACGGAGAGCCCGAATTGCACACTTCGACGATCCTTCATAACTACCCAGTAGAACCGCAATGCGCTCATGGTAGACGGGTATTGGCATCACTAGCAGGACTACGGATACCATGGAGGTGATCCTTTTCCGCATAACAACAGATGACAAATGACGACAACACGCGGTGTAGGGTATCCCTCTCGACTAAACAATCGGGAATGGGATCCCGGTACTACCCAGACCCGTCGATAACAGAACCGTGTGATCCATTGCGGGTTTCACGCCGCCGTGATTTGGCCAGCCCTCAAGGGTGGTCTTTTCTGAGACCCGCCTTCAAGAGCAACAGGCTGACGCCAAATGATCCTGCCCTGTCTCAACTTTTCATCGAGACATCTAGATGCGTTTCATTTAGTGACTGGCTGCTGTCCATCGAAGACACCTATAGTTTTTTTTTTTTTCTATTTTCCCCAAATCCCGCTCGCCGAGTGAGCGGGCGAGCCCGAGGGCCTATTGTACTTGTAGTTGAATATTGGCCATCATGTCTCGTGACGGATTCAATTACAATATGCTGGGCGTCCTTTTGACCAACTCCATTATGAAAATTGACTCGGAGATTACGAGTCCACCTGCATCATATCATCATTCATCCGTGGCCTAAACTGCCGTCGCTCTTGGGCAATCTTTAGCCGCAACGAGCGTCTCGCACTTTGCTTTCTTCGCTCCACCCCCAACTCCTCCCCGCAACCCACTCTGAAGTAAGTGACCGCCCACGCCCCTCCATTGGAAACTTCTTAATAACGCCGGGCCGGGAGAAAGGGGGGGGGGGGGGGGGGGGGGGGGGGGGGCGGAACAATAAAAAATAAACCTGCATAGCCTCGCTGTTATCGAACGTATGTACCTTGCTGTGAAGCGTGTCCCATGTCTAAAATCTAGATACATTGCCTGCCGTTCCAGCCCTGCCACACACCCCCTTCTCCCCTCCGGCCCCCCGGCCCCCAAACGTAGGACGGCATGGCCACCTCATCCATGGAAATGGTTCGACTTCTCGGACATCGGGCCAATAAACAGCTTCATGGTCCCGCTTGGCTAGGCCCTTACCGGCCCCCGAACAACGGTCCAGGGGGTCAGAAAGGAACGATGGTCGATTTTGCTAAGGTGAGAGAACCTACCGCCTGGGGCTTTCGTGATAGGCTCGACTTGGCGACATGGCGCGGACAGATAGTTCCAGGGTTGTCGCCTACATGACCTGCAAGGACGAGGAGGGAATCCAATCCAGAACCCCAGGTCTCGGGACACTGCCGTCGAAGGGCTTTGCTTTCCCCCTTCGAGGACCGGTCCGTGGTTGGCTGGGTCCGGTCCCTCCTTCGGTGCTTCTTCTCCTTCGTGGCTCTTCTGCTTTCTCATGCCTCCTGTCTACATATGCGTGATGTCAGGGGGCTTGCTTACACATCTGCGTGGCATGGTGGAACGACTGTAACGGGAAGAAGGTTCCGCTGAAGTTTGGATAACAGCTTATGCTATACTTGAGATGCCTGTGGGTGTGTTGGTAGATGTTATATTGGGTCTTCTTGGTGATACGAGCAATGGCAAAATATTAATGGGCATCTGCCGGAGACGCCTCATCATCTATTGGGAGGAACTCCGATGAATGTCCTCATAACAGTCTGTGTTCAAAATAGTCCGTCCATCCAAGGAAGGGGGAATCATTGTTTGTTGTAATGTGAGCCGACCACTCCCTGCTATTCTCGACATGTTCCTCGTCATCGAATCGCACCAATCCTCAAACAGATAAAATATAAAATTCAAAGGATATCACCGCTATAAATCATGCTTTTTCAAATCCATCTCTTATAGTCGACTTTTTTCATCGTTAACCAAAACCTCTTCGACTTCGCAGTTGGAGCATCGTCTGTGTGAGCACTCAATGCACAGTTCATGCAACTTGGCGTCAGCGTACACTCTACACCCGCACTGCCCACAGTCCTCTGTTAGTACTGGTTGATGGGAGGTTGGAGATGATGGCGGGTGTTACTTACGCAAAGCCACATAAGCGCGATAGAGGCATTCTTCAAACGCTTTGGATCTCGTTGTTCGCTGGCATTGTTGTCGTCTTCTAAGCTCCTCTTTTTTGAATCGCTGCTGTTCATGACCCGTACAGGGGCAGCGGCTTTGCTGCGCAATATAGCAATCTCGTCCCCGGAATCCGCATCGCTCGAGTCGTATGACGAGCCGGCGAAGTCCATATCCTGGAGTTCGGGGTCGACATTCTTCCACTCAGAGATGTCCTTCTTCGGCGCGTTGTCACGACCCGCATAATGGTTATCAATGTGGTTGAAGCGCTCCGTCCACGCGTTGGCGCCCTTCTTGGTGATCTCGATAATGCTTACGCAGAAACCGCACCAGAAACGGGACTCACAGTTGCGCCCGACGCGACAATTCTCGAGCGCAGTGTCAATTCGGGCCGAGTCTTCCATCTTGTGCTCCTTTAGGAGGTGGTTACGAAAGGTTTCGCGGCGATGACAGACCTTGCCGCAGGTATCGCTGCTGCTGCTGTTGCCACCGTCATCTTCGGCCCGCTTCTCGTCACACTTCCAGACCTCAAGTTGGAAATGCTGACTATTCTCATGGCGTTTCCAGTCATTCTTGCTGCCAAACTTCTTCTTGCAGCCGGCGAAGGTGCAGCCGTATGGCTTGTCATGTCGCTTCATGTGCTTCCTATTTATAAGTTAGTCAAGCTTGCAAATGACTGAGAACGCTTCGTCGTACTTAAGTTCGCATTTGCGGGCAAATGCCTTGTTGCAGCCAGAGGCAGAACATTTGTGCCCAATCTCGGTGGTGTTAGGTGGGGTAGGGACGGCTTTCGCTGTGTTATCTGACTGGGTTTTCAGGTATTTTTCGATGAGGCTTTTTGGCAACTTGTCCAGAAGTTTGACAACGTCCTGTTCGTTAATCCCATCGGCCGAGGAGGCCAACAGAGAATGTTTAACTCGGTTGGTTTCACCGCCGCTCAAGTCATCTAGATCCATTTTCGGTTCGCAATCCATGTTGGTCGACATTGAATCCTTAGGGGAACCCTGGGTAATGGTATTCGGGCGAGAAGAGGCGTTTTGAGACCGGAGCCCTCGTGGCACATCAGAGCGAGCATCTGCTTGGCCCACCACTAGGGTTTTCGAAGCCGGCCTGGAAACCTCCCGTGGCTGAACGTACTCATGATGACTCTGCATCATCAGGTCTGGATCATGTTGGTCTTGAGCCTTGCAAACAACCAAACTTATGGCTTGGGGGCCAAGAAGCATGTTCGTTGATGTTTCTTCGACGCTCGATAAAGATGGATCAAGGACAAGGTCGTCCATACCCATGGATTGCTCGGCTGAAGGAAGCTGGACATCTTCTAGTGCTAATGAACGGCCATCCCAAGCCCCTACAGAGGGTACTGCACCAAAGGCAAAAGCGGAAAGATCCGAACCTACACCTTCGAGGTCTATAGCCTGCTCTTGAGGCTTCTGCGGTGGCCTATTCAACAATTAGTAGCATATCTAAAGAATAGAATGGGGAGAAGGGACGAGGCAAATGGCGACAGCAAGGGCATAGCAACGAGAGAAATAGATGGATACCACTCACTGATAGATGAAGTCGCTGAGGTCGTCATCAGGTTGCACAATCTTGTGATGTACGCGCTTCAGGTGCTGTCGGAAGTTGTCGGCTCTTGGCCAAATTTTATCCTTCGTCGAGCAAGAGCCCATGTTGCAACGATACCTTGCACCGCCATTGTGACGTTCAGGGTGTACGCTGCTTTTGTGACGTTCAAGGTCGTTCAAGGTACCGAAGCCTTCCCTGCGTGTGCATCCGTGAACGTCGCATTTATATGCCTTGCGATGTCTTTGGTGGTGTTTGCTGGGATAGGCATTAGTACGGACGAAGGTGCTCACAACTATTGCTTTGCTAGACTCACTTCAGTTCGGACTTGGTCTTGCAAAGAGTATTGCAATCGGGACAGATCAGCTGTTTTTCGGTAGTTCCACTCGCTACAGGTACTGGTGCTACCTGCTGCCAATGTGGTACAGGGGTGTCACGAGCGTAAGTGTTTCCCGACTGAAAAGGGTGATAGTCCATCAAATGCCCCGAAAGGCTCTGGGTGTCCTGGTTTTCATCATATACAGACCTGTCATCGATGCTGTGCTTCGCTCTGCTTTCGTAACCAGAGTCGGACGGCAAATAGCCATGCGGGACAGTTCCACTTTCCGAAGGCCCGCTACTCCTCCAACCAGCAAAGGCTGCTGGGTTCCCCCGTCGAACGCCCGTAGGGTTAACATGATTGCCTGGTTGCAATGTGCCTGCGGAGAGATTAAATCCTACCCAGGGCTGTTCGTCATTGGCGTAAAACGACATCAAACCCCATGGCTCCGGGTGGTTCAAACGACGACCCGGTGCACCCCTAGTGCCAGTCATCGCGTCTGACGGCAATCTCGATTTAGTGGTAAGGTGGTCCATCTCAATCGACCTGGCTGTGGTCTCAATAGGTGATAAGTCGATCGAACCGGAAGGTGATCGACTTGAGTTATCAGGTACCGTCGTTAACTATCACTCAAGGTTAGCCTCTTTCTTTAGTCGCTTGCTTCCTATCATGCTGGAAGGCATTCTGGGTAGGAACATACTGGGCCTCCCTGTCCACGATACATAATGATTCTTCTGGTAACAAGACGTCTAGTCAGCAATGCTATCTGAGGATGAATGGAGAGTACCAGGCGTCAGAAGGCCTGCGTGAGAATCCCGTCATAGTCATGGAGAAAGCAGACCCGCCGGAGCAGTAAATGTTACAGCAGGCACCCAGATGGAATGTTGGCATGGTCAACGGACACTGGCCCGAATTCACTGATGCATTATGTTTTAGCAAAGAAAGCGGAATACCAACTTGGGACAAATGTTGGTATGTGGTATCCGATGCGTATTGTGACTCTAGAATTGTCTCGGACCACTTCTCAATAGGGAGCGGCCGCTCTCTCTCAGGTAATGCCTGAAGTCGGCGGGACCGAGATCGACAGAGTTCGCGGACAATGTGGGCAGGCGAAACGAAAGCCGATCGATGGAGTAGAAGAGGAAGTTTGGTAGTTTAACTGCCGGTCCGTGGTGGGTCGTTCGGAGCCGAAAGAGCACGGGACGTTAGATTTAGGCACCAGCACGACAGGGATAGCTGGGCGAACAAAGGCGATGGAATCGTGAGATGAAAATCGCTGAAAGACGAAAAGCAAATGGAAGAAAAGAAACGGAATCAGTCGGGCGACATGGACGAGGAAAGTTGAGAGGTTGTAGACATTCAGGCTGGTGGAAGTCGCAATAAGCGAAGAACAAAATGGGCATTGGACTGGATGACGGAGAGGGCAGCACATTCATTCGGTTGTCCGCCTCACTTGGGCAAATCTTCGGTGAGAGCGTTAGGCAACCAACAAGGCAACACGCAAGGCAGCCAGCTTTATGACACACTTTGGGTGTGTTCGGGGAAATAGCGAGTCGCCGCCAGCCAAGGTAGGAAACGTGTGGGGCATGCGGATTTAGGATTTTCCGATATACCTAGATCATCAGTCTCCTTTGGCGTTTCTACTACAGGAAGCTACTTGCTGTGTACGTAGCTAGCTTCCTGTGTCCGATTTGCTCGGGAATATATTTTTTTCCTTATGTTATACTAGTTTGAAAGCATGCTGTACATCATCTGATAAAGCCTTAAGTCGCTACCTTAATGCAAACTAACAGCAGAGCGAGGAGCCAACAATAAATGAAAAAAGATCAGATCTAGAACCTAAACCAAGCCCTCCGATATTTTGGCATTGCACTTTCATTGATCCCAATAATGTAAGAAGAAAGCTCATACTTTCTCCAGCTATTTCTTCGCGCCCAAGCAATTAGGTCACGAATTATACTGGGTATAAAAGAATCTAGTACACACAAGGGACCTCATGTTGCTGGTTCTAGACCATCTACAACCCGATACTATCGTCGTGCGACGTGTATGAAGCTGAGGGCTAAGAAAGGTTCAGCATGTCACTTCTTCGAACTAACTGTAATTTCTCGAAGCCTTCTATTCATGCTCAGGGCGAGGGGGCAATGTGTATTCATCATGCCATCTAGCTAATCAAACTTGCAGGTGATAGAAGTCCAGGTTTTAGCATAGTTGCAAGTTAACCTTCCTACATGCAGGGCTGGAAACCAATTCCTTCTCCATACTAACTGTTTCCTCACGTGCAGTTGTGCAGCAGAACTGGATGATCGCTGGCCCGCATTCGTAACATCTTGTTCAAGTGCGCATTGTCCCTTCTCATCCACATCGGAATCGTGCATATCGACTCCACCGCAACGCGCACTCTTGAGCCAACAAACATGGTGATCCTGGCCAATCCATTGATGTACTGCTTTGCATATGGTGATTACGCTCGCGCGAGACTGCTTCTCGCTTGTCCAACTTTGTTATGCGGATTGTCTACTTTCCGTGGCGGGAATCCTGCATTGTATCCTCATTCTACCTCTTCCGGATCAGCAACGCTCGGGTGTTGACGTACGTTTGCCCCAGCAGATGGGTTTCTACTCACTTTGTGATTTATCACTTCCTACTGGGCTGTTGTCTCCCGGTGGTGTTGCCCCCTTACTTAGCACCATAACCGAACCGAACATTTACCCGCTTTCCAATGGCTTGCCCGAGAACACCAAGCCTACATTCTTGGTGCCCCCAAACTGTGAGGATACCTGCATGGTTTGAACCGTCTCGAGTAGTCCAGATAAGTAAATAAAAAGAAGACTTGTTTCCTGTTCCACCAGTTGGCGAATGCAGCTTCGTCATGACTATGCTTGCCCTACGATAAGTATGCAACCCAATCCATGCCAGACCATGTATGCACCCTACGTGCCCCCCACAGGATACCTCTCTCCGCATCTCTCAATTCACCACTGGGTTATTTGTTGCAAGGGCCATTATCCATCTTTCTGGCCGACACTCTAACCCCCTGCCATTAAATCTCTTGTTTGCTTCTTGGCAAGAGAGAACCAACATAAGAACCTTTCAGCTTCCGCAACCGCCCACCGGGCCGCTCCGCGAGGTGCGAGTGACTTGATCCCAACCGTCGAGTCTAACTGATTGGGTACTGCATGTTGCACGCTCCACCAAAGGACAAATTCTCAGCGTCTCCTGATGTCACACAGCATGCAAAACTAGACAAAGCCCGATACGAACGGTAAACCCGGTTCACGCACCCAAGTGTCGAATGCTTGATCGAATGCATCACTACTGGTCACCATCCTCAGCACTTTGCACTTGAAACGTTTATTCTCTCAAGGAATGTCAAGGACACCGCAGTGGCTTAAGCCTCATAACAAAGCCATCGATGGGCCGCTTGGTCAACCTTGAACAGCCACCGTGCATTACCTAAATAAGACGAGGCTCAGAAAAAGTGAGTGCTCGCCTTATTGATCGGAGTTACAGAAAGTAGAGAAGTATCTCACGATTTACAATTTAAGTACTGTGCTAATCCCAAACGATACGAGCGACCAGCTCGAGACTAACCTGGGCTAATTCCAAAATTGTACATACCCGGCAGGATAAACAACTCTTACCTTTACATCTCGTGCGTAAGGTCAATGACCGCGCAGCATCCTCCATACAACATGCATATTCAACAACCCGGCTTAGAAACTAATCTACGAAGGGTAGTTACTGGGGTCTGAAGAAGTGGCTATTGAACAACCTCGCTCACCCAACACGCCTATCATGCATGCCACCAGGATACCAGGTACGGAGACACACTGTGCCCGTCTGGCTGGTCATCACCAGATCTGCAGCTGGACGCAAACGGGCATTCAAAGCAGGTAAATTTTGAGTATGATGCTAAATCATAAACCTACGAGTGGGATTTTCAAGTATATAATGTTAACCTAATCGGACCTGAACGAGAGAGACTCCCTGGGCGTGGGATCAATCATCCACAGCGTAAAAGTTTGATTCAAATCTTGTATTGAGTCCCAAAAGTGACCATTATTTCCCCCCCTTTCTATTCTACAGTGCGTTAGAGCGCAGATTCTAGCGTCTTATTTAGACGGAACGAGAAGTCACGGTAAGCTATCTCCAGTCCAGACAAGATTGCAGCTGACATTCTGGAGTAGCTCGATAGCAGATATCGAGGAAATAACGAGGACTTGTAGTTTTCTTCCCTGGAACCAACTCATTTCTGTCAGAGATGTGTGACTTTGAGGAGTTTCTCTTCACTTGCGAGCATTCCACCGTTCGATTAAAGTCCTATTGTCATTTTGCCCGCAACGACCCCAACCACCAGTGTTTTGGCGTCAAAGTCCTTCGCAACTCGTGGCAACAAAGCACGCCATGTGATAATTGCGTCTCAAACTGGCAGCCTCGGCAGAGCCATGAAAATTTTGTGACCAGTCTCGGCCAGGAGCAGTGCGTTGGTGGCCAACATCATCATCGTTGAAACATCAGGCGCCAACACCACCTGGAGCGCACGTGGGGGGCAAGGAATATCTGGAGAGGAGGAATAGTTGAATATTGGTTAAGCCGTCGAACCAATTTGGGCCTATTTTCCACGCATGCCTTGCAAGGTCGATTGTCTTGAATACTGATGCACTAAATGGCCGGACAAGCTTATGCATACTTTCGCCCACAGCCGGCACGATGTTCAGACATAGATTCATTCAAGAGTATCGCACAAGGTCAGTTTACAGGATTGATTTGTATCGAGATAATAGTTTGCTTCGTCATACGACCCCGCATGTATTTAGTTCAACTGTCAGATACTTAACCTACGTTTGGGCTGTATGATATTTTCTATTTATCTTGAGAACTGGGAAGAGGTATATGTTGGATAGTTCAGTAATACAGTGGTACATGTATCTTGATTTTGTGTGAGAATCATCCAGCATACATGGATACAATGCATAGCGGCCGTGTCTTAGAGTGACATGAAGGGACATTCTGCACCGATGATGTTATGATGCTGCAAGAGATAGTCAGGGTCGTCTTGCTTTCTTCCATCTTCTGAAATTTGGTCAAGTCTGAGGACCCAAATTAGGAATGGCGCTAATGTAATAGTCGTGGGCGGTATTTCGTTCCATCTCTGGCTTCAGCTAAAGATAAGTATCGTCTTTTGACGAGCTCCTCGTGTGCTTCACCTGCTTCCGCTGTCATTGTCTCTCAATTTCCGGCAGAGTCTTCGAGAAAAGCTAACTGGGTTGGTTCCCTGATGAAGCCTCTGACCTAAAAATAAGCACCAATGGCCTCGATCTCTGAATTGGCTCTACTTCGAATTATACAAAGGTTTCATTAGCCTGTTGAAAGAGGAGTCAAATTGAAGGACGTACCTGAGCTTCAGGTGGGGGTGTACTTAGTTTCTCCAACCCAATACATGAGGTAGACAGACACTGAGACTTTCTCCTCCCGATTCTTTTAGGGGTTCATGCAGGAGGTGGAGGCACCTCGTCGTCTCGAAGCTGACGGGCGACACGGCCTCCTACAGCCGCTAGGAAACATGGTTGTATGGTCGTACGCTGGAGGGACAGGCTGGCCCCACTGGAACGGACTTCATTAGAAGAGGAATGGCATCTCGCAGTCGAGGAGGTGATGGTATAAGGTGCTTCAAAAGCTAAGATGTGGAATTGGGAGTTTGAAAGTCCGGTATGTAGGCTTCAAGCCCAAAACATAGCAACTCACCCTCCGCCCTAGAAATATTGCTCTCTAACTTGTTGCTCGCGGCGATAAACACCCATCAGGGAGCCCTAAATACTACTAGAGCAGGACTTCTACCAGAAGAGAATAGGAGAGAAATAAAAATTTGAAACCCTTGTTTGTTGGACAGGGGACCTCTAGTTTGAATTCGCGTGTGAGTGGGGGGTTATACAGTAATGGTGGCATTGCATATGAACGACAGCTGCGGTAATCAACCCAACATGTTGAGGCCCTGCACACCCCCGTCTGCAGGCGAACACCCCCCTTTTTCGTTTCTTAGAGTACTTGCAGTCAAAAGGGGTGTGTGAGTGTTTTGACGCTCAGCAACATCGATGGACAGAGAGATCAAGGTCAGTGTTACCAGACTAGACAAAGGGAAGTGAGGCAGGGGATCAATCGAAAGAAAAATAGAAAAATAAACTTGATTTCGAATGGTTTAATGAGTAATGCCATTGGAGTCTGATACGAATGGGGATGACTACGTCTACAGTCGTTCAAGCCAACGTCCCACACCTGGGCGAAGGATATCTTCGACTTCCCCACCATTTGCTCTCATCTCTAATGGGCCCTTCTTTCCACTTCCTCTCATCTCTCATTCCGTATTGGTGGCTCCCGCCACTCGACCAACCACGTTGTAACGCTTGGAGAAAAATGTGACCCAATCGTTCAAAACGCCCTTTTCCTTGTCGGGCAGATCTTGCCAGTCGGATCTGGCATCTTCGGGTTTTGTTGAGGTCATTCCCAGAGCACGGGAAGCGTCCTTTCCAGCAAAAACTTGGTAGGTATGAGTTTCGATGCTCTCTGAGACAACGGTGTGAGTTGAATACTTACCGTTATAAGATGCGCCTGGCTGGTACGCTTTGTTACCAGTAACGTCATAGACGATGCCCTGAATAAGAATCATGTCAGATATTTTTACCATAGCACGATGAAGATATTTACCTTAATGGCGACATAAGTCTTTCCATTAGGGTCAGAACCTATTGAAACCATTTGATTAGTACAGCGGACCAGATATCAAGTGAACGACAATGGTCTTAAACGTAAGCAGAAAGGACCCTAGAGTCATAATGAAGAGATTTAATGAGACTGGGAGTTTCGCAAGATTATCAAGGAATTTTAAAAGAAGATTTTGGCTTATTAGTGATCAGTATAACCTTCTCTGTGGGAACCCTTGTCAAAGGAGCGGTCTGTCCTCGACGGCCATACGAACCGGCCACAGGAGCAAGCATCCGACCTTAAGCCGTACTTTCAATAAGTTTCTTCAGAGAGAGGTACACTCAGGGTAAAAGTCAGAGGTTTCGTTAGGAATCACTCTCACTTACCATCAGCCTTGGCCAACTCCTCGAGGGTGATGGGATCGTCCTTGGGAGGGTCCAAGTTGACGGGGACCTTGGGTTCAAATTTTCCAGCCATTATATCGATCGTCAATCTTTAGAGAGAGAGAGAGAGTGAGATTTGAGTTCAATGAGCTGGTGAAAATGAGATATTGTATAAAGTGGTGAAAACGACTCGAATTCTCTGGCAGATGATGATGGGCGGGGGAAGAAGCTCGACATTTGCCCCTCTAATGCCAAAGAAAGCTTCCCCACGATCAAAGTGGGGGTTGCCTCGGAACAGATAAAAATCTATGATTGGCTACTGCAAAAGCTTCTTGATCCACAACAGCAAGAGCTCTGGAGCGTGCAACGACTTTGCGCTTGAGTAATCGATCTTTGGTTCAATACGTCACCCCAAATTTATTTTCAACATCAGGTCTTCCTCCTCTGTCAATCAGATACGCTCTATCCAAGGCCTGCGAGGGTTAAATATTGCTTACTAATATTCATCGGCGAGCGTCTCAATCATGGCGGCCGCGCGCATAACAGCGTCGCGCGCCATCGACAGCTTGTGCCTTCGTCACGCCATTAGGTCTTCTGCGATATCCACGGCGAGATTGCGAGCCAGCACCCCTTCAAGCGCAGTCAAAGCTCGCATGAATATCCCATTGAGATACAGCAGCACGGGAAGGACGCTTAGCGATGCGCCTAAGAAGACGAATCCTCCGCCTCCGCCACCTCCCTCGTTACGGCGAGCACTGTCCATTCGCAGCCTCTTAACTGCGATGACACCGCAAGGAATGAAGAGGATGTTCAGAGAAAGCCCTGAGGAGTTCACACTGGCGCTAGCGATGTAGGTGACCCGAGATACAGAATGATTGGAGCGCATTGCTGATGATTTTATTTTCCAGTTTGGCCGGCCTGGCTGGTGTCGCCGTTTACATTATCAAACTCTACTTCGATTATTTCCAAGCCCGCCAGTTCACCAAATACCCGGCACCGATTGCGAAGTCCCTCCGACGAGCACTTTACTACACAAACATTAGTCCCGACCCAAATCTAGCAAGAAAATATTACAAACAAGCACTGGAACAGTGCAACGAGCTCCAACTGGACCCGTTTTCCGACGATGTCCTGGGCATTAGGATACAGACTGCGGCCTGGTTAGAAAAGATTGGCAATTACCAAGGCGCCATAAAGGTTCTCAATTCCGTCCTCCAGGACTGTATTAAGTGGGTTGAGTGGATGGAGAAGTCAGTTGCAGACGGCACTGTAGACAAGTCGGGCAAGCCTCCCGCTGTTAAGCTTGTCTCAGGAGACCAACGTCCCATTATCCCAGAGGATGAAGAAGAGACGGCCCCTGAGAATCTGTGGCACAAACGCACGAGATTACTTGCAAAGGCTGTCGGCACCAGCACCAAGCTTGGGGCACTCTACTCTGATGAGCATGTCCTGGAACCTGAAAACGCTCAAGCTCGTTTGACGTGGGCCGTCGAGACTGCCTTGTCAGAATCAAGAAGACGCCATAAGGAGGGCGTCAAGGAAGATGAAGGACCTTGGATGAGCCCCGAGGAGATTGGTGGGGCCATGGAATGTCAGTCTGAATTCTTCCCGTCGCCTTGGGACAGTACATTGCTGAGAGCACGTTGCTAACCTTGTGTCATAGCCCTGGCTCAACATTATGAGTCCAAGTCTCAGTCTCACCTAGCAGTGCCTCTCTTCTTTCATGCCTTACGTCTTTGTGCTGACCCATGTCACCGAGTCACAATTAGTATGTTCCTCATTCTTGCGCTTGATATCACCGAGCGTGCTAAGAATATCACCACGTGGCTTACATGATCTTCAGTGAACAACCTGGCTGTGGCGTTTGCTCAGCACCCTACGCAAACCCCCCTTGGACCTATTCCTGGAGCTCCTTCAACCTCCAATGTGCTTGTCAACCCTGATATGCCAACGGATCGAGCTGGCTTCCTCGAAGCGGCCAAGAACTGGGCTCACAACGCTTACTCACACGCGAAGGACGTTAAGGGTAGTGAACGTACGGAGGAATGTGACGAGGCTTGCGCAGTTGCTCTGACCAACATGGGTGACATTGCCGCTATGTTAGGAAACAAGGAGAATGCACGAAAACGCTTTCAACAAGCCATCGATATGAGTAAGAGGATTGGCTTCGAGGCCGGTGTAACGCAGGCCGAGGCTGGGCTTCAGAAGCTTTGAGTAAAGTATCAAACATATCTGTCTCTCAAACGGGTCCCAGCATGCTGTCTTCTTTTTTTCCTCAATTCAGGTTTTAGGGACCCCAACTTTGAGACGAGATTAGCTCAATGATAATACCATGCGATGGTGTAGGATGGATCTCTCCGCTCACGCCGGCAAGGACCCTGCATAAGGCTAGAATAGACGAGCCCTACGAGGAGGTCGCCTTTTGCGAACGTACGCCCCCGAATACTCACTCTGCAATACAAGAGAAGTACAGCTGTGAAACTGAAAATAGGTGGTGGATTCCTCCTGCCTTCCACACTGGGACCAAAAAGGCGTTGGACAAGGGTCTTAGCGACGGAAGCAATTTGTTGCCGGGATCTACCGCGAGCCTGGTATCTCGCGAACAGCAGTATGCAAGCTGAACAGGAGATGTATAAACCATGATATTTGTTAGAGCCACCGCCAACCTAGACACATGACGGAGAACCAGCCGTGTTTGGGGGCGGGCTGCGGAGTCAACAGACCTCGCTTCAGTCCTTGCGACGCAGTATCACCACATTCGCATCAAACATGCAGAGAACGGGTTCCGGAACGGCTGTAGTTACCGACTTGAGGTGCCTATCTCGTCATAGGGCGCGCGCAGGGCTGCCGCAGGCGAGCAGAAGCCAGACAAGATGCCCCTGCCCCGCCTTCTCCACGACGGGTAGGTCGCTGGGAAACGCTGTGAAGGGAATAAGCACATCCAAGCCCATGACTCTGTAAATCTCAGAGAAAGCCCTCGTCACGATTCATCGTCTCGTCGAAAAGCCATGCGGGCCCCAAAATCTGTCGTCGCCAATCGCGTGGCCGGGTAATAGCGGCTCGGCGTGCCAGCAAATGCAAACAGCTCGATGGTTCTAGTCTCCTGCATGCACACCCCGGCACGCAGCTCTTTGAAAATTGCCATTTTTGGAAAATAGTATGGCTGCGGCGGGGTCGCAAGTCTGGCCAGCCCGAACCACACGAGCCAACCATCACCCGCCTAACTTGCTGGGGTGAGAAGGGGGAGGACGGGTAACGGAAGTCAATTGCTTCTGCCTGGAGGTAGGTGGGAACGAACCTATGTGGGCCCCGCCAAGTTGACACACCAGACTGGGTCCAGGACGGTGATGGTAACTGTCACCGTCAAGGTCTACGCTATGTGACAAAACAGGCCACTTGAACACCCCGGAGATTGCACGACTTGCATTCGTCGTCCCGCAACCTAACTTCGTGCTCTGCATGTAGGTCCTGTCCTAGGCAGCAGTATTTTCTATCTTCAGAAACTTGGAGACGGTCTATTCCAAATATGTCCCAGACGGATGGATGTCCAGTCCAGGGTATCGGCATTATCAGACCTAATGTCTAACCACCCATGAACCAGTCCCGCGCGTGTGGAGATATTCAGCACAACAAACGTGGACAGCTTCTGGCCCTCATTAAAGCTCTCGATGAATCGGCTAAATATTCTAGTTTCGTCTACAAACGCCATGGTCAATTGCTGACTGGAAGTGAATAGAGAAGATGTTCGCGTCAGGCTTAGTCCAGGGTTCCATGGCCGAGGGCGGCCATTATTGTTATTCCACAGCTGAGGATACTCTGCGGGAACCAGTGGCCATTACACACGAGAAATATTAGGGATCATGTCGGGACCGGTCCTGCTGTTTACGGGTGTTCTCTCTGACATTGCATCGTTGACACAGTCTTTTATCCCTGGGAAGCAGAAGTTCCGGGCATTTCGCGGCCATTCAGCATTTGAGGTGGGCCTCATAAACTGCACTGCGGGATCGCGGGAAGTCACCCCGGCTTCCGTCATGTACAATCAATCAATCAATCGGAACGCTGTGGTATACCGTTTGGTAGACAGTCAGCTGTATTCAACTCACAATCACAAGTACTCACAGTTTCTTATCTGGCCCTAACTGTCCATCTGTCCGCACGCGGTACGGTACATGCACGTCAGTGGAAGTGTGTGTTGAAGCTTAAATCCATGGTCTGTGGTCTGCCAGCTCGCTAAATCTCTTGGCTCACGACGGACCCGACATCAGTTGACCGTTTCCTACCGGGTGCTTTTCTCGGGATCACGTCGTTCTATCGGTTGAGACCAGGCCTCACGAAAATTCTTAGGATATCACCTAGCTTGCACTTTTTCAGGCGATGAACACTGCCTCTGTCTGGCCTTCCGCTATATGCATCGAAGGGTCACGAGTTCATAACAAAATATCTAAACATACCATTTGCTGCCCCCACGCACAAGTTCCTGCAGGAGGCCTGGATCCCTTGACAGGCCCGGCTCCGACGTTTCAAACGGAGTTCCACCCAGCCCAGCGGCGTCTAAACTTGTCCGGGGAAAACGTCCTTGATGCAAAAGGGCCTTCGACGGAGGTGCAGAAATTTCCCAGCAAAAGACACGCTCCAATCATTAGAAACCCCGAGAGACACCATTTTCAAACTGATCACACCCTGGCGGAGCAAAGTCCGGCTCTGGCGGTGGGATGGAAAGTCACAATCGCGCCCCCGATTCCTACAAGCTGAATTTACCACCGCTACGATACATCGCCCATTGCTTGAGTTTTACCACTTATGGCAAAAGGGTGGACCATGAGCATTAAAATAGAATTTAAATCGGCCGAATTCCAGTTTGACTGCTCCGATTGCGTACCAAGTGCCCGGACAGGGCCCAGCGCCCAGCATCAGAGATGGGGGATGTGCACATGCTGAGAGATTAGATCAGCAACCTGACAGGGCTGCGATACACCGACAGCAATAGCGCGTTATGGGGGCGAGATTTCCCCCCAGCCTTCTTCGTACAGCGGGGGCTACGATGTCCAAGACCCCACCTTGTGGTTATGGCCCCATACGATGAGGGGACGCTGGCAGCGCTAGCTAATGCAGTATGACAAAAAAGGGCGGTCGATGTGATTGGTGCGCTCGTACACCCTAGCCCGTCCTGTCTACTGACGAATTCGGAAAGTTGAAGAGTCGAAGATCAGGGCGACCAGGAACAGGACTCCGGTGTTCTCCACTGAAAATCAAACCTGAATGGAAATTCCAACGTCAGGTGCAGATAAACAAAACACAATAACGGTGGCTTGAAGGTTGAACGTGAACTGGCCGGGTCCAACTCATCAATCAGTCACACAGCGACGGCACTGACAAAGTTCAGATGTTGCCCGAGGGTGAGCAGGGAGTCTGGCTAATGTTTCTCCGTTCAGTTATTCCCGGGCGCCGCAAGCGCAGTGAAAGTGAGCCTTTTTGAGGGTGCCGTAGTGGAGTTCCGCCTCCGGATAGCGGGCTCCGACCGGCAGGATTCGGGGCCCGGAACGGAAGCGGAATGCTAGTCACCGGTTATGGTATCCGTATGTTAAGGTTAATTGTAGCCCACGACAATACGATCGACGAGACGAAGCTTTGCTCCTCGCATACGCGAACCCGCGGGTCAGGCCATTGTGGTAGCAATCTTGGTACGCCACTGAAACGGCGGTCATTTGGTCCATTGATAACAGTTTCCACACAAAAGAGCTCACGAAGGGGCATCGAAGGCTACACAGTGCCGTTTATGGTGAGGGCTGCGAGGCAAGGGAGGACTACAGATAAAACGGTGCGAAAGGCGAAAAAGAAAAACGGCGTAGCCAAGGGACGGTTCCCGATTGGCGGGAAACCCCGCCCTAGGTCTTAGCAAACGTTGCAACCCGATTTTTAGGGCCACTAGTGCGGCGGAATTCCACTATCTGGACCGGGCGCTATTATCCACGACGGTCTTCTCCTTCATTTTCCGTCTACTGCCTGCTAAAGCAATACACACCATCACAGAAATTTAAAAATTGAAATATGTGAACTGAGCCGAAGATATGGTCACCCGAGAACCTACCGCTTCGGACAGAAACGCCGTATCGCTGCTGCATAAAAGATCAAACATCAGTTTCGATCACGTCTGGAAGATCCGTTGGATGCGACTGAGGCACATACAACTGGCTGTCGGCAATGAACGGCATGTTGCCATTCCATCTTGGTTGCCGGCATGGACTTAATCACAAACATGGGCCCACCGCTTATCAGATGGAATTCCGAATCACCTGGCTTAAAGGCAGGGAAGACGAATTGGACGGCCGCATTGCCAATCACAGATGGACGGATAATAACATGAAAGTGTTGCCATGTGCACATCTCTCCAACCGATGCAGAGCCTAACCCCACGGCCTGGACTCATTTCGTCTGCGTGTCCACGCCAATCCTCCCCAGATTTGGAGGGCACTGGCACAGAAGACCTTGAAGGGGAGGGGTTAGGGGAGATGGCAATCCCTTGTTTTCTCTCTCCAATACTGACACCACCCCCTCACGAGCCATGGTAAGCTGAAAAGCCCTCAGAGCCAGGAGTACTGGCCTGCTACTCAGCGTCGCAGTTCTTGCAAAAAGTTCCTCGACAGTACTGTTGAGCGTTACGATCCGGCGAATCACGTCGCTGCTTTCGAATGACAATGATTAAAATTGAACTGGGGGCTCGCTTGCGGGATCCCACTTCAACCCTCATTATCCCGGCTTCTTAACATACGTCCGGCCTAAGGCCGAACTGAAGTCTATTCGGAAAACCTCCGACGACATTTGAGCCTAGTGCCCAAACTTCATAAAAGGAAGCCCTGACGTAAGGCACATACCTACCTTCCTCGAAGGACCACGTTGAGGATTCTATTGTTGGCACTGCGGAGTGCCTTAGCTTTGGGCCACAAGGCCAGGCCAGCCTGGCAAGGCAACGCTCCCCCTGTCATGCCCGCACCGGCGCATGGGTGGTGCCGCTGTCCTGCGTTCATCGAAGGTGCAGTTCGTAACGTAGTGCATACGAATTGAACCAAAGAAGCTGAAAGCTCCTTCGCTTGGGGGTAACATCCAGTGCCGTCACCAGGGCGCCGGAAAGCCCTGGAGTCGTGTGAGGATGGCTCAGCGCAGAGATCTGTGTCGTCATAGTTGCCTACATGCCTTTTTTGCTGGAAACCAACATCAACCCATTTTTTCGGACTCTGCCGTTTTTTTGTGTAATCAGTTCGGGATGCGCGAAGTGCAAATAGAATCATGGGGGCAAGCGTAACCGCGATTGTTACCTCCTTCTCATCACCCCAAAGCATGTCTCCATCCAATTTCGCCTTCACCTGTCCTGCTTTTCTCAGGGAAAAAAATCCCCCAATGAGGATATTGGACGCACCGAGCATCTCATCTTTAAACACAATCAAGGGTCGGAAAGAGAGAAAAAAAAAAGATGAGGAAAGACAACATGCAGACAAGGATTGTTGTTATGCACACTCCCATAGTGTGTTGCTGCACGCGCTCGGATCCCAATTGGGCTCCGCCCTTCTTTCACCAAAAGATTATCAGAATAAAGCTTGAGTGCTGGGAAACGAATCCAAAAAGGCGGGATTGAGACTGTCTCGCTCAGCAACATCACCCCCCTGCTGTGCACACCCCCTCCCTTGCCACGAACGACTTGTGAGTACAGAAAACAGGAGGCCGGTTTGGGGCAACTGACATTACTGTTGCATTCGCTCCCGACCTTCTTTTTCTTGACAGTTATCTCTGGACAACTAACGGTTGACAAAAATGACTGCGAAAACGGACGTCATTACCGCACAGTACCAGTCACGAGTCATCAACGTGAGCCCAACTGAATGGGATAATATAGAGAGAGACGGTTGGAAAAAGGAGGGGAAAAAATAAAACCAAGTCTATCGCATCTGCTACGCCGAAGATCCGAGCCCGCGAGACTTGAATTTTCAAAGACTTTTTTTTTCCCTTTTTTTTTCTTTCGGGTTGCAATGGGCTGGGATGGCACAATCTACAACAAACGGAAAGCTTATTTGCTGTCTGTCGGCAATGTTTTCGTAAACCAACCATCTGATATCCTGACTGGCCAGAAATTGTGAATAGATTGATGGCTGTAGAGAATTATCCCATCTAGCCCTCAAGGCGACGTGGGCAAGAAGGCTCAGCTTCATGCGCCAGCGGCAACGCCAAACCTAACGGCATCGCGTCAACCCCTCACCACTCCGTCTTAGTACACCGTTCTCCGTCCTGTTCCGTTTTTAAAAAAATACCGTCTTGATGGAGCCCCTTGCAACATGGCAACCCGTTAACGGCGGGGACATTGCACAACATGCACCAGAGACAGCACCGCTCTCCGTTCCATAACAGCTGTCTACCCCTGCTACACCACCAATCCACGCTGCTAAAGGCTCTCGACCAGGCCCAAAATGGCGGAGGCGAGGATTCTTCTTTTACTTCTTCTCCCCCCATCACGCAACCTTGAACACCACCAGGGGTCTACCAGCCAGGAACAAGGGGGGGTGGGTGCCATGCACCCTAAGCAACGCAGCGGTGCGCTATCTGGGGTCCAATGGGTCCTCGACCGATTGGATCGTTGCGTTGCCGCTATGTATGTCGCGGCCCCAAGAAATGTCTGCGAGGAGGCTGCTTACCTACGTGGTTTACGAACCAGAACATCCAGCTTCTGCACATGTGCATGTGGATGCGGTCCCCTACCCTCCATACCTACCCTGTCCCGGCCTGACTGTCGGGTGGTGCGTCTTTCGCATGCGCCGCGCGCCTTATATAATTCCATTCAACCCGTTGCAAATCATCATGGCGTAGCTTGGGTTGCCTTACACATCACAACACCTTCCAGACGCACAGCCAGGTAACGCATTGCACGTTTGTTTCTATATATCTCTCCTTCCCAGTCCTCGCCAATTCAAACCCGGAGCTTCTCAGACCTCACAGACGACACCAAGCCAACCCACTCGCTACCCCTCCAAATACCCATCAACACCACCCGGGCACTCTCAGACACTCAATTGCTGTCATGGAGCACTCACTGCCACTCAACATGATGGACGACATTGATGCGTTTCTGGAACTCGAAGCACCCGCTTACGGATACGACGAGACCGAGCAATATCTCGACACTGCCAGCTCATCTGAGACCACAAGCCCTATCATGTCAAATGTGAGCCAACTTCCGCACAATTAATGATACAATTGACTGACACACACTTCTCCAGTTTGATATGACGTTTGTATCCGACTTCAATGGCACAGAAAACAGCATGTACCCCAGTCCAATGAGCTCAACGCGCGACACGGCGTCACCGCAACCGTCTTCGGATCCCAAAGCAGTTGCATCCGCCGCTAAGCCACCAGCCAAGAGGAAGCGCGAAAACAGATACAAGAATGCCCCCCCCTCAGTCCTTTCGGTAAGTCTTCTTTTTTTGGCATATGCCTCAGCCGGCTCTGTAGACTTCGCCATCTCGCGAGCATAGAGGATGATCAAGCTTGAAACGCAACTCGACTAACACATGGTTCCTCCTTCCAGCGCCGCCGGGCACAAAACAGAGCCTCACAGCGGGCATATCGTGAGCGCAAGGACCAGCGCATCAAGGACCTCGAGGTCATGCTCTCGGAGCAGAAGCAGAAGAATGACTCCCTCAGTCAGGCCTACTCGGCTCTCCATGCTGAGTACCTCAAGGTCCGGGGAGCTCAAGCAAGGGCACACCAGCAGATGCCGCGACACCACCCGGCCACCGCACCTCCGCCGCCGGTGGCTTACGATCCGTCCTCCCACATGGGCATGCCAGCGGCCCATCCCGGAGCCATGGAGTACGCCGATAACATGTACATGTATCAGAACATGCAGCCTTACGCCCTATGAGCGCCTAGTTTGCTCACGGATGAGGAATAAGTTATAATAGCGGTCGGGTAAACCAGCCGCAAGTTCCTTCTTTCGACTTGGGATAAAGGCGACTACTGATTTTACGGAAATACCATGAAGATTGGGCGCGGCGATTACCAAACATGAAGGACATGCAGAACATGGAAAACGACCGATAGGCTTTGGAGAAATGGTGGGGTTCAACTGATTTTTGTCTTTTCTTGCTTTCTTGGCCTTGGGGTCCAGGCGTGCGTGTGTGTGTGTGTGTGTTTTTTCCCCTCTGTCTCTCTCTCTCTGTCTATCTTTCTCTCTCCTTTGATTCTATTATTAGATGGCGAAAACGGGCTGGCAAGCCTTGAACACCTTTTTTTTTTTATTTACTCTGGCGTTTGCGGATATGGACTGGGTCTGGACTTGGGGAGGCAAACATCGAGAAGGCTAACTTTGCCGCAAATCAAATGGGACGATGCGGGTTTCGGAGGGTTAGGTCTTCTTGTTGCACACTCTTTGGTGGCTCGGCGAACGGGTAAAACTTTGGATAGTGGGAAAAACAAGTACATGAGAATCCCAATCTTTTTTAAACAACTCGTCTCTCCACAAATTGTCGTCTTTTTTTTTGGAAAAAACAAAAAAACACTGAAAAGTGTTGCTCAAGTCTAGAGTTTTGGCTACTGAAAGACGCCCCCGCACCGCAAGCCAGCTTCGTCTGCATGTCTAGGACCCTCCATCGATGGCGTAATGTGTTGGCCTGCACACTTTGATTAACTTTTTGTTTCTTGATCTTTCCACCCCCATCTCCCATTTCAGTGTGTTAAAAATATCTTCAGCTCGTCATGATTGAGCTTGATGGGAAGCATGCTGAATGGGAGGTGCAAGGGATATGGGAGATGGGGAGATGTGGGTGAAAGGCATGCCAGATTTCCCTTCTTTGGAAGATAGAGTGCTGGTGGTGGCACTTGGCAGTAGACAAGGGCAACCCAGCTTCGTCCCGACCTCTTGGGAAGGTCACTGGGACCCATAGGCTTGTCGTGCGCAAGTGCCCCCCTCCTTCACCCGTCTTCCATACCCCTACTTTTCTGCTCTGGGTTTGTGATGGTGACTCAGCGCCTCACGTCAGCACCCTATCGAATAAGCCCTCTAAGCGAGAGGAGAGCGCGCGCGGCCTTTCTCTTCTCATACCCTGGGCGGAGTTGTCCATGGGGGGAGGTTTTACCCACTGAGAGAGAGGGACGGGGGTTGACCGGGCATAGCTACAGCCCGGCCTTCACTCCTGACCTGTCAGAACAATGGGTCCTCCTTTCTTCTACCCTGTACGGGTAAATTGTTGAATTGTATGATGCTGCCTTCGGCTTGGGGGGGGGGGTGGAATGGTGAAGCATGTCCAAAGCTTTCAAAGAACTAATATGTCCAACTTGTTTCTTACTGCGGTGTATCGTACGAAGCTCTAAGCCTCCCCCAGTGACCTGAAATGCAAATATAAAGCTTCTGTCAACAAACATTTCACACTTGCTGGGCTGAGGAATGTGGCTGACGTTGTTTCATTGATCAGACGGAGCCAGCTCCGTGTGCCTAGTTTCGCCACGAACTCGTGGCACACTTTCGTCTAAGGCTTGCCGACAGAAGCTTGATTCACCGTGGGCCGCCTTGGGCCGTGTTTCAATGTCCCTTCTTTTCCTTCTTTCCGATTCTCTCCCTTGCGTGTGCTGACGTTGGCACCCTTGTGACATGGGCAAATCGTCACGGCGACAGTGCCACAGTTGTGCCGATTCCCAGCCATACTGCAACGTGAAAACTATGCTAGTTCGATGGCTTTCGCGGATAAGGGGTTGAAAGGGTGGGAGATCGAGCAGCTTGTGGGACAACAGCCGTTGGACAGAGTTGGGTATCGGAGATGAAAGCTTGGCCTGCAATGCGAGACTTGACAATGAACATGGCGGGGGGGAAGGGGTGTGTCTGTCGTATCTGATCTTGGCGGTACGTAACCATCGGAAAGGGGATTTCACATGTCGGATGTGGGAAATGCCTCCTCTGCACCATGGAAAACATTGGTCTGAGGTTGAATTGGGTCCCCCGTAGCTCTCCGCCCGACGCTGAGACGGTGCCGTAAACCGTCTAACCGACAAGTAGGAAGAACTGGGTATGTATGATACGGTAACTCCCGGTGACCGTTCCGTTTTATACCATGCATCCCGTTCGGCGTACCGGCATGTAGCGGTCTGTCGTGCTTACACAACTTCTGCTGGTGACAGATACCCCTGATTCAACCTGTTGCTCTCTGATATAGTACAAGCTTTAGGTCTGTGCCGCCGTCTCTATGTTTCGTTGGATCTGTAGTTTGAAGAGCTTGGTTCATATACTGGAGCGATGGTATTAAGTAAAAGAGTGAGTATTGTTAACGTACCAGCGTGGACTGATGCCCCTGAAAAACACATTACCGACATTAGCCCGCTATAAACTCCTGCTTATACTGAACTCATCGTGGCAAAGAACATATTCTTCAACAGCCCCCCCCCCCTAATCTCGTTTTTGTCAACGAGAAGAAAATCTGCAAAGATGCCCATGCCTAGATGGGACGATGTAACGCAGTACTCAAGTTGATCCGCCATCCTTGTCGTCGCTATTCGATACACGCGGCCCCTCGGCACTAACTTCGACAACCATAGCTCTAAAGAGGCGCACACCATCAGTCGTCTGCACAGTGTCACTCACCCGCGTCCGTTTTAAATCCTTGCCAGAGAGACCTGCATGACGCTTCAACTGCAGACGATGCCAGCCACTCCGTAAGAGTTGTCCAGTCGTTCTTCCACGCGCCCACAGCCCCTGTGACGGTATTCCGCTCGTCATCCCGTGCATATGTTGGACGCCCATTGGTGCCACTCGTTTGCAGAATGTTGAAACGGTTGACTCTTGGTCCTACAGGCGTTGCTATGGGCCGAATACGGTCAGATCGGTGTGCCTAACCCTGAGAAGGCCGAGGGGCGTCCTCCGAACACGCCTCGAGGTCACCATGCCCGTAGAAGCTGAGAAGATGGGCACCATCCCAGGCATGAAGCCGAGCCGAGAGGATCCCGCACATAGGGTCCCATACCACATAGCCCTACCGAAATCTCTGTAGCTCGAGATGTTGGGGAGGAGCGGGAATCTTCGGCACAATCTTCTAAACAGGGGATTCGCCGGGAGACTTGCCAAGGTTCTTGGGTTTGAGTGTGCTGCAGCCCTCCACGGGAAGCTAATACTCCAGTACTAGTGAAGATTTGCCTTCCGCGAGGCTGTTGTTCTCTCTCTCATCTCGGGTAGCCTGGTACGCTAAAGGCCAAGTCTTGCTATTGGCGGTCGAAAACACGCCAATCGCGGCGAGAAGCGGTATTCGTCATGATTGAAGCCCCAGAATTCCTTGGAGTTCCAAACACATGTAAATTAGGCATGCTTGTTCCACAACACAAATCACCTGTCTATGTGAAATAAGGCATTGCTTTTGAGATTTGTCACTGTATGTCCGGCGTTCTCATCTCTATTACGGTCTTCAATTTACGACCGAGAGAGTTGAAAAGAATAAAGGCAGTTTTAGAGGGGAAGGGGGTGTGAATAGGGGTATGAGAAGTTAATATAGTAGTCATATCGGTTCCGTGTCCCGCCAAAGCGCCTAGCCGAGAAATATTTGAGAGCTACGGTCAAACTTCTGTGACTTATCTTCCAGACCTCTGCCTTATACTGTTACTCATCTCCCCCCAAGTACTCTGCGCTTCTTATTTCAGTCGTTGTTAGCCTAGTGCGCATATGAATCTTGATCTCAGGTACCTCCACTGTCAACATCACCCAATGTATCCGGTATGACGTCCCCACTGGACAGAAAGCCTGGCACGAGGCCGTAGAAGGCTATTTGAATAGGGGCTACATAACTCTTATCCATCTTATTTCCAAGATAAAACTCCTGAGACAAAGACACCGGAGGGATTTCGAGAGTATATCCCATAGAGCCCGGAGGTAGGCACACACACAGAGATGCCGGAGACAAATGAGTACCCTTTACCCACATACGATGACAATCTCTCACACCCTCTTCGCTCTTTGCCGACACTGACCCCTGAATACACATTAGGGCGTGTATCGTTGGATACATCTGGGACCAGGGGGGTGTGCAAGAGCAAATGTAGTACTGGCAAAATACAGCTACCAATGGCTGCTGTTTTTATCAGGCCCAATGCACCTTCCATCTTGCGCTAAGGACTACCGTAAGCCATCAACATGGCTGCATAGGTGTACACAGGCCAACCCCAGTTTGCAGTAGTGCCAATGAGGGATGTAGACCGGCACGTTGTCACGGTCGAAGCGGGAGACACCCGCAGGAAGACCCTCCCCCCATTTCTTGAAGCCAGCATATCTTCCCAGAAATTGTAAGACGAGGGGAATGTGCCTCGGTATAAGGGTGTCCGTACATTAACGGCCCGGCCCAAATGCAGCCGAAGTATCGACAGGCTCAATGTTTCATAGCTCAAAAACTCAACAGTATACTGGAGAAACCAGACATGCCATGAGATAGTATCATATCTTGAGGGATGCCCCAGCCGTCCCGTCTCAAGTTCAGTTTACTGACGTACAGCTCGTTTATTTGCCTATAGAGCCGAATTTCAGGGACGAATACTACAGGAACGTTTAGGCTGCACTGGTTTCCCACCAATCGTAGGACCTTTGCGTGAACCAATGACCGAATTTTTGCACGTCTTTAATCTGTCTTTACATGGTCTTATTTATTGTATTCTAAATGCGATATTCTACAAATTTGGCTACGAAAAGGCATGAATTACGCTGGGAGATAATAGCCTAGCGAGCTCCGCAAACTTTGGGTACTTCATGGTCAAGTAGTTCCGTTGCTGTTCCCAGTGTCTCCGATAACTTTCAAGTTTGCCATTAGTATCTTTATGGCAAGCCCAACTTTCAAGGGGTCCTTTTGCAACTCTCCTTTGCAATACTAGCACCAGACTTACCCTCCACTTGCCCTAAGAAAGGAATCTCAATGGTATTCGTTCCCATTACAGGACCTACTTAAAAAGGGCATACGTCATTATGTATGGTCGCTACCTGACCGAGTCGTAACAGAGTAGATTGCGCTCTTGCAGTTTACTTAAGATGCTGCAGTTGTCTCACAGGCTACTTAGGAGCCGAGCTATACCCCTGATCACTTGTTGTAACCATCCATGCTCAGACACTACTCTAGCATCGAAGGTGGACGAAGAGGAGACTGTATAACTAATAAGGTTACACGAAAATATCGATAACTTACATATTGAATTACTCACCGTTCCGCCGTATAACTTCTCATACTTGAACAGGAAGGCTCAACCCCTAAGAAAAGTATGAAGGCATGGGGTTTGGCTTAATCCCATCGTAGCAGCATCATTGTGTTTGTGGCGCCGTATTAAATGGCTGAAGCTACTTCAATCAAGGCCTGCCAGTGACTTCACAGAACTTAATGTTGCTTGGTTCTAATATAAGGCAAATGTGTGTTAGGTGGTTGAGTAGGGCTTAGAGGACTGGACTATTTGCCTCACCATTCTGCCCACGTAAACCGAGTCACATGTTAGTGGAAAAGGACAAGAAGGAAGAACCACTTCTATCTGGTCGGATACATAGCCTGAAGCCTTCATTCACGACGGGTAATATTCGATGTGACAATTTTCCAGTTATCTGTTGCTATCACAAGGCCGTGTCCACGTGATATTCAGCGATACCAATGCACTACAGAGGGCTAGCCTGCCAACACCCAAATAGGGAATGAATGAACTCTATTAAACGTGTCTATATAACGCACAGCTTGTGGAAGCTTCTGTCGGTTATGAGAGATGCAAGATCACCTGTTTTGATTTTTAGTCGTAGGTCATGGGGCTCTACCGAGGACCAAACGCCGCGCAGCTCATGCCCTCATATGATATGGGCGATCATTGGAGATGATACGTGGCCAAAAGGCCATACTAAGGTCAACATTGACTTGACTAGCTAATCGAACCTTCGAGATTCTCACCGCATTCTTGCGCAATATGTCGCACAAGCTCTCGGTCTCTGCCAGTCCAAGCTGAAGTTGAACAACACAGTGCCATCAAGAACAAGGATATGAACTGGTCACCAAAGTATCTCCTAGAGATGATATTGCGTGATATCGAACACAAATGGAGCGTATGGCAACGGACGTGAGCAAGTTTAAGTCCTAGGGCATCAATGCGTGGAACTTGAGCGAATATTCGATGACTCGGTCGCGGGACCAGCACTGTGACGTCGAAAGAGGACCCCTATTCCAGGACACGTTGATGTCTCGTGGCTAATCATCGTCATCACGAGCTCTTGACTCACAACTGGAGCCTGAGCACTAACGGGTCGAGACTGTTCGATGCGAGAAAGGGGGATGTGAAGTCAATTGGCAAAGGGGTCACGGGACCCGTGGGGAAACCGAGGCTCCGCTTCTCGCTCACTCCGCGTCTGTCGATATGGCAGCCCCACCGTCAACAAGGCAAGTTCATGACTGATAAGCCCCTGAGATGAGGTCTAATACCCAGCCTATTTTCGGAGCTCAAATCTTGGAAACGTCAATTCCGCAATCGCTGGCGTGACCAAGAACCTATCATTGCGAATGTCACATTGGGCCCGCTTCAGAGAATTATTGAATAGCAGATGTCACAGCAGATCGGGGCTACATAGAGTCAACATCTCCGGCCCTAAGCTTACGGCGGAACCAAAGGACGTGAAAAGTTATCGGGCACATTCCATTCTGCCAGCCGACATCCAAACTGACGAATAAGATGCTGACTCAGAGAGGAATGCGGCAGGTAAATGGGAAACACGTCAAGCGCGTCAAATCACCAAACCAGATGCTGCAGAGTAGATCAGAGGGTGCCACAGACGGGCGGGGTCCCGAGCGTGCGAGTCAGGGGCCTATGGCCCAGCGAGATCAAGCTATCGAGGTGGATGTCACGGCTCCTCCATGTTTTGGCCACTTCCGATCTCCGTGCCGCATCGAAGCAGGAAGAAAGTGGGCGGTAAGCTTGCTGGAGTAGTTGCGTGAGAAGCTGCGACTGGAATGGGGAGGAGCGGAGTCGGCTGAGAGGACTGAGATGGTTGCGATTTCGGGAACCGAGAAAGGAGGCGTACTTGCGAGGAAGCTCCAGAAAGCTCTCCGACGCAGCCGAGTGTGCCTATTGGTCAATTGGTGTTGTCTTGTCCAGGGGTTCTCGGAGGCCGGTACGCAAGATGGAAACGCGAAAGTCATATGGGCATTTTCCAGTCGATGCACCGACATTCCAGACTTGTTGGGGACAGGAATGAGCGGATCCAGGTGTCGAATGCCGTGGGACCTGATGATGGGAGACCCATAGAGAAGTCCCATGGCACTCCATCTGAAGCTGCTGCGGTTACGGAATTCGACGTGTTAGATAAGTTATGCCTTAGGTAACAAGCATACGTGGAGCCGAAGGACCGGCAGTCACTGATCATGAGCATGATCATGTGCGCTAACTTGCCGCGATGGAGCCATTGACAGGATACCAAGCTTAGGCCAGCACGGCGAAGCTACGCATAGCCATCTCTCCAGGGTCCTTCCGACATCGGAAATAGACACAAGGTCTGCAATATGACGATACGGTGGATGATGGCCGTGGAATCGGCTAGGAAAATGTGTAAATGGTTGAGTCAAAACAACAGTGGTTGTACCGTATCTAGGACAAAAAGAAACATGCTGGGATGAGACGACACTGACGATGGGCAGTTTTCGATCAGTTGCGGCCCTGAAATGGCTCGATGGGCAAGGGTTGCGGGGTACCGACAGCGTGCTGCTCCGGTACTTGCGCAGCCGCTGCGCCATAGTGGCGCTCGTATGTAACGGTCTAGCGAGGCATAGTACACTGGTATCCACTACCCCGCAATCTGGCCACCCTTCCTAGAGCACAGCTGGTACCTGAGACCCCGGATCGGAGTGGACCCTTTGCGTCACCGTGCTCCCGTGGTCAGGGACTGGACTGACTGCTGCTGCTGCTGCTGGTCGGACGGGAGAAAAGGAAAGGAAACAGCCAACAGGTCCTATGTTTATGGAAAACAGCGACAGGTCAATCGTCAGAGGCATCAGATGCAGAAAGAAGAAGGGAAGGGCAGCCACGCTTCCAGCAAGCACATTCACAGTTCTAGGGTAGAAAAACCGGTAAGGGGATGGCAAACATAGTAGGTGCATCAGTAGAAGAAAGGGAAGGCACGCAAACCAGCCGGGGACAAAAAGTGGCATAAGGAAAGTTTGGTCTGGCGTCAGTCCACGCCCGTCTCCACCACGGCCAGTTTACGCCGGCCGCCTCCCCGTCACAGTTCCCGTATGGACGGTGGCCCCTTCCCTTGCAAGCTGCAGCCCCCCATCTGCAGCAAGTCACGCGATCCAGCTTCTCATCAAGGATCCAGCCAACCCAGCCTTTCCGGACCTCCTGCGAAGATACCTCCCCCCTCCCCTTGCTCTACATCCCCCTATTGGGTGAGCTGTCTGATGATCGCGTGATCTGATAGGCCGCCATATCTCTCGAGCCTTCGTCCTTTAAAAGCATCCTGCGTAGCTCTCGCCGTCTACATAACCTTCCCCTCTCACCTCCTCACATCACCAATCCATCCATCTATCCAGCTACTTCTCTCAATTCATCGAAACAATTCATCAACGACGATCTCATCTGGCGAGCGTTGACAACCAACACTCCAATCACCACTACAAGCCAGTCTAGTTCTACCCTTTCCCGCTACACCTACACGAACACATCCAACCTTACGCCAGCAATCCTATTAAGAGTACGTTATACGTTCCTTATGTAGCTGCTCCTACCTGCCCCGCATCACAACCCCCCCTTTGGGTGACGTTTTCCCCCGTCACAATCACACCTCACTACCATATTCATCTTGGTCATGTTCATAAACGTCAAAGATCATCAACCTTCATCCGCAGTACCGTTTTGGGGTATATCAATCAGTGGGGGAGCTATGCAGCTGAAGATCTTGAGACTAACAACCATCTCGCAGTGACTCGTTCTCACAAGTACAACGACCGTGACCACGCCGGCTTGGCCGATGGCACTGCTTCACCTCAAGAACACCTGCCTCGCTATTTTGCGAAGCATGGCCACGAGGGCGTCGACCCAAAGAAGATTAAGAAGAATGGCGGTGGCAGAAGTAACTGGTATGTTCGGACCTCTCCTTACTCCTCTAACCCCACTTACACACGACCTCTCTTGGCGATGTTACAAAGCACCACCACTTGCATGCGACTCCTGCCCCCTATATATGCTGTGCATCCTCAGTCGCAGGTTCAATGGTTAACATGTACCACTTCCAGGGGCAACGCTGGCGAAGAAGTTGTCGATGAGGACTTCCGCTTCACTAATGCCCGCCGCCGCACCAACAGTAGCGGCTACGCCGACAACCTTCAGGCTTTCAAGACCAAGTTCGACGTCAACGAGACCGAGCCTGTCTTCGAGGAGTCTCTCCATGGCCCCAACGATGAAGACGGTGAGGATCTGACCAAGACCGAGACCTCCGAGAGTGGCGGTTCCTCTTACGGTGATGACAAGATCACCAAGCACTAATAACGTGACGTCCTTGATGTCTAATTTTGTGCTGCACCCTCTCTCATATCGCTGTTCCGCAAGGCAGTCATGTTTTCATCATCTTTATAAGCTTGCCCTCGAGGAATTTGTTATCAACAAAACGACACATAAGTATTATCGGCTTGGGGGATAGGATTCTTGCTCTTTTTTTTTTTTTTAGTTAACGGTAACGGACGCGGCGACATATGGCTCTGCTTCGAGAGATTGGATGGGGGACGATGGGAAGTAGGTGCCGTCGTCCACGATTGACTGCCTCGGTGGTGGATGAAAGCTTTGCATCACGAAGATTTATGACGGCGACGAATAGTATCGCCCCTGTATTATCAAACCAAACGGCCAATGATCTCAGCAATAGATCCATGCCTTGTATCATCTGTCGTTTCCAATAACATTGTGTGAAGTGCATGCTCATGTGTCCTTCAGCAGTATTTAGTTCATTGAGGATACCAGCGCCGATCTTCGACATGCAGTCGATGTTTGCAATCAAATTTTGCCTATAGCCTGATAGCAAGGTGGTTATGGCTTGCTTCGAGGACAGTCAAAGCTAACCAAAGTAACTATTGACTTACTCCATGACAGTGTAAAATCGAATCAGGTTTACCTAAGGAACCTATTGGATCTTGAATCCCTTTGCTCTGATCTCCTTGGATTAAGAGTCATTCGGTCAGTACATTTACTAACATTTGGAGATCGTCTTCTTCCTTTCGACCCCTCATCAACTGACAGCATCTTACACTACCCTGACGAAACAAAGCTGCAACCCCCGCTTTTGGCTCCATGATGACTGGCTTCACCACTCGACCCCAAGCACACACAGCCGCTCGACAAACGGAGACTAGCCGAAGGTCAAGGTAAGACGAGAGTATAACATCTGCTCTTCCAAGGTTCGCAGTCCATCCGCTCCCATGGACAATATCGCCGCCCATGAAGGCAATACAGAGGTATTGGAATGTGTAGCTTGATCTTCTACTTCTTTTAGCCCAGAAATTGGTACCGCTCTGTCTACGGTGGTGAAGAAGAAGAGATCTCCCCAAGCCTGCTCACCCCAAACTAGCTTTCCTTGCCCGATGCATCCTGTCTCGTCCGCCAGGATGCCCATGATTCGGGGGTTGGGAGCCAACGGCTTTACTTTCATGCATTTCTGACATACCGCAGACGGTTGATTCGAATATAGGGGTACTCCGCAACTGAGTAAGCGTTCATTAGTAAACATTTCCATGTTTCTTTAACCGCAGGATAGACTGCGTAAGCCATGGCACGCACCATTCAGTACAGCAGAGCATCCTCCTCCGGTGGAGGTCAAGCAGGCTCACTCCAAGAACCGTCAAATTCAACTTGCCAGTGAATTCCGTTGCTGGGTCTGTGCGAGCGAAGTCGTCTACTTCTGCAAGAGTAAATAGCGCTCTTGTGTGCCCGTGTATGGCTTCATCCACATTCCAGACGTCTTCAGGAAAGGGAAAGTGTATTCTCTCTTTCCTTGCCCTGGTTTTTGCCCACTGCCGAAGCCAATGACTGTCGGGGAAGTTGGGATCAACGTCGATGAGGGTGTTATAATTGAGGCCGATGCCGGCGGGCGACTGTGTTGATCTATTTTCTCTTGGTGCAACAAACTTTGGGTTCGTGAGGAGGAGGACAGTTTCATTGGGACTCCACAGTTTGGCCGAATTTGCTTTGTCTTCCTAGAGCGTCAGCACACAGCTGGCTGTATCGTCCCATACGTTCACTTCAAGAAGCTCTGTTTCCCTCGTACGGTCATGTGTCAAGATGTGTTTTCGGGCACCGATGCTCTTGATAGAGACAAGGATTCGGGCTCCGCAAGTATCGTGGCCTGTTTTGAGGTACTGGCCTAGGGTCATTAGACCTGGAAGAGGGCTTGAGTTTAGCTTATTAGGCTCACACTCCATGGGGGTCCGGCATAGACTCTGGGTTGCGGGAGTTTCAGAGACAAACTGGATGAACTGTTTTGTGCCAACGTCTGCTGGGTTAATAGGCGTATGCATCATCACAAATGGGATGCTCCCTTGATTCGAGGTCGCTTCAGTTCCTGCCCAGCTGGCCCATACGGTAACGAGCTGGCCTATGAGAATACAAGAAGCCGGAATTCCTATAGGCATGAGCTTAACCTGATAGAAATAAACACTCTCAGCCAAGCCCTTGGGAAAACAACGATGTTTGGGGCAGCACCAACCGCAACGGCGCCCGTGTCATCCTTGACAATTAACAAATGTGCCGGTCGACTGTATATGTTCTTTGAGTCCAGAAAAGATGGAGCATAGTTAATGATTCGACCCGTGAAGCGAATAAGCGCCGGCCCTGGCTGGATGTGGGCAATATCAAGTTCCTGATACTCTACTGACGGTGCCCAAGAACGGCCAAGTGGATTAGTCCTAGCCTCAATCTCAGCTTGGGTGAAGCCATTATCCTGTGGCTGTCTTATGCTCGGGGGTTCTGTAGAGGAGAGAGTAGCAACCTCCCTCTCGTAAAATGCCTGTATAGACAAGTCTGTCATAGCCGAGTAGGAAGCTCACGGGGGATTCACAAACACCAGAGATACTCAGGTATCGCAATGCTGCAAGTTGATGTATTGGAGCGACGTATCGGCTTAGATATATAATGTGACATGCTGATGGCGTTGTGGGAAGACCTTGACAGACTACATGGCTTTAGGGGAAAGTGTAACTTGGATTGTACTTGCTTGTGCCCGACAACTGCGCCTTCCCATGCAATGCCGTGCTATCCACCACGGGCTGTTTATAGCTGGTGCCGCTCCTGCTTTGATTGGGTCCATCAATATTTCAATTTACTTCTCTGAACTCACACACTCATCACATGGACATCCCAAAGAAAGTGAAAAAGGCATAAAATAGTCCAGACACTCGCCATGCAAGTCCAACATAACCCTATCATCTAGTCTGCTTTCCTGCAATATATTATCTGTTGCTTACCCCCTTGCTTTCTATCACACCTCGTTTCCTTACAAGAAATTTTTGACCAACATCACCCTGTTTTCGGATAAGATGCCGTCAAATAATATAATTTTTAATTCTTCATCAAAAAATCGCCTAAATACGAGACGTTCCTCATCTTATAAGGTGTTATGAGGTGTACAATTAAGCCGGCCTTGCTTAGCGACGTGAGCTATGCTCAAGATGGCAAGGCAAGCACCACACTTCATTCGCAAAACTCTCCTAACCGCCCAGGCTCAAAAGAAGGCCGCTAGAATCTTGATCGGCAAAGATCAAAAATGTCCTCTTGAAAAAAGCATTCTCGGCGCCGGATCAAGGATTTTGTCTCGGATACGGTATTTCCATAGTGAACGCTAAGCGAGGAATCACACCGCATGCATCTTTGGGGACGCAACCCGGAAATCCTTCATATAGTAGCCAATCCGGGCTGTTCAACGGATTCAGCTAGCCATTTTTCTGGTTTTGAATAAACTTCCGGAAGAAGATTGCGGTTGAATTCAATTACAAGTTCTATCGGAAATTATCAAGATCATTTACCGCCCCTGCCCCGGCTGCTTAGACCTGTTCTTAATGTCTCTTGTGATTCTCTATGACTTACGAAATATCCTCGATCGAGTGCTAGTCCAATGACTTCATCAAAGATACTCCTGGGTATGTGAAATATAATGAAATTTGCCCTTCAGTGACTCCTTACGCCGTATTTTCTGCTCTGTCGCTTTTTCCCACTTTTCGAGAAATGCCCATCATACACTTTCTCGCGTAGGAGATAAGGTGTGTCAAAAGCTCGATGAAGACCTACCTTATGATGGAGTTGACGAATGAAATTATGTCATGTTATTTACATTTATTGCATGTATAAAATGTAGTGCCATAGTTCATTTAGCTGAGGGACCCGATTGCTTTCGTGCGGGTCCGCCATAGTCTGACACGGCACTGGATGTATGCGAGATTGATGTCGATCTTTGACTTTGTGCCGCGATGCTGCCGTCAGCGCTCCCAGCCTCAAGGTCCTGCAAAGCATAGAGGCTTGATGTGTCATGGGTCTCGAGAGCAAACGCTTTGGTGCAGACGATACCTTTCCCATTCTTCATAGCTGCTTGCAGTTCGGTTGTTGATGACAGTTCGGTCCTGGGGCTCTGAGAAAGCTGATTGCGACTTCTGCTTAGGTGGTTCCCACTTGATGGGTTCATCGAGTACTTGTTTGAGTCGTAACGCTTTGTGAGCATACCAAACAGCTTGGGGAAAGCCTTGATGAGGATAAGACGTATGGAGGGCATGCAACAGCAGATGATGCCGGTGGGAACCTCCACAGTTGTCCAAAGGGCCATGCCGTACTGGTCCCATGATGGATTGAGAGACTTAGCGAACATGACCAGCGAACGTAGTCGTAAGATGCTAATGATAGTTACACTGAATAGTGTTAGGCTTCCGACTGCTCGAGTGTAGGAATCACAACTTACAAGGTACCAACGCAGAACATCATGCTAACGGCAAGCTTTTTCCACCAGTGTAGGTTGAGAGTCCTAATTCCCGAGAGGGGCAAGAGGAGCATCCACACGTCAAGAAGAATGCTAATAATAGCATTCGCCCAGGCGACAGCATTAATGTCGATGCATGTTCCACGCTGCTGGCCATCCCATCTTGTCCAGTAGAAAGAGATAGGCGTGCATTGAAAGATGCCAACCATTAGGAAGACGAAGGTGTTGACGGCGTTGAATATAACCGTTGCCCATAAGTAACGTTTGAGAACGGCACGGTCAAAGATGCGCATGAAGAAGAACAGGATGGCCATCTTCACCAGACCCATTTGTATGAAATACATTGGCTCCAGCAAGTAGAACCAAAACCCAAACTTCTCGATTTGCTCCGATGTAAGGGTCCAGATATCTTTACCAATGCCAGCTGGAATTAACCCCACGAGGTTGATGATAAATGAGGGTAGAACAGCGAGGTAGGCAAGGAAGGCAAACATGTCGTCCCATCCTGGTTCTGCCGACGAGAAAAACTTGAATGAAATTCGGGCAGTAATGGTGAAGGTCGAGATAACCAAGAGCGCCCAGTTCAATCGCACATATTCAGGACCATTATCCCTGATAGGTTTATCGCAAGTCGTCATAAAAACATTCTTAGCATCTAACAAAATGTGAGTCTATGGCATCATATCACTGGCGGGGCGAGATAACTGACGAAGAGCGTCTCTGATAGGACAGCTTCCCATGATGCACCCTTCCGTTTTTTGTTCAAATGTAGCATCGTTGCAAATGCACGTGGTATTTGTCAAGTTGCATGGCGAATCATCCATCGCCGAGAGGATGCAGGTGACCTATGGGGAGATGAGAAAACAACGAAGAAGATGACTGGGTACAAACACTTACAGCGCATTGTGGAAGCTGGGACGCGGCCTCCATGATGTTCTTGACTTTCTGAGCCGCGGTGAAGGGCACCGCGACGGCCAGGAGCAAGGCCAGCAGAAAAGTGAGTGACAATGAGGACCTCATGTTGTCGTCGGACCTCATGTTGTCGTCGGACCTGAGTCTCTGCGTAGTCCACTGACAAGCGTTTTGTGCCCTGTCCTAGGAGAAAGACCCAGGCCTTGTGTCCAAAATAATGGGCTGCACGGTTCTTTAAGAAAGGCTGAAGGAGAAATACCTGAGCCGTTGATCCCGCAGACTGTCACAACCGCCAGAAAAGTCAACATGAGAAAGAGGGCGCCGGCTAGCCATTACTATGACCAGCGTGTCCACGGGTAGCAATAGCCCCAGGTAGGCTCATCTTTGATGAGTCGCGGCATGACCTCCTTTGCACAGTTGGGAAGGCGGAGTGCATATGCCGGATGCGATAGTTCAGCTCATGAGGGCGCCACTCAAAAGCCACACGTTCGGCCGAGACCTGTCGAACTCCTCATAAGGTGACGATCAACGCTATCGCGACCAGAGCGCGGACAACCCTCTGCTTTTGGTAAGGCCGGGAGACGGCTTTTTTTCCCCTCCCCCCTCCGTATTTCGACTGGGCCAATGCACGCATGTAAGACGGGCTCAAGTAGTTGGCTGTAGTTGGATCAGTGACAGGCAGAAGACGCCTCGCCTCACCTTACTGCCTTGGGTCACTTCAAGCCTTCGGGGAACCCAAGAGCTGCATCCCGGAACGTAACCGTGATCGGTTCCTGCGCAGGACGCTAATCACCGAAATAGGAGAATCGCTGACAAAAGTTAGCCAGGGGGATTCGACGTAGCATGAAGGATCATGTTGGCATTAGCGGACTTGAACTTGAAGCGAGCTACTCTTGTGCTTTGATCATCACCGTAGCATGTGGTGGCATGGAATACAACGGTGACACAATATTTTTTCCACGTTTTGTGGAGGCTCATTCTCACTGACATTTCGGGAACAAAGTCATCTCCGAGGGCTAATTAGTGAGGATAAATGCAGAAATTCTCAAGGTGGAAATTGTCTAGAAGGGACAATATGAGCTATGCAGAACCGCCCAATGGTTCGATTTGTGTCCTACTGGACTCTCGGCAAGCCCAGGTGTCAAAGAAACACAGGTTTTATCAAACAAGTGAAGGTTTTAGTGCTTGCGAAAGTGTGAAGCATGGCACTAATTTTGATGGTTGCAACTAAAAACAATTGAAGGGAGAAAGTTCTAGTGGGGCATGGGATGAAGCCGTCGTCAGCTAGCGTCAACATTCAACCTGCACATTGACTTATAATTGATCGCATTCAAGGGTGCCATTGTTCAGTTCCTTGACTGCCTGGCACGGCACACATGGCGGCTAGGTAACATTTCTTAAGTTGGCACTCGGGGTGCAAAGTAAATGGCTGCTTGATCATTGGCAATTTTTTCCCCAATAAGCCTTCTTCCGCAAGAAAACACTTTTAAAAACAGAAAGATATTCATAAAATACTTCAGACTACTTATTCATTGGCTCATGAATTTTTTCTGATGCTTTGCCCTCATAACTGTGGTGTTCTTGATGGAAAAACTAAGGACAGTTCTGAAAAGCGGCCATTTACTTTGCGCCCCGAGTGGTTGGCTAGCGAGTAGCGAGTTAGGTGTAGTGGAAGGATGGTTTGCATGGCTTTGGAGCATGTATGTGTGTGTGGACCAACACCCCAGACCATTGATCGACCTGGAGTGGTCCGTGCTCGAAGAGCCGCTCTGGACTGGCTCCAGTTCCTTGTAGCCGACTTATCTTCTTATCGGGCGGGTACGTGCATTAAGGCTCCAAATTTCTGAACTTCAGATCGCGGCCGCCTCATGAACCAGGAAGACACCAGCGGGCTGAAATACCACGCTACGCCACCACTTCTAGAGCAATCTTGTGGCAACCAAAACGGTCAATTTAACCCCAGGATTTAAGCCAACAACGAAGTACGTGTTGTCCGTCACAATGACCACATTGAACGCCTTCCACGAATCTCTCCCGTGTACGTTGTTGTTTTGTCCTCTGCTACCCCCTACGCCATCAACTAACCCAACCCCCGCAGATATCGACGATGAGCCCACATCAGCCGAGCGCGAAGCCGCCGAGTCTTTGATCCGGGCCGAGTTGGCCATCTCTTCCCCGGCACCTGCGCCAATTCACAAAGAACCTTCATTCTCACCCTTCATGGTACAGGAGCTTGAACGCGTCGCCTCAAAAGAACCCCTTAAGGTCATTGACCTCGACCGCTACCAGACCCAAGAACCATTTCCTGAATCGGGACAACCGGAGACAGCAGAGGATAGAGAGCGCTTGGCCGACGCACTTCGCAAGGCCTACACATCCTTTTCATACCTCCAAATCCGGGCCCAGAACCTCGCGCTTCTGGACAAATGGGGCAAGAATGCCTGGCTTATTGGGAACTGGGGCCTCGAGAACGAGCTTAAAACTCTTGAGCGTGATCTCTCCGAGACTAAGCGTCAGATCGATGTTCTGACAGTCGCCAGGAGACGACAACAGGAGGAGGTGGCCGCTGAGATGAAGGGCTTGGAAGAGAACTGGAAGAAGGGAGTCGGAAGGACTTTGGAGACAGAAATTGCTGTTGAGCAGCTGAGAAGGGAGGTGCTAGAAGAAATGAGGGCAAGAGAAGGCTGATACGGAATGCCATGATTGGCGTTCAACTTGCCTTATGATTAATGTCTTTTTTACTTGATTGTAACAACAGAAAGATTCACTTAGTTCAATGATACCACGGGACAGTATACCCCTCACAAATGATGGAGCAGTGTCGTGATGAAATACTCTTTACTAACAGGTATCTGGACGTTACTAGCCATGTCTCTTAGGAAGCGAAGGTGAGGGTTCCGCTAACGCCGTCGTGGACCTTAACATTTACTGTCAGCCTTCCCAAAGCCGCCATCCATTCTTCAATAAAACGCGACCCAAACACCCCTGCACCTCTCTAGGCCGCTTGAAGCGGATCCATCTCCTCGACGCCGGTCTTTACACCTTCGTACTTTGTCCGTCTCATGATACCCTCAACAGGGCCGAGAAGTCTCTGGAAGGCTGACTTGCCAAGACTTGCCACCTTGATCTCTGTGGTTGCAACAATGCTAGCGGCACGAGGAGCATCATTCAAGAGGGCAAGCTCGCCGAAGAAATCTCCCTTGCTGTAGTGCTTCACAGCTTCCTCGGTGTCCCCCTTGTAAGCATCAGCCTCGCCGCTCTCAAGCAGATAGAAAGAATGACCGGGGTCGCCTTCCTTGATGACTGTTTCTCCTGGGGCATATTTTTGAGTCTCCAGCGCGTCGGCAATTTTTGATCGCTCATATGGCGTGAGGGTCTGCAACAACGGCACCTCCTCTAGGAAACTTTCGTACATCCGGCGGCGGGCAAATGTTGACTCCATCAGGATCCGGCGGAATGTGAGCCTGTCGAGCGCCCAAAGAGTGCAACCGGGCTCGGCAGAAATGACGGTCGCAGCTCGAGGGGCATTGTACATCAGTGCAAGTTCACCAAACGAGCCTCCAGCCTGGATGGTCCCAACTTTTTGGCCCATACCGTCGGGGCCAGGTTGCAAAGCACCACTGCTATTGACATATACGTCGAAAGATCCCTTCTCGACAACGTAAAAGAAGTCACCGGCATCACCTTGGCTAATTACCTGTTGTAGAACGTCAGATCTCGTCTATGGAACCAATCGGTAGTGGTGGCCTGCTTACCTTGATGCCCTTGGCTGGAATGGGTTTCTCGTTCAGGGCGCCCAGAATTTGAGCACTTTGCTCCTCGTCTAGGTGGCTGAACAAGAAGTTGCCCGCAATGGCGGCCTGAAGACGGCCCAGCTGGTCCTTGCTTTTCTCGTGAACGGGGGGGGACCAGTTGTCGTAGGTGTCAGCACTGGGTTTGAGCGACTCAGCAGAGACAGAGGTTCGGCGACCAAAGTTATACTGAGCAGGATAGCTCTCGGGGTTTGGTGGGCTTCTAAGGGCAGAGAGTGGACCATCGTCCGTGGCATCGCCTCCAAACGGCCCGCTGAACGTCGTACCAGCGTTCATTCCAAAGTTGGGTGATGTGGGGGAGGTCACGGTATCGGTTTCCTCCTCTTCAATAACACGATGGATGGCATTGCCTCCAGCAGGCGCTCCATCACTAGCTCCGCCAAATGGATTGGCGTTTGCACCGAAAGGACTCTTAAACATATCGGGCAACTGTTGGGCGACTGGAGTCGTGAGGGTGTCGGTTCGTTTCGGTTCGTTTCGATTCGCAGTAATCAAGGGTTGTCTCGTAAAGGGCTATTGCAAGCAGGTAGGGCAACTCGGCGCAAAGCTCGATTGCTACTGAATGACCGTACTTTGTAAATCGGTACTGATGGAAGACTGTGGAATATGTTCAGCTTTTGATTATTAGATATGTACTATAGCAAGAGGAATGGCGAACGGTTGCCCCGTTGTCTGAGATCATCAGGGTGATGGACAAAGAATGTTGTAAAATTGGTGGGGTTGTTGAGCAAGGTGAAAGTGTAGCATCGGTGTACCCGGTGCTTCGTACCCTGCTGTTAGGCTCTAGCAATCTGGCAGATCATAGCCCCCGACCGCTAAGTCTTGGGAGGGGTCGAAGATGCAGTGACACAGATTGATAGAGAGATACAATTGACTGTGAGGGATGACGCAAAGCAGTGGCAAGATACCTGAACGCGATGCCATACGGCTGACATGAAGTGCAGCGGACTATACATATCAGGAGCAAGGAGAACAGGGGCGGCGACATGGCGAGCACGGCGATCTTGCGATGCAATGCTGCTGAAGGAGACAAGATGACAAGCAAAAAGAGAACGAGGTTACGGATATCGAAGCCATGCTGAACAACGCAGGGTGCTTGAAGAGAGCTTCTACTTACAGGAGGAACAGCAGATGGAGCTAGCTCGTGGAAAACGGTGAGTTAAGGCGCAAGGTCAACTGCAGTCATCATATAGCCCACTGGTGCTGAGGCGGGCAGCTATCGTCAACAGGCTGATGGGCGGAGGGCAGACAATGACGAACAAGAGGAGCTGTCAAGGAGCAAAGTGAATACGAAGAGAGGAGGGGAATAGTAAGAGGGAGGACGAAGAGAGGAAGAGGTCACGTCGTGGGTCCAGTAACTGCTGCCGGAGATGGGGGGACGCGGCTAGTATGTAAACGTGCTAGGTACCGAAGGTTGGGGAGGTGTGGCAAGCAGCTGCTTTCTGTTCCTGCTGGTTTGTGCTGGTATAGTGATCTGGGTGCGAGACGAGGGGAGGTCACAAGAATACCTTGTAGGCTTGTCTTGTCTTGTCTTGAACGTGGGAATGCGGCAGAGGAGGGAAGAAGGGACGAGAAGACGGATGGGAGCACGAAATGGGGGAAGTGCAGGAGGCAGAGGGCCAAGGGAAGGGAAGCTTTTTGGGTTCAGTTTAGGGATTGCACTGAGATGGGGGGAGGTGGGGGCTCCTTTGACGCATCCACGTCGCTGCTTCCAGTCAAACCAAGCACAGGCGCGGCATAGCAAAAAAAGAGAAGCGGAAGGTGCTCCTTTCCCCTCCCTCCCTTCCCCTCCACTCTCTTTCTCTGTGAGGAGACAGACACAAGGTGACGCTGGTGTCCTAGCTTTTTGAGGGGCCTTGCTGCCCCGGCCGGCCACTCACGGGCGTCGAACAATTCTAGAAGGTGCACAGATCAGCTTGTGGCCCGCTACTACTTCCGTTCCCTGCAGCCCGAAGTGTCCGGGCTTCAGCTTCCAAGCCGCTTCGGTTGCGATTCTGTGCAGCTCTCAGCAGCGCTTCTGACTGGCCACCCTAGGTCCCTGGTTTCGGCCATGTAATCATGGGGCATCCCGTGGAATTTCAGGGCGCTTTCAGTGGGCCTTCCCCGTCTGCCCGCAATTGCCCCTCACTACAACTCGGCTGTCAGTGGCTCGTTCATTCGATAGCCCGCTGATCGAAGCCGGTACAACCATTAGGGTGTGGCCAAGAAGTAACCGATCCATTTCCTAGCACCTATTCCGCCTGAGCAGTCTTAGGATTCCTGTCTGGAAAATACCCCAGCTCGCTGCTTTCACCGACTGCCATGCCTCACATTTGATTTCATCTCAGACAGTCAGAGTCCCTTGTGCCTCCTGAGATAAACATGAAAGAGCCTGTGGCTGCCCCCAGGCACCCCGTTTCAAATTGCGGGCATCGGGCTTCTGAGATGTCGGTTTTCAATCATCATTTTAGGCCCTGGTACTCTTCCAGCTCCTTCCCTCCTTCCCTCTTCTTGTTCATTATTATGCAGTAGTTGACGATTGGATTAACATATTTCCATTCCAGATGACTAGGCGCGTTGCACAAGCATCTACGGATAAAGTTGCGGAACCATGCCGCCCTTCAGACGCTAAAAGTTATGTCATTGTCTGACATCCTGTAAATATGCTCTTTCAGCATCGATTGCCCAGTGTTTCCAGTTAGTAAGACGAGATATTATATGTAAATGCCTTGAGCTGCCCCTGACTCTAAGAAGCTTATGTCAGACTATGACAGCGTGCGAAATATGGTCGCCAGGCTGGTTGCACGGATTCTGATTCATACCGTGCTACAGCTTGGGTTGTCTATTTTGAACAAGGGTGGTCTATGACATACTTTTTGCTCTGCAGTGAGACCACACGTTGCACAATCGGGCGTGGTGCCAAAATCTGGATCTGATGCTCCGGAGGATTGGAAAGCTACAAACAACTTCAATACGGCGTGGTACGGCGTGGTGGCCGACTTGATATTTTCTCACTAACCTGAGAGGCAAGGCATAGCCCCAAGTTCGATTCTCAGTTTCGGAACATTGTTTTCGTTTTCTCTCACCATGTCCCACTCCAAACCCCTTCCCCTTTCCACAACATGAACCCCCCTAAAATTTGTCATTTCGCCATGCAGAGATGAGATGGGATTCTGGATTGCGGCTGTGGGGTCCTATGGAAACGCGTCTGTAGTGGACGAATATTAATAGTATTGACAGGGATGAATGCAGTGCTTAATCATCCGTCTTCAACGATCTTTTAGGTACTTGTTTTCATAGCAGTTTCCGTATAAGGAAAGATGATATCTTCCTTCTAAGTAATTAATGCACTGTCTTCTAACTACGTCTAAGCGTCTTGTAACGTCTGATCTTGAAAGCCTATAGTCAGTAAATGTCGCTGAACAGCATCCATTCACTCAACTGCAAGGGAGTCTACATGTGCTCCGTGTGTTGATGAGGAGTGGATTGCTCAGCCACGGCGCTAAACCGGATTTGTGTGATGAATGCCAAGCCACACGGGCTGACTTCAACTCTCCTGGGACAAGCAGCGCATCCTGTACCGTCCGCCCCGACATCCATCGACCAACATCTCTCCCAGCCGACACTGAAATCAATCGCGCGCGCCGAATGCACGATTGCCCACAATGCCCGAACCATCTCCCGGCGTAAACCACGCTGATTCCATCGAATCGCAACATGACTCGGGAAAGAAGGATGAGAAGAAGAAGAGCCGCAGGCCGGCAAGTACGTGGAAGCCCCGGAACAACGCCAACCAGCCCCCCTTCGGCGAACGCGGAAGTGTTGGACTTGCCATTCCAATAGCCAAGATGCTGACTAGTTGAATCGATAGATACGGCATTTCGGCAGCAACGTCTGAAGGCATGGCAGTGAGTGTTCTGACGACTTTGCAACGGCAAATCGTTGCGACGGACCTGAATGTTAACTAATGGTCCAAGGCCGATTTTGACGCCCAAAACGGTTCTTCCTCTGTTCTTCACGATAGGAATTATCTTCGCCCCAATCGGTGGATTGCTTCTTTACGCAAGTGCAAAGGTACGTTGGGCAATTACCTCCCTTGGCCGGATGCTCGCTCACGCTCAAACACAATAGGTCAAGGAAATCCGAATCGATTACACCCACTGCCGGGATGCGAAGGATGTATTGGAACCGATGGACTCCAAGTACATTTCAAGCTCATTCAAGGACCAGACGAAGAATGCTCTGTGGGCTTCGACCAATGTCAGCATTACGACACCAGGCGGTATTACGTATGAAACGCAGCAGTGCAGAATTCAATTCAACATTCCTGAGGATATGGGACCGCCTGTGCTGTTTTACTATCACCTTACGAACTTCTATCAAAACCACAGACGATACGTAGCTTCATTCTCCGATAAACAGCTGAAGGGCGAGGCGTTGAGTGCTAGCAAGATTTCAAGTTCAAGCTGCGATCCACTGAGAACTGAGACTGTCAACGGCACCGAAAAGCCATACTATCCCTGTGGTGAGACTTAAGTTCTATCGTTTCCATAAGCAACGTACTGGTTGACTAAGTATCGGACAGGGCTAATCGCAAACTCAATGTTTAACGACACCTTCACCTCGCCTCGTTGGTTGCAAGACGACACTCTATATCAGATGTCTAATAACTCCAACATCGCATGGGCATCTGATGCATCCTTGTACGGAAAAACACAATACAAACCTGATGAGGTTCTCCCTCCGCCAAATTGGAGGGTTCAGTACCCCAGTTATACTGAACAGAACCCTCCACCAAACCTGGAGGAATGGCAGGCTTTCCAAGTCTGGATGAGGACTGCTGGTCTACCAACTTTCAGCAAGCTCTACCAACGAAACGATAACGATGTGATGAAAGTGGGTACCTACGAGGTCAACATTACGGACAGTAAGTATTTCGCAAGTCTTTGTCTAAGATGGGCTGACCAAATTTAGACTTCAACACCACGGAGTACAGAGGCACAAAGTCTATTGTGCTTTCGACACGCACCATCATGGGCGGCCGGAACCCCTTCCTTGGTATTGCCTATATTGTCGTGGGTGGCATCTGCATCCTTCTTGGAGCATTATTCACCATTACACATCTCATTAGGCCGAGGTAGGCAATCTCCTTTCCATTAGCTGTGAGCGTCTAGGATAATAAGTCCCTTACTAACCCCTTTTTTCAGGAAACTGGGTGATCATACGTACCTGTCATGGAACAACGCACCAGGCTCCAAGTCCGGTCCCAGCACGGCGATGGCTTCTGGCCGCGACGCGCGACCCGGTGAAGCCTAGAAAGCTTGCAATGTGTCGCAGTGCCCTCTTTGCTTGGCGTCTAACGTCACCTCTCCCTCGGCAATGGCATCAATGGCACTCAGCGTCACTGCATCGTCGGTTGGGCAGCAACGCATGGCGTCTCCCATGTCGTATTTGGGACCTCGATAGACAGATTGAGTTGCAGGAATGGCAGGCTGGCGTGCTGCATTTGTATGGAATGATATGAATATGTATGAGTAAAGGGGAGGGAGGACTGCAATATTTTCGACACGAACCCCCCCTTAACGCCTCTAACTACAAGGAGAGGCTCTGGCATTGTTACTTTGACATTTCTTTTCAACGTTCACTCTCGCTCTCATTGTCTTCGGCTGGCTCGCGCGTTGTTGTCTTTTACATGCCACGTTTTGTTTGTTTCTGCCCTAGGTCAGGTTTTGTTTTTGGGCTTGTTCTATTCTTTTGACGAGGGCGAGGTAAGCAACCCAGAAAAACATCCCGTCATTTGCCTACCGCAGGGATTCTGGAGTTTGGGCAAGGGTTCGATGTTAGACCAGCAAACAATTACTACTTCGGGAAAGCCTCTGACTTCCTGTTCGTGTGAAGTGCGTCTGTTCTGTGAGAGAAAATCTCATCCGTCGTGCAGCCTAAACAACACCCACAGACTTCAGGACGTTGGGCGACCTTCTGTTGCTAACTATAGCCATTTAATAGTGGCAGGAGTGAGCATCAGTAATACGTTATCCATAAATCCTTGATTAATAAGAAAGCTATCTGCCCGATATCCTGTAGCTTGCAGGCGGCGGGTCCGTCCTCACCAAAGACCTCTGCGAACCAAGACGCCTGCACGATTTTGATACATTGATTGATAATAAAAACACTGCTCTCAGATGTAGACCACGTCCATCAGTACCTGCGGTTCACCATCGGTGATGTTATGCGTGGGAATGAACCAAAGCATTTTAGTGCTTCCTCTTTTTGCGGCCACGGCTTTCTTCGTCATCAAGATTGCTCTCCCGATCGCGCTTCTTCGCCTTGGCCTCAAGCTCATCCCAGTCCTCACCCTCATCTTCGTCACTCATCTCGGCTTCATCTTCCTCATCTGACACATTAGAGCCAAAATCAGAGTCTTCCTCGCTTGACTCCGATGCCTCATCGAGCTCGTCGTCGTCGATTTCGAAGTTGCTCTCCTCGTCCTCTTCGTTTGCTGCGTCCTCGTCGTCGGACTCGGCTTGGAGGAAAGACCATCCTCCGTCGATAAAGAACTGGTGGGTGTCGGCGGTGACCGTCTTCATGATGGTCGGCCAGTTTAGGTTCAGAGGACCCTCGGAATAGGCAATATCTGACGAGTCCAAGAATTCCTTGACGTGGTCAAGGAACTCGACAGGAATAGTGTTGACATGGTATGGTGGCCGGGTGAAGTCTTTGAAAACAAAGACAAGATCGAAGTTTTTGAGTCCGAATTGAACACGCTCCAAGTGGGCTACCTCGATGTCTTCCAATGTGACGACCATGAATGGCGGCTCAACGACCTGGATCAAGCACTCGGTCGTAGGTTGGATAAAGACGTTGCTTCGGAATGGCACACCGTGGAAGCCCAGGTCTCTGATGGGCACATCCACCTCGATACCCTCGTTTTTACCGGCCTCAGCAATCTTCTGAGCGAAGCCCTGGAACAATCGGTCGAGCTCAGCGCGACGCCGACGCTCCTCTTGCTCCTGTTCGAACTCGTCTTCATCGCCATACCTGTACTTCCTCTTGCGATTTCCGGTCTCGTCGAACTGGATGTCCGTTGCCTCGCGGTAGAACTGAACATCCTTGGTTTTCTTCTTGTTGGCAACCATGATAGGATCCTTCAGGTGAATGTGGATGATGACGATCAACTCATGCTGGCAAGGTTGGAAAAACAGGTGGCGAACGTTGGAGAAGAGAATGTCGACTCGCTGTTGAGTGCTCAGGGGCGACTGGTAGCGGATACCATTCTGGTGGATTTCCACCTTACCAGGCACTCGCTTACCCTCCATCGCCGGGCGAATAAAGACGTTATCAAGAACGGCCGGGCGACGATCTATAATACCATGTCAGAATATCATGAACTCCATCCAATGCTAGTTTTTTTTGACTTACTTCGGATCTCAACAAGCTTATCCTGCTCAACGACGTCCTCCAATTCTTTCTTCTCCTGCTCCTTCTTGTTCACGTCTCTCTTCATGTTCGAGATCTGGGTGGCGATTTCTTGGTAACGGTCGCCATCCGTTGACCTGAAGGTCAAGCTCCTAACGAAATGAGCTGAAGCGTCTTCGAAAGGTTGGTCATCCTTTCGTCCAACACCCTGGCCAGGTGACAAGAAGTTGACACGCAGGAACGACCATTCGCCTTCATCGCTCTTGCTGGCGTTCTTGATTGTGTTAATGTGGAAGGGTACGGGACGGCCCATAACAGGCAGGACAACCGTGTCATTCCTGGCGTCAACCACGATCTGCAGATCGCGAACCTTGGGAGGGAATTGATTGTCACGCTTGTATGAATCAAAACGCTTGAATTTCTTCACCTCCGTGCCGTTCTTGCCGCTAGTCGACTCGGAGAATCGTGCCAGACCTTCCTTTTGCTTCTTGGCCGCCAGCTCCTTTTGATGCTCACGCCGCTTCTTGTCAGCATCCTCATCGACTTGCGTAGATCGCTCGGATCTCAACCTCGTGGAAGTGATGTTCTTCGTAGCAACAGCACCAACTCGGGAGTCCTTCTTCTCCTTCTTCGGCGTCGGTTGAGCCTCTTCCTCGTCCTTGAAGAAAAAGGAATTCGAGTCGGCGTCGATAGGAGTCTCGCCAGTGAAAACAACAGCATCGCTGGAGGTAACACGGATCGTGTCGGTGATAACAAGTGAGTAGATCTTGCTGTTTTTATCCTGTGGCTGGGGATTCTCAATGTCGCTAAAACCAGTGGTGATGACGAGCGTCATGCCGTCCTTCAGAGTTCGAGAGTTTTTCGCGTTGAGAATCAAAGTTGGGTCTCTGTTCTCTAAGCCAACGCCCCAACCGACGTTCTTCAAGAAGTGCTTCTCCAAGTCCGGCTTCTTGGCCTTGATCATAGCGAGAGCCTTGCTATAGACATCCTTGATGACGACGCCATCGCGGACCTCCTTGAGAATCATGTTGTGAATATTGAAAAGAAGTTTGTAGTTGCTTTCCTGGGACTTATTCGGATCAACGAGGTACGTACGGGCGATCGCTGAACAGTACGACTTGTAGCGCAAGCCCATTGCGGCGACAATGGTGCCAGGATGCAAGATTTCGTCGTTGCTCTCCGAATTCATTTTGAGATCGTACTTGCCACCGCTCTGAACCAAGGGGCCCAGTACCCAGTCCAGCTGAGCAGGATCTAAGTCTGCGGGTAGCTTGGTCTTATTGGGTAGCTCGACAGTTTTCCAAAACTTGGTATCATCGAGCTTCTTGTCAACCTTGTCCGCCAGAGCGCTGTGCTTGACCTTCTTTTCCTTATCGAGAATGTCCGACATTTCCTCAAGGAAAAAGGGGGTCATCAAGGCAACGCAGGCTTTGGAGGCGGTTCGCATAGCTCGCAGTTCGGTCTCGTCCTTGATCGAAAAGGCATGCTGCGAAAGGGCTTGAGAGATGTCGACTTCCTCTACACCCTTGCATTGGTCGGCGAAGACCTTCTTCCACTCCTCGACGAAGGGTCCCTTGGACGTGTCCCTGGCAATAGTACCAACCTTGTCCTACAGGAATACTAGTTAGTGGCAATTGGCGCGGGACGGAATTAAGAGCGACTCACGCCCGCGGATTTGATGGCATCTGCCAGCTTGGCGAACAATTTCTCATTTTCGGCTGCGTCCTTTCCTCGGACGAGGACTTCGAGGGGGAATCGGCCGCCTTTTAGTTGATCGAGATGTTTCGCTACAGACAGGTCAGGGTCAGTCGGAGCCCGTAGCACGCGCGTGGACATGTTGAACGAATCTCCTTACCCTTCTTTGCCGTCGTCAGAATGTAGATCGTGTCGACCGTCAGCAGCATCATAGTCGTGGGAAATTCGTAGCCAAGTAGCCAAAACTGCGCCAGAAAGTGTCAGTTATCTGCGTAGGCATCTTTCGGTAGGCGCAATAGACCGCATCGCATCATCCTGATCGATTTCGCCGTGGTTTTTGAGCAAGGGAGGGAGGCGACTCACATGCATGGCGTTGTTCTTGTGCAGCTCGGGTACTTCCTCCACCTTGCCCATCATGACGATAATGGACGAGGCGCCGTTGAAGACGCCATCCTTGGTGCGCAAGTCATTCTTCCAGGCGCCCGTGAATCGCGAGAGGCGATCGTGGAAGGCCTTGCTGTCGATCTTGATATCCCCCATCGTCGCTGCGTGATCGAGTGACGGACGTGTAGGCAGAGAGAAGGGGGTTGGAGACGGAGAAGTTCCAGGTTGCTGCCGGGTCGACGCGCAGAGGAAAAAAGCTACGAATACGCTCGCGTTAATTGTCTCCACTTTTAGGAGGTGCTTTCCCAGCATGCTTTCCCACCTCAGGTAGCACGCCAAGACTGGTGCACGTGACGCGTCGCAGTGACCAAGCATGCTTGGTTGCTGCAGGTCGCGCTTCAGGCTTTGTTCAGGGGACAACCCCCCTAATCGTGCTGAAGAAATTGAGCTGGGCAGACAACACTGGCAGTTTCGCATCAGCGTCAGAGCTCCTGTCGCTTCGGAACTGGTGACGACAGTGGGTACTAACTGACCTAAACTTTCCCTAGCTGTAATGCAGAAGAGGAAGACTGTGTTGTTTCTTTGGATGCGGATATTCTCGTGGAAAGGCAGGAATTAGGCTGAGCAGGTGTTATTGCTTAAAGAAAGGAGAGTCTCAAGCACGTCGTCTTCCTCTCCCACCCTTCCTTCTTACCCTGGGTTTTTCGCGCGTTTGTGCCAGCCATTCGTTCTCTCTCTTTCCAAGAATCCCTTCGCCCTCTTTTTGGTAGTTTCCAAGCCATTTGGCCACACAGTTAGTTCAGTCGCATCCAATTAACTTAAGCCAGCAGCCGTTAACTACAAGGACAGAATGAAAACAATACCCAACCCTCTACATGCCCTCGTCTATGATTATTGATGTATATACTTGACGCTTTTCATTATTGGACTTAGATCCAAAGCAGTATCCCAGTTTCTCTTCTAAAGAGAAAAAACCCCCAGACCAAAAATTCAATGTTTACAGGCCATTGCTGTTTGGAGTGATCAATCATTTCTAGTACTCATCAGGAAATCTGTACGATTGCGTTTAATTTTCACATGGGGAAACAATAGCTTTGCTGGTGCAAAACCGCAGCTCTAGCATTTCCTTATGCAAGTCATTCCCCAGCGCTCTCCACACAAAATCGACATTCCCACCGCTACCGGACCTCGCGACACCGCCCGGGACAGCATTCAACCGGAGTGTGAGGGGGAAGAAAGGCCATCGGCCCGCCCGATTTTCGGGAAGTGGAGACGGGACTTACACTCGACAACGCCTCGGACGCCTCAACCCCGCCCCCTCCGAACATTTAAGCTGATGAAAGTCACCTTTTGACATTGGCACTTTCATCAGTCCCGCTCAATTCCGCGTTATTTGATGATATCAACAAGATTCGTACGGATCTTGAACCTCTTCAAACCAAAACCCTTTACCCCTCCCCCACAAGCTCAAGCATCTAACCCCTCGGCAATCGGCAAGATGCGTCTCCCCTACGTCGCCAACCCACCCACCACCACCTCGGAAGAGGACGCAGCCATCGTCTCCCGGATTCAAGCCCGTCGCGCGCCCCGGCCCCTCCAGCCCTTGGACTTGACACTCTTGCATGCCCCCCCCGTCGCCGACGGCTGGAACTCCTTCCTGGGCGCCGTCCGCACGCAGACCACCATAGGCGCCGACATCCGCGAGCTCGCCATCTCTCGTGTTGCCGTCGTAAACAAGGCATGGTATGAGTGGGGCCACCACGCACCTTTGGCCGTTCAGGCAGGTGTGTCTGCCGAGGGCATGGATGCCATCAAGAGCGAGGCCCCCCTGGAGCTGGGTGCTCGGCCTGCGTTGTATTTGAGTGAGAAGCAGTGGGCTGTGCTGGTGTACACGGACGAGATGACCCGCAACGTGAGGGTCAAGAATGAGACTTTTGAGAAGCTCAAGGGCCTGTTCAGTGAGCGGGAGGTGGTGGAGATTACCACAACGGTAAGTTTAAGATGACTAGTATGATGTGAAGCGTTGGGGGCTGATGCGATGAATAGGTTGCGTGCTACAACTGCGTGAGCCGGTTCCTGGTGGCTCTTGATGGTAAGTAGACATTCCCCAGTAGTCTCAGCCTGGTCTAATAAGTGAACAGTCGGGGAGAGGAACAGCACCGGGCCTGATGATGTAAATTTGTCCAAACATTAAATCCGGTATCAGCAGCAGAGCATCAGGTAATATCACAAGCAAAACGTATGTACTAGGTCAAACAAGTCATATTCAAGTAAACGTTTTAAGAGAAGACAAAGCTAACTCTCACGGCGAAGTGAAAGTAGAGAATTATGGTCCAAGGGGGGTTTTAATAGACGTGAAAGGGGGTATCTCATCTAAATGAAGTGATGTATGAATTATCCTGGGAAAATGGCTGAAAACCACAACAACCTCACGTCCTGTTCCTTATCCCACCCCGTTTCTCCCATAGCCTCCTTGCGCCAATATCACCTGAAATCCTCCATGATACTCGTCAAATATTTTATATAGCCTGAATCGAAGTACGCAGAATGTGAAAGCGCGCTGTGTCAAAGAAAAGAAAAGAAAATGCTGGTTAGATCTATGCTGCCATCTTCAAACACGCCGTGCTTGGCCTGGTGTTGAGTAGGGCCAGATAGTTTTGTCTGTCGCAATTGCATATGCAATGAATCATAGAGTCGTAAAACACTAATAACCTGAAGTAGTCGTAAGCCGGTGAATCTTTTCAACTTAGTTCGCGTGTCCGTAATATTAAGTCCAAGCCGTGGCTAGCCAAGTACACCACACTGGCGACGACTCGGGGTATCAATCAGAGACTCAGCCTAGAATTAGCCAGCTCCTGTTCGATGGACCTCTCAATAGAGGCATGTCGCTTGTGCATCTTTGGGCTCTTCTGTAATTCCTGAACAACACCCGCCCATCCCAACTTGTGGCCAGGTACCGTATCCTCCCGGTGACCGAGCGCCTGGGTGGTAAGTCTCCTCAGTGGTGGCTTCTGCCGAATCTCCTCGGTCAGCGCACGCGTCAAGCTTGCCTTTATCGGGTTCATCGGGGGCGTGAAGCCTAGCGGCGATTTTTCCAGGTCTCTCGGAGGCGTCACCGGCACAGCCGCCTGCCTCTCTGCCGTAGCGCTCGCCCTCTCTGCAACGACGCCCATAAACACGACAAGAAAACGCATGCGTACGAGGTCGAGCCTGCGGACGCGCTCCTCGAGATCGCGGCGCCTGTTCGCCCAGAGTATGCGGGCAGGAGTGCGTAGTGTGGTCGTGTCGTCGGAGAGAAGCATCGAGTTAATCTGTTCGCGCAAGTCGTCGCCACCCTTCTGGATCTCGCGGAGCAAGCGGCCCAGGCGCAGTTTATCCTCGAGGCGTTGGACCTTGGCGACATCGCGGTCGTAGCTCTCATTCTCCTCGATAGAGAAATCAACCGCATCAAGGAAAGAGACGACCTCGGCTGGAGCAACTCGGTAGGCGGTGATGTACGTTGCCAGGGTCTGGGAGAGGACGATGAGGGAAAGCAACAGAGCGGTCAGAACCAGGACGATTGTCCACTGGCGTGCCTCAGTTTCAGCCATGTTGAAATCGTGTATATGACGCGCAACAGTAGAGACTACTACAGCATGATGCGACAGGATACGAGACGATCAAGAGAATGGTCTATGTATGTGAGGACGCAAGTTGCAATGGCCGAGTTAAAGGCAGCGCGGCAAGATGAAGTTATGGGGCACAGAAACGAAGCCGAAATGAGGAGATATCATCGATGACGATGTTAGTGTGTAAACAAAATTGAAGAGGGAGGGAAAGGAGGGCTTCAAGGGCCTCTCAATGGTAAGGTGGTGAATCAAGAGGTGCTGTGTGTGCGCCAGTGCTAGGGTCTGTAATACACGGGATACATACAGACAATTAGGTGCATGAGCCCAAGAGTCCAGGCGCTACGCAATTTCATAATGCCTCCTCTTTCTTGCTTCTTCTTGCCCCTCTTCGCTGAGGACTCCCTTGCATCTCTTCTCACGACATGCAGCCACTAGGCGGCATTAGCCAATGAATGGCACCGAGGTCCCTCCAGACGGGTACCGTTCGTAGACGTGGATGCGACGCTCTCACGGTTGGCGCAATCCCCTGCACCTACATGATGGAGAGTCAGCTGTCACTGGACAGACCACGGCCAACTTCTGTATCCAGTATGGCTTCACTGTGGCCCCAACGTGGCTCGAGACACGATCCGACGGGGCCGACCCTCTTCCTGGGAAGAGGGCTGAACGTGTGACTAGCAGTAGTACCGTTATCGCGGCCCTTTTTTGCGGTGTTTGCGTTCTGTGGGCAGCGAACCGTATCCACTGAGATGCATACCAATATAGTATTTGAGACGGGGTGTCTTCAGGTGAGGGAGAAACTTCGGGTGAGGGGTTGCTTCTTCAGTAGTGGGACAAAACTCGAAGTTAAGGGGAGGGCTGGAAACCTGGAACCCGGCATATCATCCGGCGGTGCGCGAAGACGAGAGGTTGACCGTGCTAGGAAGGCGAAATTATTGCTGGAGGGTGGTCAACGTAACGGCATGATGAGGGCGGGTTGGCCATGCGATCTGTTGGTTAAAACCACGATGAAGAGAGAGGATGCGCGCAGCGAGAAAAAATCATCTGAGCTGTACAGTCGACAGGCAATTTGCTCGGCTCTTTCCAGCCCACTCAGTGCCTTGCTGTTAGTTCCAGGTACCTGACAGTATGTCAGCACCTGCATCTGCCATCCAAACGTTTGCGGTAAGCCAGCTATGTCAACCTGCATATTCCAGCGTAAAGACTTTTGTGCGCCGCTGCAACCCGAGGTCAGCGGGTGAGATTTAGCTTCATTTTGATCACCGCTAGGTGCAGAATGTTAGCCAAAACCTTAGGGGCCAGCCCTTGTTACCGCGATCACCACAATGTTGGCTTGAGGATAACTCCAGCGCATCAATGAGGGGCCTTATCCTGGATTGTTTGCCGGGTTCTCCTCACTCACATTACAGGCAACGTGGGGTTCCATTTCAGCGGGGACACTGAACAGTCCGCACCAACCCACTTGCCCAATTAGGACGCCATCGACATTATGCCTGGAGACCTGCTCCTACACGTCTGCAGGGCGACAACATAATTAATTAATCACCAGATTGATAAAATTGTAACAACCAAGCAGTGAAGAGGGACGATTTAGTTTCTTCCTACTTCTAGGGCTATTGGATCATAATCATTCTCATGTGCAGGGGTATCAAACTCCGTCGTGCGCCTCGCACTCGCCAACCGTTACTAACAACCATTGAGTTAAGTGTGTGTGTATCCTTTACTGTCTCGCCTCGGCTTGCTTCTGGATATCATGCTCAGCACCGCGCTGCTGGGTCTTTCCTGTGTCATGAAGATTCTGGTAATGTTCCTGGCCAGCCTTGTCACCAGTCAGGCCTGCGACAGCGCCACCGACAGTCCCCTGAAGGCGGTTTCCAATGCCGGAAGTGTAGTCGTTGAGCTGGCCCTTGGCCTCCTGTTGCTGACCCTCAAGGTTCTGCTGGCGACCTTGCTGCTTCAGATTCTACGGAATTTTGTCAAATGGCTGTCAATTGGTGCATCATCGCATTGGGTGCTTACCTCGGAACCAACAAGTCCTCCGACAGTCTCCTTAGCAGAGCCGACGGTCTGGTTCCAGGCGCCGCCAGAGCGGTTGGGGTCGTCCTTGGTCACGCCGGAGGCGGTAGCAGTGAAACCGGGGAGCTTAGCAGTAGCGTGAGAAGCATCATGCTCGGCCTCGGCCTTGTGCTGCTTGGCCTCTCCCTGATTTTGGTCACTGGCGTTGCCAGTGAGGGAGCCGACCAGATTCTGGGCAGCGCCGGTGGCAGAATCGATGTAGGACTTGAGGGTGGAAGTGTTGTTGTTGTTGGCAGACATGATGACTAAGGTGGAAGTTTGATTTCAGAAAAAAGTGGTTAATGGTATAGGTTTTCCGTGTATTCTTGGGGCTGCGAAGAGTTGATGTTGTTGTGATGTGCCAGAAAAAAAATGACAGAGCCGGGGAAGAAACGGTATTTATCCTTGGATCTTCAGGGTCCCAACTCCTGAAAATCCTCAGACAAGCAACATGTGAATCTGATTATTTTGGCAATCACGATCGCCTTTGCCTGGCACCATGGAAAGTGTGATGTCATATCCGGGGAGGCTGTACTAGATGCATGTGCATCTGGAAAGGCCTGGTGTGGAGGGGAAGCGTAAGGAGGGGCAGCTCTGCATGTTTCGGGCCTTGCATGATGTCATGGCGCACTTTCAGCCCTTCCTCACCTCCAGCAACACAATTCTTCCCTCTTCCCGAACCCTTTCCATACCTTGCCAAAAACTGAGACGTGTTGCGATGGCCATGTGAGCCCACCAAAGACGTAATGCAGTGCTGCAATCACGAAAACTCACTGCAAGCTTGTTGTCCGTTGGGGTAGGGGCCGATGATGCGCCTTCTTCTGCCTTGGCAATATGATTTCCGGGCAATCAAGCCATCAAACAAAATCATGGCCCAATAACTTAGGTACCGTTCCATCACACGAGCTGCCTGGCACATGTTATTTCGAACCACTCTCAAGTACCAATAGACTGCAGGATTACCATGGCAAGCTCGTCGAATTTGCAGAACTGGGGCTACGGATTCATCTGTCAAGCTGGAATGGTCCTTTTGTCGGTTATTCACTGCTTAAATGGAACGTAACAGTTTCAATCAATCATCTCAATGGACTTATTGTCCAAAGGGCATCCCAGTTGCTGTTCATGACGTCTAGGTAGCTATGGTAGTGTACAGGCCAGATTCGTTGAGTGCCACCCAGTTTGACTCCTGCCGGCCAGTGAACGTTCCGGCCAAACATCTGACTTTGTTGATTCGCCCCAATCCTAACTCCAATATCCCTGAGCACAAAAACGAAAGGCTAGCTGTTTAGGTATCTCAAATGTGGTTTTAATACAGGCAATCCCAGGTTGGAGGGATGCGGCGTGGGGTGATGGTCTGTCCAGTCCAACTGTAGTACTGGCCAGCCTCCGAACTTAGAGCGGAGAGTAAGTGCACGTTGTTCGTAAAGTGCATGAGTCCGTCTCTTAATGCTGGCTCCATTGAATGGTGTTGAGGTCGACACCTTCCTGTACAAGTTCCCAAAGGGGACTGAGCTCACGTAAAAAGTCAACTCTCTCCTTGACCGCCTTCAGCACGTAATCAATCTCCTGCTCAGTCGTAAAGCGACCGATTCCGAAACGAATACTGCTGTGGGCGCTTTCATCACTGTTGCCCAAGGCGCGGAGGACATAGCTGGGTTCTAGTGAAGCTGATGTACAAGCACTGCCAGACGATAGCGCAATATCTTTCAAAGCCATAAGCAAGGACTCGCCCTCGACATAGGCGAACGAAACATTGACGCAACCGGGGTAGAAATGCTCGGGATCGCCATTTTGTGTGGTATGCTCCAAAGACAAAAGACCGTTGAGAAGCCGGTCGGAAAGCGCCTTGATACGCTTGGAGTCGTACTGTCGTAATTGTCAGCCACTGTTTTGCAAACAACGATGCAAACAATAAGGTTTAAAATGTAGGGTCAGATAGGTTGCTGTGAATCAACACGGACGTCCTTGTCACGGGACATTCAGAAAGCCATGCATGTGTAAAGCGAATCATCATCCAAACTGTTTGGGATAGAGAAAAATGGGACTGTAGAATAGGAAATTTTTTTTCAAACGTACCTCCATCTCCTCATGCGCGATGCGGCACGCTTCGCCAAAGCCAGCAATTAGAGGCGGGGCAAGAGTGCCGCTTCGTAATCCTCTCTCCTGCCCACCGCCACTGATGATAGGGTCGAGCCTGACTCTGGGGCGACGGCGGACATAGCAAGCTCCAATGCCCTTAGGGCCATAGATTTTGTGAGATGAGATAGACATCAAGTCAATGTTCATGGCATTGACGTCCAGTGGGATCTTGCCAACGGCTTGGGCAGCGTCGGTATGGAAGAAAGTCTTCCTCTCCCGACAAAGCTTTCCAATCTGTTCCAAGGGCTGGATAACTCCAATCTCGTTGTTCACGGACATGATACTAACGAGAGCAGTATCAGGGCGAATGGCAGCTGCCAGTTCTTCCATGTCAATCAAGCCAGAACTCTTCACAGGGAGATATGTGACTTCGAAACCCTCATCTTGGAGATGCCGGCAGCTGTCAAGAACGCACTTGTGTTCAGTTTGGGTTGTTACAATGTGCTTCTTCTTTCCAGATCTGCCAAAAAATCTCGCGACACCCTTGATGCTCATGTTGTTGCTCTCCGTAGCACCGCTCGTAAAGATGATCTCTTTAGAGTCGGCACCGATGAGCTTCGCAATGTGCGATCGGGCTGTCTCAACCGCCTCCTCACTCTCCCATCCGTACGCATGTGTTCTCGAGTGCGGATTGCCGTAGATACCAGTGTAGAAGGGAAGCATAGAGTCAAGGACGCGAGGGTCCACGGGTGTTGTGGCTTGCATGTCGAGATAGATGGGCCTTTGGCCGTCTTCCATCGTGGTAACTTGCTTCAGGACCTCAGCCATGGGGCTAACCATGACATTTGAGGAATCGGGAGATTGAGGGACAACATCGATGAAGTCCTTCTTGTCGAGCTTGATAGCGGTCTCGACATTGACCTGTGCATGATCACGCTTCGTTTCCGACACGTATCTGCGCTGCTGAGATAATCTCTGGGCTGAAGCTGTTGCCACCCTTGACAACGAGGAAATGCCTCGCGAAGGGGCAGCGGTCGCTGTTGTGTGTCGACACAGGCGACCAGCTTGCCTCAAAGCGGAAGATGTGATACTAGCCATGATGAGGTTGATGGAGATGGCGTAGGGAAGTAGGGAGAATCAAGCTTCGGGGGAAGGAAGAAGAAGAGAGAGAAAAAAAAGAGAGGGAGGTTTTTTAGAAGAGGAGCTGCCACTTTCGCTATGAAATTTTGACAAATTCCCATCGGGTCGGGGTACCGCCTCGGGGGTCGGGGATAAACATCGACGTTGTGATTGGCCAAAAAATAGACCCCACCTAATGGATGACGTTCCCCAGTGTGGGCCCCCTCAGCAGTCGTATTCAGATACTGTCAGGTAAACCTTCCAAAGAAAGCGAGCGAAAGCCCAAAGGGGGGCCATGCTCCTCAGAAAGATGCCGAGCACGGTGGCAGGGTGGGTAACCAGAAGGATGGTACGGTACGGCAACACGGATACCAAAACTGCCCTACCTCAGAAGGATTACCTAAACCTAACGTACACAGACAGGCCTCCAAGGGTGAGCCTGTCTGAATTGGGCGCTGGAAACAGGATTTCATTGGGCCGTTAGGTCTTGGAGACGGACTCTCGGGGTCGTCTTTAATTTTTCTACCGCGACAGACCAAAACACTGTAGGGCAAAGTACCTGTAGTAACTGCAGCAAGGTACAGAGTGCGCCGCAACAACTGCATCCCACTTGGTTTCTCACTTTGCATTGAATAATTTCCCGCGGTGACGCTTCGCATACGGCGAGGCATCCTAAATCTCTTTGTATTGTATTCGCGCAGCGGCTCATTTTTCTTCTTTTCCTTCACCCGGTCTCTCCGATATATTTGAACTCCAAGTTTGGGCGACCGTCTGTCATTGTTACCAGCCTTGAGTACTTCGCTGCAGTTGATCCCACTCAGGCACTTACCGGTCCCGAAGCTCCTTCAGGACCCCAGTCAGGTGCCTTAGCTCCTGCCTTTCGGCACCCCCATGCGCCACAGCCAAGCGGCCTTGCGCAGGAGCTGACGGACACAGCCACGCCTACGTCGTCACCAGCGACAATCAGGTTGCGAAAGCCCACTCCTCATAAGGTTGGACGTGGAATACCCTCAAACAGCGGACACCCTCGTCATAACCTTATCCCACGATACCACCGCCGACACCCGCCATTGGCACAACTTTCCTCCTCCCTAATCCGATACATCACCACTTCAATTCCACCCCGTCATGAGCTTCCGGGGTTTTCAGAAAAGCGTCATTCGGGTATGTGTGTTTCCATAAAATGAGGGGTCTTTCCGTCCCTTCCGCCCCCGTGACGTGAAGGGGACAGTAATTTTGCTGACTTTTGAACCTTGTGGTTCTTTCACCCTACAGGCGCCGCAACAAATCAAGGCCCGCTTCAACATCGGCGAGCATACCAAGGATCCCGTTTACATCGATTCCGAGCGCAGGTTCCAGGAGCTTGAGACCGAAACGAAGCGATTACACGATGAGTCCAAGAAATACTTCGAAGCCATCAACGGCATGCTTAGCCACCAGATTGAGTTTAGCAAGGCTATGAGCGAGCTTTACAAGCCCATATCCGGTCGCATGTCCGATCCCATGAGCTTAGAAGTCCAAGGTAATCCCGACGGGATCCGCGCTTGCGAGGAGTATGAGGCCATTGTCAAGGACCTGCAGGAGACACTTGCGCCCGAGCTCGAGATGATCGAAAGCAGAGTGATTCGTCCTGCGAACGAGCTGCTTGATGTTGTCAAGGTCATCCGTAAGACAGCTTTGAAGCGCGAGCACAAGAAACTTGACTACGACCGCCATCGCCAGACCCTCAAGAAGCTGCAGGATAAGAAAGAGCGAAGCGCCAAGGATGAGAAGGCGCTGTGGAAGGCTGAGAATGACGTGGAGCAGGCGACCCAGGAGTTCAACTACTTCAATGACCTCCTCAAGGAAGAACTGCCCCGCCTCTTTGCCCTCGAGCAGGAGTTTATTCGACCGCTCTTCCAGTCCTTCTACTATATGCAGCTCAACATCTTCTACACGTTGCACGAGAAGATGCAGCACTGCGATATCGGTTACTTCGACCTGACTCTCGACGTATTAGAAGCGTTTCACAAGAAACGTGGTGACATCCAGGAGCAGGCTGAGAAGTTGACCATCGTGAAGTTTAAGACGACCGGCCAGAAGCGCCCACCGATAAAGTACGGCAGCCGTCCCGCACTCGAGGGAAACAAGCCCCCTGCGCTGATCACCGCTGGTCCCTCGTCATCTGCGGCATCCACAACAACAACAACCTCGAAGTTTGGCGGCTACAACAAGCAGGCAGAAGCCGGTGAGGCCCACCCACCTCCGCCGTACTCCCCTCCTGCCACCAACGGAACCGCCAGTCCTGGTCTCGCCGCTATTGCCGCCGCGAAAGCGAAGCCCCCTCCACCGAAACCTAAGCCCAGTCGACTCAGTGGCGCTCCTGCCTCCGAAACCGTCACTGCTCTGTACGATTACGCTGCGCAAGCAGAGGGTGACTTGAGCTTCCGGACTGGCGATGTTATTGACATTGTCAGCCGCACTAAGAATGAGAATGAGTGGTGGACTGGTAGACTGAACGGAAAGACTGGTCAATTCCCTGGTAAGTTTTCTCCCTTACTTACATGGATATCTTATGTTGTCTAGATTAAAGATTGACGAGTTCTTTGCAGGCAATTACGTTAAGCTGAACAGTTAATGAGACTCCCATTCACCACTCATGATCGAGATTTCTTGACATCGCCCGAATACACACGTGCCGCCAAAGGCACATTAATAAACGACGGTTAGGACATTAAAGGGAGCGCGAAATAACTTGTATTTGGGGTCTTCGGCGTATGCAGAAGGGACTGCCCGTCATTTCGAGCTGGAAAACTTGAGCGAAACTACGTGAGGGAGGAAAAGGGGGGATGTGTCGTAAGGAGAGTCTCTAGATGAATGAAATTCCGAATGATGGAGGAGTGGAGTCTTGTGAGCACGCGTGACGCAAATTCAGGAGCCTCACCCGTGAGAGGTTTTGGTGTAAGGCGGCACGGTAACATGCAACGGGAAGGGAACGGTGCGGGGGGGAAGGCTACTGATCATACCTCCTTTTTTCACACTTTATTCTTGATCACAACTCTCTTTTCTTTCTCAAAGACTATTTATGAAATGTTTCTATGAGTAAAGTATGCAGTTACTTGGTTTGTTTTTTGTCTTGCTGCGGCACGTGGAACCAGGAGAGATGCCCCCCCGGTGTGCATGCGTACCATGAACAATGTCTAGAAGTGGGAGGACTGCAGAAGCTCCGTACGAGGACGAGTATTATTCCCTGCATGGCGCTGCAGGTAGTTTATCAAAAACCCAGTCGAGATGCATATGCGAGACTGATGTTTTGCGAGCTCCCCTCCCTGATGGCTTCAGGCCAAGGCTAACTAACCCCTGGCTAGGTGTCATCGGGTGTTCGTGACAGCATCACGACATGCAAAGGTTTTGATGCCTCCATGTGCATCCTTCCAGTAATGGTGCATCCTGACATAACGCCCGCATTTTCCTTTACACCCGACACTGCCCGCTGCAAGCAGGCTCTGGGCAATTTGATGCATTTTGCCAGTTTGAGGCGGTTTCTGTTCGTCGGCCTTCATGTGACCGAAAGCCCTTCACAGGATGGCGGCATTTGACCCCCGGGCCCCCATCAATTGATCCCAAGGGGTTCTGACCGGCTCCCGCTTTAGTCTGCACCGCCCCCAACGATTAAAGGCGAGAGAATGTCCATCTCTAAGATCTCTAAGACAAACGATGATAGATTTGGCCAGGGGGGTACGCGGTTACTCGCTTAATGCAGCAATCCCTTCATCTGAGCCGGGGTACTATGTAAGACAAGTAGTCTGAAGACTAAGGCAAAGCGAACAGTATCATGCGAACCACACCTTCGAGCGGGGGCAGTATCAATGTCTGAAAATAAGGCAACCTCATCCCCCCTGTCACAACGAATGTGCGAAGAAACTGGGCAGCACCACCGAATGGTGTCAAGCCAAGTTGCCTGCATCGACTAGTGAGGAGATGTGCAGAAACTCAAGGCCACCCATGTTTCCGTGCGTCCCTCTGTCCACGCCCTTCTCATGTTGAACGTTGGGGATGAGGCTGCCGGAGAAGTACGGTACTTTTCAGGGGCTAGCACTCTCGCTTTGGCAGCCCGATCGAAGCTGCTGGGGTAAGGGCTGGCCCCGTGGTAAGTGCGGTTGGAGTGTCTAGACCTTCTGACCATATGTCGAGAACGCAACCGTCGGCTGTCTGATCAGCAACACCGGCAAGGCCCCCCCAACGGTCTCCGCAATATGCAAAATTAAATCCAATAGGCGTCCCAATAGTACGTAGGGTTTCCAGGTACGTCGCTGAGGTTACCCTTCCCCAAACCAGAGCCTCAGGTTCGGGTTCTGTTGTTTGTTGTACTGGTTCAGGGACGCACCCCTCACTGAAAGAGCGGTTTCTCGAGGCTGGTGCTGAGGGCGACATGGACTGCGGGGTGGGATAGGGGCCTATCTTTTTCGATTCCCCAGGGAAGTGTTTTGCTTTACTGAAGGATGCTGTTGGTCCGCCAGGCCAGGATCTAAGTCCCTCAAGCCTGATAGCAGGGTCGAACGAGATGAAAACTAGGGGACGTTTGCTAGGAGAACTCTGCTGTCCAACAGCGTAGACCATGGAGCGGTCGTCCATTACCCCCGAGATGCTACCGTAGTGGTTTTTGCCCATAGGGTTAAGGATGTTGTCTAGTATATCGAGGTGCTCGTTGCGCTGGTTTCCATCAGTTTCCGGTAGCCACCAAAAGGTTTTGTTAGTGCCATGAGGCTGACTGTTTCCCTGGTTCTGGTCATCAGGTAGGTGCTCTCGACGCCCAGAAGGCCCAGCTAGGCGAGGTCGGGATATTGACCGGAGCTGTGGCCTCTGAGTCATCAAATCTGTAGCTGCAGGTTCATTGACTAGGTCAATGAATGTTTCGCAAGACTGTTGATAGGAACGCATAAAGCAGTGGGTAAGAGTGATTGCTGGGACGGTTGAACCACTATCACCTCTATGGACCTGCAGTGGATCGCGTCGGTGCTTCGTTGGAGATAGCCTGGTCGCTAGGCAATCAGGGTCTAACGAGGGCTCCATATCATCCAACTCACTTTCAAAGTCCGAAGTGGCATCAACAACTTCGTCTTTATTGAGAAATTTGAGTTCCGTTCGATAACTAGTTCGCGTACTCGAGGAATCGTCGACAAGCCATTCTCGTCGGCATTCCACAACCATAAGCCTTCCATTTGCTGCATTCTTTTCGAGATTTAGTGTGCTCCATCTGTCGTCGATGGGACCCTCTTCATGTTGACGACGCCACATACTGTGCTTCGACGTCGTCTGCATGTCTCGTGAATGTAAGCTCCCGAGTGGAAGACGGAAGCCATAGTAGTGTGAAGTCCAGTCAGTCTCATAAACCTCGAAGCTTGTCAAACTAGACAGAGCGTAAAAATAATCGTCGATTATTTCAAAACAGACGGTAGCCCCCATATCGGAGCCAACCAGATGTTCAAGATCTAAGCGACTAGCCCCCCATTGCCTGTCTCGAATATTGAACTGTTTCAAAGCCCATCTTTTAAAGCCATCATCGCCCGTCGTAGAATGAGTTCCATAGTAGAGATAGTGCTGGTTATTACGTACGAATAGCTTGTGGGATGACTCGAGACGATAACAAGTCAGAAGTTCTTTATTTTCCACATCCACTACGACAAGCCGACTACGGCCTTCGATTTTTGGAGGAATATAGACGCAAGATACAATCCCATTGGCGTAGTATACTGGCCGAAACTTATATTTGCTTTGCCCAAGGTTTTCTTCTGGGACGGACTGGAGCAAAGCGCGTGTATCGATAACAACTTCTGCAGCAGCGGACCTATGTAGGTCGAGGAGGCGGAGCGACTCATAACCATCGGTATAGCATAGCATGCCGTTGCAGTAAATAAAGTCATCGGCGCAGGCTACAAGCGCTGCAGTGTAGGGCGAGGCTGTGGCGATAGCGTCTCGAATTTTCACTAGTCGGCGCAAGCAGCGGGCATATTGTCTGGTTGAACATGCGGCTTGGAGCTCAGCTGAGTATGAAGCATGAGCCTAAGCCAATAGGTCAGCACAGTATACTCAGGTCGGGGTCTTTCTTGTTCACCTCAAGTGCCGTTCTGCATATGTCCTCATTTGTGGTGAGATACAGGAACTGGCGACATGTTGTACCTAAATTGAAAATGTCATGCAAATCTAAAGAGTTGGCAATATAAGTCATGATCTCTATGGGCAGTCGTTGCATTCTTGCGAAATTGACGACTGCCGCAGTTCCTTTCGGCGATCATCCGACCAAGTTTATTGACAGAATAAGATTAGAAGATGTAACTGGTCGCAGTTCACACCCGACAGAAACATAGAACAAAGGAACTGTAAGAAAAAAGAAGAAAAAAAAAGACTGGTCAGGTGTTGCTGTGCTGTAGGGGTGGGAAGGATTCCGGTGCAAGGCGACTCGAATCCGGCAAGGCAGCCAAAACGGTATGCATGCTGAAGTGCATGAGGGTATGCCGACAGATGTTTTATACTGCGGGTAAAGGGAGAAGAAGGTAGGGCATCTCCTTTCTCGCAGAGCCGCTTTGTCCCAGAGCCTCGTGGGTGATTGGAGAATCGGATACCAGGAAAAGGTGGATATGTATAAAGAGTGCCACTTTTGGGGAGATACGGGCATGATCCTCTTGGCTTAAAGCAAATGAGACATTACTCAAGGCACAGCCTGGTCTCCTGCAACATAGTGTTTTACTACCATCGGCCAAATGATTGAGCATGCCATTACACCATGGTGTGTGGTGCGATAATATACAAGCGATATCGATCGGGCTGTCGACATGGGAAGAGAATGGCCTGCAAGCTGAGCTGTTCCCCTGAACAAACAAACCCACAACCCATGGGTTAGAAGCGCCCAACCGACAAGCAGAGCCGCACTTGCAAAGACGCAAGCGGCGCAACAATAGGTGCGTATGGGTACTTCGTATTTCAAGGCTGCTGAAAACTAATGCGGGGCTGGCTAGCTGCAAGCTAGTTGAAAACATCAGGGTGTGATCAGGGGCTTGGCGGGCAGAATGCAGGCAACTGAGGCTCTGCTCCAATTCCTTCTACTTCACGCTAGACATTTGCCAGTGTCTAAATTACACAAGCACGACAAGCAGGCTGTGTGATCGGGATTATATTACTGCAAAGTAATCAACGTCTTAGCACTTTGATCTCCACACGCTTGTCTTGTGCTTGTGCTGGGCTACCCATGCCTATTTGTGGGGCAAATGTATGTCTAACCAATGAAAATAGTCTTCGCCGTGAAATTGAGGCTCATCAAAAGCCTATCCGCGGTAAGCCGGTAGGCCTCTCTGCGTTCAGGCTCTTCTACCTTCCTCACAACCCACTAGTGTTACTGTGTCGCTTTTGTTGGGAGGCCATCTGCGTGCTCAGGCATTTCATCCATGTCAGAAACATTGAGGCTCTTCCCCGGTCTCCACACATCGCACTCCCTAACCAGGTCATTATTGCTCCTTCATGGTCATCCTTCCGCCCAGCTATCTAAATCTCTGGGCTTTCTGCTTGCCGACTGAACCTGAAGCGCCTTTGATGAGAAGATGCCTCGGAAGTTGTCTCGATCCCATTTCATTAGTACTACCTAGACCTATTGCTACTCACATTACACCGAATTACGTTGGGACCACGGGATTAATGGAAGCATTGTACCAAAACGCACTTCCTTGTATTCTCTATTGCAGTCATGCGCCATTGAAAGGAGGCGTACAAGCTCAGCGTGCCCTTGTTAGCTCCAGTCAGGGAGCCGAGCCGAGCGTCGCTCGAATTCGTATCTACGTGGCAGAGGTTGCAGTTTCGTTCGTTCGAGACTAATGGTGTGGAATTTCAGCGGGCTCGGGCAGCAGTGTGCAAAACGTCTATAGATCTGGTATCTGAGTTAGTGCCCAATTAGATAGAACGACTTTGAGCTGGAAACCCTGATTTTTATTTTCTGACATGCTAATTAGATTCAAGGCAAGTATAGATACCATCGTCGAATGCCACAGGCTTAAATGTACGGGAAGCCAGTGGTACCTCTACAAACAGCAATGTACTCTTTGGAGCATTTCGACCGAATAACGAAGTGGACCAGCTAGGCCTAGGGTTGTATGTTTCGGGAAAGCACGAAAATGTCATAGTGATGAGTATTGCCCATTCTCAACTATGATTTCGTTGGTATCAAATGCGCCTGGCAAGTCTTTGACGAGTGCCTGCCAAAACATGCAATCTCGACAGCTCCCTTCGTTCATTCGACCTCTAGACTCAAATTTCAATACATAGAGTATCCAACTAGCTGCGTTATCTAACCACACATTTGTCGAACAGCCTGAGAACTATTAGCTATATGTTCGCTCACCCGTGTGATTATGATTATGTAAATTGATCTCTCAAATTGTATCTTGCTGGCAGAGCCTGATTATTACATGAGGTCAAAATTGTTACTTACCGCCTTGCAAATATGAACCCCCATCGGGACCGAGGCTCCGCACGGTGGTCCGGCCGCCGCTGTGGGGCAATCACTTAGACTTAGGTAGGTTGATAGCCAGACAGCCCAATCCTCTTTAGGAAGCTGCCTTTCTGCATACAACACAGAGCACGAACTCGTCACATGAGATGTGAGCACAGTGTCTTCTCGGAAACTAGAACTTTCTGTGGCTCGGCTACATAGTAGCACAGTTTTGCATCGGTTGCATGCTACTGCGGCCAGAAACCAAAACTTGTATTGAAAAACTATACGCGCCAGGCTAAGAACTCTACAGAACCAAAGAGGAGAAAGCCCTAACATAGGCCGCGCTGTTGACATTGGACGTGTGGACTTCTGTTGCCCTGTCTTATGTGTACCAGCTCGCGGCACAGATAGTGACCCCATCCTTCGTGGGTAATAGTTTCCTTCTTTTTTTGGTTTTGTGTTGAGGATACCAAAAGCTCATCGGGATTTGAAACCAGCACCCGCCTCAGCTATACAGATGCCGAGTCTCTCGCTGGGCTCGTTAAGTTATAACCCCGCAATTACTCTAACAATGAAGTTTTGAGAAAGCGAATCCTGCCAGGTCGCAGCTCGAATTGCCACGTGCGGATGGGGTCCCACATGGTATGCTGACAGGCTGCTTTCGATGTTCTTGTGCAGGACACAAGTTAGGTCCAAACTTCAATCCTTCACCACCAATTTGTTACATTCCGTGAAAGCCCTTGTGTTTTCGAATTGCATGCCACACCCAATCCAACTGCTTTCCGATCTCAATTCGCATCATGGACGACTCGCAAGATGTTGATCTCTGGGCACCATTCACCAAGGACACTCTATTGGAGGTCCGGACAAGCACTATGAAAAAAATGCCAGGTTTGGAGATTGAATCAGGCATAGATAAGAGCTTGCGGGATGGGCCCATTCGTGTGTCATTTCTTGGACTCGAGGATGACGAACATGACCCAACATTTCATGGTGGTGTAGACAAAGCAATTCACGGGTGTGAGTAATACTTTTATGCACCGACGGAAGACAACACTGACGGTAACCCCAGACTGTTCATCACATTATCCTGGATGGCGGAAAGAGTTTCCTGCTGCAGCAGATCGCTTTACGCCGGGCGGCTTCGGGGAAAACTTCGTCACCAAGTACATGAATGAGCGCAACGTCTGTATTGGTGATGTTATTGCCGTCGGCGATGAAGCCGTACTTCAGGTCAGCCTGCCCCGGCAGCCATGCTTCAAGTTGAATCACCGTTTTCAGCTTAAGAATTTCGCACCGAACACATACAAGACTAGTAGGACTGGCTGGTATTACCGGGTTCTTAAAGAAGGCACTGTCAAAGCTGGCGACGAAATCAGGCTTGTCGAACGTAAGTGGCCAGATTGGACCATAGAGAGGGTGCAAGAGTTTTTGCATAGAAACCAAAACGACCTGGCAATGAACGAAGAGCTTGCTGGGATTGAGGAACTGGGAAAAGAAAGCCGAGGCGCATTTCAGCGTCGTGTGGCAAAGGCGAAGATACAAGAGAAAACGACCAAGGAGAAAGGAGATGTGTGGCGCGACTACAAGATAGTCAAGAAGACGAAGCAGACGCACCGAATCATCTCTTTTGTTCTTGAAGCAGTGGCCGCGCAAGCAGACTCGGAGGTTGCCATGGAAGGCGCTCATACAAAAGTCCGACTCCCCAGTGGACTGGTGCGGTCCTACTCCATCGTCTCTGGCGAACCCAACAAATTTGAGCTCGGCATTGCTCTCGAAGATAAGAGCCGCGGGGGTTCACGCTGGTTTCATGAATCAGCCAAGGTTGGCGACGTAGTTCAGGTTGGCCGAATCACCACAGACGTAAAAGTTGCCAGCGCGTCGAGCAACCACGTCTTCATTGTCGGCGGTATCGGCATTACTGCATTTCTCGCCCTTCTCGAAGGCTACCACGAGGTTCATTACAACTTTGAGCTGCATTATGCCGTGCGCTCTTCCTCCGACCTGCCGTTTCACTCGCGCCTTGAGCCTTTTGGCAAAAGTCTCCGACTATACGACAGTTCTAAGCATGAAAGAATGAACATCAGAGAAATAATGCAGAATCTTAAGTGGAATAGTCACGTCTACGTCTGCGGGCCGTTGCGGATGATGGAGGAAGCGAAGAAGGCGGCGATGGAGTGTGGCCTTGACGATAACGATGTTCACTATGAGGCATTCTCCGCGGAAACGACAGGCGACCCATTCGAAGTGGAAGTTTCGAATCGGGACGGCATAGTAATCAAGGTTAGTGAAGAGGAGACGCTTTTGGAGGTGCTCAAAAGGGAGTTTGGGGACATGGAGAGTAGTTGTGAAGTTGGTAACTGTGGGACTTGCAAGGTCGCGTTGAAGGATGGCCGGGTTGATCACAGGGGCACAGCGTTAGCTCAAGAAGAAAAAGCTGGATCGATGTTGAGTTGTGTAAGTCGCGGTGTTGGAAGAATATCTATCGAGATATAAGTAGTATACGACATAAATCTAAGTGCTATCGCGACACTATCGTCAAAACCATTCGGAAATTGCTACATGCCGGGGATGAAATAGATTCACCATGTTTTGCTGTGACCTTGACCGAGTTGCTTCAAGGTGTGCGCCTGGAAGCTAACAGCACGGGCCAGAAGTCCTGGCCAGTCAAGATGTAATACTTTATCGATAAGAAAATCCGGCCCCGCTGATCTTTTTTCTGGATGAGATTTTTGGTAGCTTCTTTATTCACCTTCAGACAACGAAAAGTCAATTCTTGGTGTTTGGTACCGCGTGTCTTTGCTACACTACCGCCAAAATGTCTCCGGTCGAGTCGCAGGGAGATGGCTTCGTCACACTCCCTGTCAAAATTCCAGCGCTTCCATCTTGCCCTGTCAACGCCCTTCACGAGATTCGCGTCCGACGTAATGCACCCAAGATTCCTACTGAGATTGACGACCGGAGTCTCTTCTTGAAAAATGTCCCCGTCGACAGCACCGAGGCTCATTTTCGCCAAATTTTCGCGGCTCTCGTAGGTCCTGGCCGCTTCGAGGGTATCGCATTCGAGGATGAACGCAAAGCCGCCGCCGCCATCGACCCGGCCCAGGCCGTCAAGGTCTCGAATTTCGGCAAGAAGCGCAAGCGCGACGAGCAGGAGGCCGAGGACCGAGCCAAAGAGGAAGAGATGGCACAACTTCCGGATGTATGGACGAGGAGGCTCCGTAAAAGCGGCAGCAGCGCTATCGTCTTGCTAGCCGACGACAAAAGTGTTGAGCTTGTGCTGAAGGCTATCAAGAAGGCCAACAAGTCGAAGAAATACCCTGTTTGGGGCCAGGGCGTCTCTGAAGACCTGCCCGAGCTCGGATCGCAATGGATCTCAGCCCACCTGCAATTGTCACGCTGCGACAAGACAGCAACGCAGAAGTCTGTTCACGCCTTCTTCAATGTCTTCAACCGTAAAGAGAAGGAGGCGCAAGAGATGGCTAAGAGGCTGCGCAACGAGCCAGACGAAGATGGGTTTGTTACCGTCACCCGCGGCGGCCGTGCCGCGCCAGCCAGCAAAAACGAGGCCGAAGAGGCCCGGCAGAAGATGGTGGACAAGGCGGCGAAGAAGAAATCCGAGACGACGGATTTCTACCGTTTCCAGCTGCGCGAGCGTCGCAAGGCGGAGCAGGCAGCTTTGATGAGGAGATTCGACGAAGACCGAAAGAAGGTTGACGCAATGAAGGAAAAACGCGGAAAATTCAGACCGGAAACATGATGCTGCAGGAGACATTCCTGCACTCTACAATACCAAGATACCCATGCTTCAAGCACCATTCTATTGTAGGTCGCCTAATTTCTACTATACGCCCTCATCACTTGACCAGGATGACGCACGCGGGGCCAGCGAAGCACTGTAGAAGAGAAGGGTTCGTCCCAGATCTGGTGGTGCAGTGCCGACAAACACCGCGTTATTAAATCTTCTCAAATTTGTCTGAAATTCAAGAACAGAATCCATGTATTATGAATAACTTCTGATTGAATAAGGCTAATCGCTATTAGACTCCAGAGGCCAGACCACCCAGCGAAACAGCCCCAATAGGTATTGTGCATTCACACATTAACCTTCATCGAGGCCAGATATTCTCACGACACACTCGCCTCCGCCGCGCCGCGGCTAGTCCGCAAAAACTCCACGCAAGTGTGACCAATGTTAAATCCATATGGGCAGGAAAGAATGAGGAGACAGCCTTGTATCCAGTCCAATCGGAGAATAGTATCGCCAGGAACAAATAGTTACAGGCCGAGAAAGTTTTCGTAACCGCTACCTTAAGTGCCTTTTGGTAGAAACATATCAAAGTCACGTGTTTGCCGGCAGATCAGCTTTATCGTCCAAAACTGCCATTAAGCTTGATGTTGCCAAGCTGACCAAACAAATGGTTTAGCTCCTGTAACCACTTTTCTAGGTCGCCAAATGTCAACCGAACTCCTGAATGGTAGTATATGCGTGGGTGTCCCCTCTATACTGTCTCTGTATTAGTGTTTAGCCATGTTCCTGGGCTTCGGGTTTCGAAAAACATCCCTTTTTTTAGCGCCAGGGCACTAGTATTCCCTTCCTCCATCGGTTCTTGAACACAGTCTATTAAAGATAATGGTAGCTCGCTTCCATATGATCGGTTCCGTACACTACAACGTGTGGCACATTCAAGCCAGGGCATGAATGCCTCCCAAATGCATTAAAGCCCCGCCGACTTTTGTTACCTGCCTGCGTGGAGACCCGCCTGGAAGGGCCCTAAAGGTACTATTTCAAACTATTTATTTTTTTCGACGCCACACGACAACGCAGAAATGACATACCAAGCCTAGCATGATGGTAACTTCTGACTCTGGCGTTCAGGGGTTTATGAGTAGTCACCAATTTGGTAACGAATTCAATTAGGTATGGTTTGGGAAGAACCAAACTAACGAGTATCTCTGATTTCTCGCAAGCCAACCTATCAGATCCTCTCCTCCCTTATTGCACACCTGTTTTACAAAAGCTTTTGCCTCCGAGCCCTGAGACCGTGCCAATGACAGCCGTCCTGACGCTTCAATCACTTGTCTACTTCACCTCTGTCCCGAAATAGCTGTCAGGTGAAGCCTTCAAGAGTTTTTTTTTTTAGTTTTTTTCCCCTTTCAGCTCACCTGAAGTCCGGTGTAATATTTCCATTCGCAGAGAGAAAATCCATTACTGACACGGACCTCACGGCCTGAAGATGGAGATTCCGGCCAAGCTATAGTTCTAAGTGAAAACCTTGCGTTGAAAGGGCTCAGCGATGATTAATGATACAGTTCTCCTTGTTGCTGAGGGAAATTTTCTGCTTTCTTTCTCTTTCTAGCACAGCTCCATATATTGACTATGGCACACGAAACTGCATCCTCCTTGCTGTTGTTACGGCTACAGTAGATGTCACGCCAACCGGACCAATCAGCCTGGCAACGTGAGAAAAGTGCATGAGAAAGGGGATAGGGGCAGGCTTAAAGTCATGGTAACATTCAAGTATCCGGGACACCATCAGGTGCGGCTGTTCTGGTGGGCTTGCGGCTGGCACCAGATTCGAATAGTACCGAGGCTACGGTTCCCCTAGGCCCTATTGAAGCTAGAACCTCGACCGACGTAGTCTGAACCTGCCATATTTCCACAGCCTCCTGACAGCCCTCGCGGAAACCCTCCAATCGGTGTCAATCGTTGTCATTCTCGTAATTTCGGGGCCCCTTGGCCGCACCTGGTCCCGACCCAACAAGAAGTCCCCGCCCACTTGTGCCCGGGCCTCACGATGCTCGGCCCCGTGCCGCCGTTGTGGGACCCTCGCCTACAGCTAGCATCGGGAGGCCTTGCTTGACTTATACTTTTCCACTTCGGGACCAACAACTGCACCACCATGCAAGCCCAGTCGAAATTCACGAAGCAATCGCTTAAGGAACCATCGGAGAGCTACTCCAAGTAGAAATCCGGCGCTCACTAGCTTGGTTTGATGTGATGTTGCCGCTTTCCTCTCCCAAGTGTAAGTGGCCAAGCTGCTAGCCAGATGAGATAGGAGACAGGGCACTCATGGTGAGTGAATGGGAGAATCATAAGAGGCCACAATGTCCGCACGAGTTGGCAGTTTTCCTTCCCTCTTCCCGCAGCACTCCTGACAACTCCTGTGCCGTTCAGCAACCTCTCAGAGCCGTTTCGCTCGTCCAACGACGTATCTTTCGTCAACACATTCTTTTTTCAAGGCGCGATAATAATACTCTCGTTTCAATAATCCTAATACTGCCCACATGGCTCCTTCTCTCCTTACCATCGGCACTGCCGCCTTGGCCCTGGCCGGCGAAGCCACCGCCAAGAAATTCTCCCTCGAAGACACCTACGATTCGAACAACTTCTTCAGCAAATTTACTTTCTTTGAGAGTAAATACGGAACCGGCAACTACAATGACGTCGACCTGACTTCGGGTTACATCAACTACCGTAACCAGGTTGACGCCGAGCAGTTGGGCCTCATCAATACCAACAACGGTGAGGTCTTCCTCGGCGTTGACAGCAAAAACGTCACTCAGTTCCCCGGTGTCGGACGTTCTAGCGTGCGCCTTGAGAGCAAGACCGTCTACAACAAGGCCCTCATTGTCGCTCGGTTCTCTCACTTGCCCAAGGCCGTTTGTGGCTCTTGGCCCGCTTTGTAAGCACTCCAACAACACATTAAATGCAATATTGGACTAATTATGTGGAAAAGCTGGTCTTACGGTTCCCCCTGGCCCACAAAGGGGGAGTTGGATATATATGAGGGCTGGAACAATAACGTAAGAGTGGGCTGTTCCTGATATTGATGCCAATAACTAACAAACAACTAAAGGCTGCCAACAAGCCTGCAGTCCACACTGACCAGTCTGCATTGAGAGGACAGTGCCTGCTTAGCCAAGCTAGCCAGACAGCAAAGATCGAGACGCCCAACTGCGATAATGCGGCTCCTGGACAATACACCAACCAAGGATGTGCGTCTACGGCCACTTCGGGCGACCCTTACGCCTCCAACGAAGGTGGAATTTGTAAGTGCAATTACAATATATCCTGAACATCAGATCTAACGCAACATTAGACGCGGTTGAGTGGACGGATGACTACATCAAGTTCTTCTGTAAGCATAAAACTACCGACTCATGAGTAATTGCTCGGGAAGCAACTAACAATGAAACCCAGCCTGGCGTTACGGAGCTGCTCCTGCGGACATTGACTCCAGCAACCCCGATACGTCCACCTGGGGCACTCCCAGTGTGCTGATTGCGAATGACCTTTGCAACATTGACACTCACTTCAAGGACCAGCGTCTTGTCATCAACATCGACTTCTGCGGTGTCCTTGCTGGAAACGCTGACGTTTGGAATGCTCAGTGCGCCAAGGCCACAAACCACGCCGTGTGCTCCAGCTATGTCGCCCAGAACCCTCAGGCTTTTGCGGATACCTACTTCAAGGTGAAGGATATCCGCATCTTCAAGGAGGATGGCAAGCCCAGCACAACCGCCGTTTCTACCAACACCACCGCTACTGCTCCTGTCTCCGGCTCTCCATTCAGCAACACCACCACCATCGGTTCTTCCGGCTCTTCTTCCGGCTCTTCTTCTGGATCTGCCTCTGGATCTGCCTCTGGATCTTCCTCTGGATCTTCCTCCGACTCTAGCTCCAGCTCCAGCTCCGGCTCCGGCTCCGGCTCCGTCATCAGCACCCCCTTCACCAACTCTACTTCCTCCAGCTCTAGCTCTAGCGGCAACTCCGCCTCTGGAGCTGGCTCAGATGCTGTCTCTGGCTCGTCCAACACTACTGTAACTAGCTCTGGCTCCGGTTCTGGCTCTGGTTCTATCGTCAATTCTGGTTCCACCAACTCCACTGCTTCCAGCTCAGACTCTGCTTCCGGTTCTGGTTCTGGTTCTGGCTCCGGCTCCGGCTCTGTCGTAAACTCTGGTTCCACCAACTCCACTGCTTCTGGCTCCGGCTCTGGCTCTGGCTCTGGCTCCGGCTCTGGCTCCGGCTCCGGCATTGGTGCGTCTTCCAGTGTCCAGATGACCACGTCAACTGTTTTCACCACCAAGATCTCCACTGTTACGGCATGCCCCGCGACTGTCACCAACTGCCCCGTGGGCAAGGTTGTCACTCAGACGATTGCACTGTACACTACAGTCTGCCCGGTCACCGCCGTGCCCAAGACAACTCCTGCCACTGGCAAATCCACCAAGAAGAACTCTTCCACCAAGGTCAACAAGAACACCTCTACCCAGAAGACTACCAAGCCCGCTACTGCCACTGGCCCCAAGACAACCGTCCTGACTAAGGTGTACACCATCTCCAAGTGCCCTTCTTCCGTCCCCAACTGCCCTATTGGCAGCGTGACCACCAAGGTCATCACCAAGGTCAGCACTCCTGGCGTCCCAGCCACGCCCAAGACTACCACACCCACCGCAAAGGGTAACACCACCCCTGTGACCAAGGTTGTCACCATCAGCACCACTCCTGCCAAGCCCACTGGCGGCAACACCAACAACAACGGTAACACCGCCAACAACAACAACAACAACAACAACACCAACAAGAGCACTGGCAACAGCACTTCTGCTGCTTGTTCTGGCTCCGGCTGCCCGGCCACGACGAAGCCGGTTACCACTAACGGCGCCGTCCAGGTCGGTGTCAGCTTCGCCCTCATGGCTGTTGGTGCGATTGCCGTCTTTGTCCTGTAGATTTCTTGCACTTAAGGACGTCTAGGGCATCCTCAATATACATATGATACATACGAGTCAAATTATCTACATATAATGTATAGTCTTTGGACATAATAACTACGTATACACGGGGAGGACTATCTTATTTCTTTTGTTTGAAATATAGATCTTCTTCACTTACAAACTTGGCTTACCCCATTTGTGTTCAGGAGTATCCCCTTCTGGTGAGAACTGTTTGTTACATAATACGATTGGAGATTGTGATCAAGCTTCCTTTGCTATTGTTCCCCCAAGTCCAATGTGAAGCCGAAAAACAAGTATACCATTTGCATTGGCCATCTTTTCTAAATTGTTAGTGTGTCTGATCTTGTGACTTTAGTCTGCACGTTTTCAATTACGTGACTCTGGCCAAATAAGCCAGCTCAGGAGGTTGGGTTGTTGCCTGTCATGATCCATCCGCCTTCATCACTCATTTCCTCTGCAGTTAACTTCTAGTCCTATCTGAAACTGCCTTCTGACCTTCCTGGTCTTCTCCAAGTTTAACTGTGCTACATCCGTTGTTCGAGTTCATGTACCAATAGAATATATGGTCCAAAGATGTCATATGTATCTCCAAGCGTCGTGATTGAGTCCAATTTTTTTTTATCTATGGTCCTGAGCCCTCTGAGCTTTTAGTTAATACTTTACATGAATGCTGCTTGATCTTCCGCTCGTTCCCCCTTTCCTTCTGACATGACGTAACTGGGATGATCCCAGGAGAACCCCGAATAAACAACTAGCCGCTTCGTAGCCAGATAACGGCATCTCCCTCCGATTGTTGTGGATTTTTTCTGATTATCAACCCATCCATCTCTCCTCCCCTCGGGCTCAATAATAACTACAGACACGGGTGAGCCCGTGGCGGGAACCCTGTGCGTCGGATGCGCAATCCTATCTACCACCCTTCTGCATCTTAGTGATTTCAGTTTGGTACCGAATCTTGAAGCCATTGCAAAGTGCTCTCATATCTGGATAAGCCTGCTTCAGCAGCTCGAAACCGCCAGGGATGACCCGAACCGGCCAGGAGTTGACCCGCGAGGAACGACTGGCCTTGAAGCATAGCCAGAAGTAGCCGGGATGCTTGGTATCGATGCAGAAGGCGTAGGCGGATCGGTTGGGATTGGCGTCAATGTACGTTGTGAGCCATTTCTCTGTGGTCATGTTAGTTCAGCACTTTGAAATGTCAAGGTTTTGCGGAAGCACTTACCAAGATCGGGCTTGGATCGCTTCTCAAACTTCTCGTGTTGCATCATCTCGTCCACCTTTCTAGACATGGCCTCGATATGCTCATGGATAAGTTCGTCGAGATCCTTATAGGTAAACTTCCCGCCCACTCTAAGTAGTTTGCCAACGGAGAACTCGTTATCCTTCTGGAGTTCCAGGACGTCGACATGTTGGTAAACTCCATCGGCTACCTTCCAGGTAATAGCCAAGTGGTCGTTACCCTTTGATGAGGGACGGATAATAACCTCTCCGGCGGGTTGAGTGCCCAGCCATTGCTCAGCCTCCAAGCCATTGAAAGGCTTGAACATGGGATGCTTGATGACTCTTTGAGTACGGCCCGTAGTCTTATCCTTCTCCCGAAGCTCTTCCTTATCAGCTGCCTCTAGTCTCTCATCCCACTGCCCATGGCCATGATACAGTTGGCGTTTATACGGGCGCTTAACCTCCGCATCTCGAGCCGAAAGCTTGGCAACAAAGTCCTTGTAATTTACATCAAGGACCTTGGCCTGCACTGTCTGCCCGCTTGACAAAAGACCCCTGACTCGGACGCCATCGGGGCCATCGTGCGATTCGATGCGCCCTTCGATACCACAATCAAGTTTTACAATTGCAAATTCATCCTTCACAACCCGAACATTGACAGGGATGATCATGCCTTGAGCCAGGGTATCCTTCGTCTCGCCAGTGAACATGGTAAAGATCTCAAGTGCACCAAGGGTTGCGAAATTCCGTCGGAGTTCTTCATACGGAGCTTGAAGTTCAGCTCGAATGGTCTCAAGAGTGGCACGCTTTCTCTGGCTGTAGTTTCGCTCAAGCTGCTCAGCGTACTCCTCCAGGATAAGCTCATTGACCTTTTCTTGTTCGTCCTCCTTGAAGAGCTTGCGAACAATGGCACCCGGACCGTTATGATCTGTCTCCGCCTTAACGTCTTCTTCGTCAAGCTCCAGGGCATCAGCTGCCATTTTGCGGCCCAATTCGTAGTCCTCTGGGTGAACACGTGTATTGTCAAGTGGGTCGGAAGTAGGATTTGTGGCGTCGTAATCAATGAACAGAAAACTGGCGCAGTTGTTCCAGACCCGAGGGCCTACAACTGGCAACTTCCCGCTATCAGGATCACCAACGAGCTCATCTCTGCTGCTCACAGCTCCACCATTGGCGTTGATAGCCTTGATGACGCTTGTAGCTTTTCGAGGACCGAGACCTGCAACATAAGGCAGTAGGTTGGCTGTGTATGAATCACCCACAGCCTCATTGATGTTAACACCGCAAAGATTGACCATATCAACCATTGCTGACTCAAGGTGCTTGAGAAGCTTCTCTTGAGGCAGAAGGTTTTGGCAGGGGTGGAAAGCCAACGATGCAATATCCTTGCCAAGAGCGGCATACTCCTTCAGCGGATTCTGCATATAATGAGCCAGAGCAATACAGTACCTTGTAAGAGGACTGAGTGTAGGATGCTCTGCTACTGCTCGAGGACTGTCTTTGTATAGGCGGGCAACCTCGTCATTGACGACGATGACTTCTAGCGGCTCGGTTCTGTATTCACCGAGTTCAGGATCATCAAACTCTGGACCCATTAAACCCTTATCGCTGATTAAGCTTTCCAGGTCTCTAACGAGTTTTTGAGTGTCCGCTGACCATCCGCTCACACCAATTGCGTCAGGACGACGTCTGTTGACAATATCAACAAACTCAGCGCGAGCATTCTCATCCCGCGCCAAGTTTCCAAGCTTGCCCTGCTCGATAACACGGCCGTCTTCCTCAACTGAAACCCATGAGGTAGCGTCGCGGGCGGGGTCTCCCATACCGTTTGAAAGAGTGATAATGCGAGGGACGGTTCCGAGAATCATGCCCTTTGGCTTGTATGGTGCCTGGTCAAGCCTCTTAGAATACTCCTCACGGCAAGCCTTGAGCACCTCTTCTTGACATGCCGTACGAAGTGACTCCTTGACGCCTTTCGCAATGACTTTAGAAAGACGGGGAACAAGAAGATCGAGGACTTTTTGTCGCTCATCGTTCCAACGATCAGCGAGCTCGCTGTAGTTATCCGAGATAAATTCCTGGCGTAGATGGCGTTTAAATCCGTCCTCGTTCTCCAAAGTCAGCTTGACTTCGATGAGGCCTTCCTCTTCTGCCTTCATCATCTTGAGGTAAAGTTCCGGCTGACGAGCGACGTCTGCGATGGTTTGGTTGATTAGGTACTTGACTTCATAGAACGGATGTGACTCGTCGATCTTCTTCAATCCCTTTTCTGTTCGGCGACAGCTGATCTCGCCCATCTGGTAAAAGTTCACCCTGAAATGTTTACGCATACGAGGGTTGACGAAAAGTTCCTCGGCATACATTTGTCGAGCGGCGTACATAACTGAATCACCTGTCTGAAACTCTTCATCGGTGAGAGAATCAGCAAGGTCATCAGGAAGTTGACTAGGGTCGTCGGCAATGACCTTGTTGCCCTCACGAAGTGTGTTTTGCGCAAACCGATCCGGTGTGATACCGTACGCGCGAACAAAACCGGCCGCTTTGCTCCTGCGAATGCGGTCAAACAGGTTCGATTTTGAGCCCGGACGCTTCATCTGGTTACTGCTTCCGTTGATCGAAGACAGGTCTTTCAACTCGGCAGTGTATTGGAAGTGAAGGTAGTCCTGGAGGTCCTGTAGCTCCTCCATAGTCGCTGCTTGGGAGGTCATGTCAGTCAGAACATCGTCGTCGATGCTTGCCGAAGACTTGAGGTTCTCAAATGTTTTCTCCAAAGCATTCCGCTTCTCGATAAGCGAGCGAAACTTGATGTCCAGCTCGAGGATACGCCACAAATCGTCTTGTGTGAGTAGTTTATCAGCACTGACGATGTACTCAGGAGCATCGGGGTCGTCTCGGTGATCAGGGTTCTTCGTCTTTTTCGCATGGATCAAATAATCCTTACGATGCTGGAACACATACGGTACCTCAACATCGTCAACGACGAAGAACTCCAAGACCTTCCCAATAGCCTTGGTGAAGGGACTGTGCAGTTCTGACTGGAGTAACTTTTTGGGCCACATCAAAGCTGCAATCCACCGACCCTCTTCCTTGAACTGTTCAGCAGTGATTTGCAGGTGCTTGAAGGGTTTCCGGTCTAGCTGGAATCGCTCGGGCTCATCGGTGAATCGGATTTGGTTGTCTTCATCAGTCAGCAGCTTCTCCTTCAGCTGCGATGGCTCGAAGACGTCCTTGAGCTCAATAGCTTGCTCCTCGCGCTCCCGATCCTCCTCTTCGTCCTCCATTTGCAGGGCCCAGTCGTAATCCTCTCCGTTTCCGAATATAGCCTCCATATCCTCCAGAGCATCTTTGTCAAGGCCAGCGGTGTCTACAACACCTCCAACACCCTTGTCACGCGGTCGCGCGACTTCTGCATCTTCAAGTTGGCGCGCTCGCTCATCCTCATCTTCAGGGAAATCCTCTTCAATAAAGTCATCGAATTCGTCAGCCTGGGAGCGGTAATTCGCTCGACCGTAGTGTCGTTGTTCATTGGCTTCTTCGTCTTCGTCTGAAAACATATCTTCCAAGCCGCGTCGTTCAGTACCGCGGTCATCCTCGTCTCGATGTCCTCGTTTCAATCGCTTGAACTTTGGCTGTGTAGCTTGTCAGTAAGAAGGAGGAAGGGGGGTAGGGGGGTTGGCTAGCAGCTAGAAACCGTACCTGTGTAGGTGCTCGGCGTTCGAGTTGCTCTCCAATCAGCTCCAGATCGTCCTCATCTAGCTGTTCCTCCTCTTCCCTGTCACGGTGCTTTCTCTTAACAACTCGCTCTTGGGCATCTGAGTCTTCGCCTTCCTCTTCTTCTTCATCTTCGTCAACGATGAATCCCTCACGAATCTGCAGCAGTTGTGTGAGTGGTTTATTGAGCAGCAGAATCATATGTGTGTGCCTACCTTGCGAGCCTCTTCCTCATCATCATCGTCCTCTTCCTCCTCAGAAGAATCCTCAGGGGCAACGTTTCTTCTACGGGCGACGGGCTCGCCATCTTCGTCCATAGACTCCTCTTCTTCATCGTCATCAAGTTCGGCCTCGCCGTCAACGAAATCACGCATCGAGTTGCTCATTTTGAAGTTGCCAAAAATGGAAGTCGCGGCGCGTTTAAGGTCACGTCCTGGTTGCTGGGTGATTCGGCAGTGCGCTCTAGCAGTGGATGCAAGTTTTCCGACTTAACATCAAGATGGAAAAACCTCGAAGTCTATGGTAGTTGAAAGACGTCGAGACGAAAGATTGAGATGAGTGTTCGTAGAAAATCGTCAAAGGCTGAAGAAATGCGCCTTTGGCCAGGCAAATTTCGGTCGCCGCTGCACTTGGAATAATTGAAAGCTTGGACCTCCTGCTTCCGCGCCTCGTTCAGTTTACCTCTCAGCCTCGCGTCAGCTGGGCTAGTTTTTTTTCCGACATCCGAGAGATATCCCTTTTTATCTTATCAGTTTATCCGATCTTGTCAGACATCTTATGTCATGCCTGACCCTACCCAATCCGCTATTCAACCCAGGTTTCAAAAAAAGATCTGCTACCCCAGCAAAACTGCTCAGTTACCATTGGTTCATGATATTTAATGAATATCGTGCTCAGGAATAGGGCTGCCGTGAGATTACTCTCCCTCCCGAAGGGCTCATATATCATGCGGTTTCGAGTTCATGATTGAAAGGGACCAGCCAAAATGGTGTTTAACAAGACCCTTGGGCCCCGTTGGTAGAGTCTATCAACATGACACAGACAGCCCTGTCACAGGGAAGCGCTTACAACCCACAGCAAATAGTGAGCCACGGATCCATTCCGTAGCACTTGTTTCGCGCTGGGCAGCCATATTGAGCCTGTCGAGAAGCAGAAGAGGCACACAGATGCATAGGTTGTTGGGGTGGAAGGGGCCAATAAGGGTGGGCGGCAAGACACTGAGACACCATTTTGCGACTAAAAACCCCAGTGAGGAAGACGTGGAATTTCTTCACCATCGTTGGCTTAAGTCGATTCATCAAACCGTCCCAGCCTACATTGTGCAGGCGACCGTATCCTGGCCTAGAGTCATGAGACTGGCGTGATAGGTTGAAAGGATTATGGGGACTTGGACTGTGTTGGACTGGGAAAAGTGCAAATGGGGGAAATAGGGGCGATCAAAGCTAGCTAATCTGATGTGTGGAGGAGGAAGACACAATTTAGATGAGATGGGAGGGATGTCTTCGTTTATGCCATGGTTTGTTGCCTTATAGCCTTTCTCTGTTGTTCTCCGTCGACATCTTCGTCATGTTTCTACCTAATACGAACAGCATAATTGACGGTGTCAATGGAAAGAGATATGGTTGGCGTTTGTTCGGTGCCGCTGGTCGTGTTTTTCGGATGTCTCAACTCAAAGCGAGGCAAGCTGACTAGCTGGATGAGTGTGCGACCGTTAGTTCATAGCCGGCTTGGCCAAAGAAATTGTGAATGGGCATGCTGAAGACTTGGAACCTCATCCATAGAAGGCCGGAGCAGGTACTTCCTTGGACACCAAAGAAGCAAGAATGCCAGGTCCACCTCTGTCGCGAGTGCTCGATGGCAACAGCTAAACGCCCGAGTCCCTAGGGAGCCTTGCAGACCCGTGGAGCCACTGTGGCCCTAAAACGTGCGTCAAGTCTCCTCTATCCCGTACTCCGGGGCTGGGTCTCGACGTCTTTAAAACACTGGCCCGGTCTAGTGCTGGGCTGTGGCCCGTCGGATCTGGTACTAAGCTACCCTAGTTGGAACATCCATCAAATCCGCCGTCGCCGCAGAGAAAGATGAGCGATAGTCGAGACACTCGTCCAGGACTTGAAAGACAAGAAGCTGGATTTTCTCGCTTCAAGAAGTAGCAAGGCATATTGCTTAACACCCGCATCGCCAAAGGTTCGAAAGGTTGGGTCGGGGTCGTTCGTTGCTGGGTCCATCCACTTCGCGGATTGGGCTTTGGAAAACCCAGCCCCAGATGCCCAGGTTCAGGTCTTAAACATATACAGCAGCCGCCTGTTGATCCGAAACCAGTTCTGGGCGTTGATTCGTCAGCTGGGTCTGCTGGAGACCAGTGTCCCGACATTACCTTAGACTAAGTGGACGGGACCGGACTGGACCGTGACTCTGGTGGGCTGCATCTGCACTGCATGCACCTGGTCCTACACCAGCACTCAGCACCCAACCAGCACCTGGGCCTGCGCCTGTACTTCCACATGCACCTGCACTTGCACTGGCACACTCTAAACTGACTGGATGTTTGTGTGTCAACCAAACCAAACCTGGAACCTTTGGTCTGGCCTGAACACACTCCAGTCCCGTCTTTCTTGTCCCCTTCGCGTCAACCTCTGTTTCCGTTGTCTGTTTCTGCTCGACTTCTTTTTTTTTTCCCCCTTCTCTCATCCCCTCCCCCTCCTATCCCCTCTTCACCAACCAGCCCGACCCACGTACCGCCTATTTTCCCATCCAGAGCAACCTCATTTGCTTCTAAGAGGGCTCTCATTTACTCCTTTTCAGCAACACGGAGCAGTTTGCCTATTTCTTGCTCGCCCACCCCTCCCGCCTCGCTCTTTCTCGGAGTCGCCTCCCTACCTTACCTTTCAATCCCCCCACCTTGGCCGAAACGGGACGGGACACCATCGACAACAACTACACCGACAAATTTCGAGCCATTATACGCCCCTCTTCCCCCCTTTCCTGCAGGCAGTCATCGACCTCGGATACTCTCCATCGCTCCGGTCCACCAGTCGATACTAAAACCCACCCAGTGGCCACTGCGAGTCTGCGACTGCAACACCATCTCTCACTTAGCTCCCACGCTCTCATCCCCCCTACCCGACCTTCAACCGATCGCCGCGATCTCTCTGCCGCCGCAAAGAAGCTCTTGAACTACACAGGACACTCGGGTGTTCTGGCGTCGTCCTTCCCCTGTCAGCTTGTTCTCATCCGCCAGTCTCTTGCGCAACTTGGCGGCAGCGTATGTTCACACGACTTCCGAAGGCCCCCGAGCTAATAGCCAACAATAGCACACATCCAATAGACCTGTCACCTGACGGCGCTCACATATCCACACCAACGCCGAAAGGGCATGACCGAGCCTTTTTCGTTGTCACATCCGCTGGACTAATTCAGCATTACTCCCAATCATTTGCGACTTAAATACACGAGCGCAAGATATCACAGCCCAACATGGCCGACCCTTTTGCGCCCCGGTCTATGAAGCGCAAGAACGTCAAGGGCCTCGCATTGACGCCCGCTGCCCCGAAGCCCCCGCCGACCGCCGAAACCAGCAGACATGGCTTCGATCCTCGCGATAAGGACAGTGGTGAGCAGTCAGCACAGTTGGAGATTGGGATCGAGTACAAGTTAGACTTGCGACCAGAGGACTTAGAGATCCTAAAGGAGCTTGGATCCGGAAATGGAGGCACTGTCAGTAAGGTCAGACACGTTCTGACGGGAACTGTTATGGCTCGCAAGGTCAGTACTTCGTATTCATTACCTGTGCAGGATACGTTGGAGGCGAAGCTAGAAAAGGTATTGATCGATGTCTTCAGGTTATACACGTGGAAGCAAAGAAGGAGATGCGCAAGCGCATTGTCCGCGAACTGCAAATCATGCACGGTTGCTCGTCTGAGTATATCGTTAATTTCTACGGCGCTTTCTTGAACCCCCACAACGATGTCATCATGTGCATGGAGTACATGGACGTTGGGTAAGTTCGAGCACTAGACGTGATCTAGATTCTGGGCTAACTCAGTCATAGTGCTCTGGACCGTGTATCCAAAGTTTTTGGACCGGTTCGAGTCGACGTGTTGGGCAAGATTGCTGTGGCCACTCTGGGCGGCTTAACATACCTCTACTCGAAGCATCACATCATGCATCGAGACATTAAGCCATCTAACATTTTGGTCAATTCCAGAGGAAGCATCAAGCTGTGCGATTTTGGCGTGTCCGGAGAACTCATCAACTCTGTCGCAGATACATTTGTGGGAACCTCAACTTACATGGCTCCCGAGCGAATTCAGGGCGAGAAGTATACTGTTAAGTCAGATGTTTGGAGTTTTGGTCTGAGCATTATGGAGTTGGCCATCGGCAAATTTCCATTTAATGCGAGCGAGCAGCTTTCCGACGGCGAGTGCGCACCCGCTGGTATTTTGGATCTGTTGCAGCAGATCGTACACGAACCTGCCCCTAAGTTGCCGAAGAGTGATGCCTTCCCTTCCATTTTGGAAGATATGATCCAGAAATGCCTATACAAGAACCCTGATGAGCGGCCGACACCTCAGGAGCTTTTTGTAAGTTTGATCTAATGGAGGCATGAGTTTCTGTACTGACTACTAGTATTAGGACCGAGACCCGTTCGTTCAGGCTGCCAAGAGAACACCTGTAGACTTGAGAGAGTGGGCTGTTGGTTTGATGGAGAGAGATAACCGAAAGTCTCACCTTGCACCTCAGCTGTCTCCTGCAACCCGCGACCTTCTGAATTCTAGCGACTCCCCGACATACCAGGGTGGATCTGCGAACGACCGCTCACTAGATACACCTACGTCAGGGGAAATTCCCATTGGAGGAGCTGGCATCATTTCACCTCGAGAACCGGCCACCCACTCGAACCGTTCTCCCACTAGAAACGGTATCAACAACATTAGCGGTCGACAGCCGGCTGCTGGTCACCCTGGCATGGGGCAGAGAATTGTTACAACCAACTCGATCCCTAAGTCTGGCGAATATCCAAACAGCGCTGGGCCCGTAAGTGCCAATGCTGCTTCTTTCAGCCTGCCTGTCCGCCCGGCTCCTGGCGGCCCTTTGCCGCCAGCTCCACCTAGGAAGGGCACTCCGGACGAGGCAAGAAGAGAGAACAGGAGGCAAGCAACTTTCGGCATGCCTCCTGCACCTAGAAGCTATGCGAGTGATGTCTATAATGGCACTTCCAATTAGGCGCAGGAAGACTTCAACTACACTCATAGCACACCGCATCGAGCATCCCAACCCCTACCAAGGCATAATAGAGCGCCAGATTGCGCTGTCTTGCTGCCCCAGTTAGAATCTTTTGCACAAGGTCCGAGATCCTGCAGCGTGTCTATGCAGACAGCTTTGCGGCCAGCATCTGATGACCAGGTAGAACGAGCCATCAACTCAGCTCCAACCTATACATCTCAACGTTTGTTGGAGCCTGGTCTTCGAAAACGCAGAAAACCGTGTACAGGCAATGTCACTGGCCTGGAAGACCCATTCATCTAAAGTTACCGACAAACAACCAACCTTTTTTTTTTTATTTTTTTTTACACCGGCCCTTGAGCTTGGCAGTCGATCCAATCACACCAGAAAACCGAATGTTCCAGCCCCCTTTCTCTGCATCACTCGGCGCATGCATTGGTATCGCTCTCTTACCAACTTGGTCATCTCTTATGAGACTGCCCGTCTCTTAAACCTCTAGAAAGCTTGGACAAAGTAGCGTCAATCAACCGTGAACAGGAGGAAAGGTGTTTGTCAGGCTCCACGATGGGATCATGTATCTAGCGAGCTTGGAGGGCGAGTTTTATTGTAGGCGTACATGCTATCTAGACAAAGTGATGGATGCTTGAGTGGCTCATTGTATGGCCTGGATCTATATGAATTGCTGCCACCCCCGGTAATGTTTGTGACAACCTTGCAGCCCTGAAGTATATACCCTGTTAGTAAGTGTCGATGGAGGCCTGCCCCCGATTATATCTCTATACTGGATCGGGCTGTCGGCTGCAGAAACCATCTTCGAGGATCGGGATCAACTCATCCAGCCGGTGAATTACAAGGTCGGTATGCTCATGATCCACCAAATGGACATTGACATCATTTGCAAGAAGCACCGTCGCTGCGCCAGCCCTGCGACCGGCTGTCATATCGTCTATAGAGTCTCCAACCATGATGAGCCCGCTCGCATCCCCCTGCTCTCCGCTTACTTCACCATCTGTTATGGCTTCTGATGACTTGCTGACCAGTCCCCAGCTCTTAGCGATGTGCATAATACCAGCTGGGTCAGGCTTCGGTGGACGAAAGTCGCGAGTGACGATAGGTTCGAATAGAGAACCTTCCAAAAACTTGCCTAGAAGATGGGCTACAGGGGCGTCGAAGTTGCGAGTGCAGATACCCTTGCGAACGCCGCGGCTGTCGAGATAGGACATGAGCTCGATGAGTCCCGGCTGAGCAACCTGCGCAGCCATAGCGGTGCGCTCGATCTCCCGAATAGATTCCATCGCCGTCTCCTGGGCTTCAGTGGTTGGCAAGGCATAAATGTGATCCAGGATGTCGACGGATTTCGTGATTTTGAGAGCATCGCGCATCTCCTTGAACATGTATGTTTGAGGCTCACTAGAACTTGTTAGTCAGAAATCACTTTGTTGAGTAGCATTTAATAAGAATGGTGGTGATAATATTTTTTTTTTGGCTCGCAGGGTCAACAAGGCAGAGACTCGTCTTCTGCCTCAGAGAAGAAAAGTAAGAAACCCTTGCTGTGCCTCGACTATTGGCCAAAAGCTGCCACTTGACCATGGCTTCTAAGTAGCACAGAAGCCACTACGATAAATAGGAGTGTTCACGAGACACATACCATAGCGTTCCGTCAACGTCAAAGACGATGCCTTTCAACTGAGGGGCGTTTGAGTTGACCCCTCCTTCCTTCAACGGGGCAAACCGGCGGGGAGCGATGGCAGCCATTTTAGAGATGAACCTTTTCATAGGGAATTTGTGTGTCACCGACAGTTCAAAAGGATCATGTTCAGGTTGATCAGATGTAAGATACTGAAGACATCCACTCGTGACGCTCCAATACTTCGCAGTGTGTATGAGTCCTTTACCTAGTCCGGATGTCCACACAACTTAAACGAGTAAGTACGTACTACCTCCGTCAGTAAACACGACTCAAGACAAAAGAGCCTTCGATTACGCAAGACCCCACACTATAAGACGGCAAGATAGATAGATAACAGTGGGAACACAGTGTAAAGTGGATACGTCTTCGCACACGGTAGAGCCCTGTCTGGGCAGGTGACATGGGTTTTTAGGATCTGAATGGTTGACGCGAACTTCCAGCCTTAAAGGTCACGGCCTGGAAGAAGCTGCTGCTTTCCTCTAGGTTCCAGACCAGACCAACGCTGCGGATGCTCGGCAGTTGAGTTATTGAGTAGTCGCCTTTGCAGTTGGCAATTGGTTAGAGCTGATAGCGACTTTGGTGAAAGCAGCTTCCTGTATCTCTCTCTTTTTTTTTTTTGCTCGCGCCTTACGTACGAATAGACCGCCTGGCAGCGCCACCTTTGTTTATCCTCTTATCATTCCAAAGAATAGTATCAGCCTCCCTATTGTACAGCTCCAGCAGAGCTGCCCTGCGGAGCTTCCCCAAGCTCAATTCACGACTGCTTCCATAAGGCTGGGCATTTGGGTGGTGCGCAACACCCAACCGTGATGAGCTCGTCGACTAGCAACCAATGGCCTCCTAGGCGGCCTTCCAAGCGGAGTGTGAGTATGATCTGCTTTCCTCGATCCTCCATAGAGTCTATGCTGTCCGAAGCTAACGATGCGACGCGACTCCAGAAACTCCGAAATGGCACATTCATCGTCCCAGGCACCGGAGAACGCAGTCGCCGCCAGTTTTCCCTCCGGGGATCGAGCATCGAGATTCCTTCTCCCGAAATAGACGGGTACCGATCGCTTTTATCTGCCGAGACGACCAGCGAGTCCTTCGATGTTTTAAAGCATAACATAAAAACCAGCGCTCTCCACTTCTGGGACTGGCTGCTCTCACCAGCTGGTAAAGGCGTCCTAAAATGCACGGTCGCATATCTCCTTGGTAGTATGGCGACATTCCTTGCGCCCATCTCAGGCTTCCTGGGCAAGCCTGACGGAAAGCACGTTGTCGCGACTTTGACGGTTTATTTTCACGCAAGTCGAACGTGGGGTTCCATGGTTGAGGCTGTCGCCATAGCGACCATCGCCGTCTTATACGCTGAGATTATCTCCGTTCTATCTATGGCCTTTTCCGTCGTTGTTGGTGGAAAGCTCGGTCTTATTCCCTTGTCACACGTCCTTATCCTCATTTTCTGTATTGGTGGCGGTCTTGGCTTTATTGGTTGGGTGAAGCAGAGACTTAACAATCCTTTAGTCAACGTAGGTTGTACCCTCGCATCGATTGCCATCATTGCCGTCGTCACCAGAGAGGAAGCGATCCACGAAGGACACTTTTCAGAGGCGAAGATCGTGCAAGTTTTGAAGATGTTGGTGATGGGCATTACCATTACTATGACAGTCAACTTGTTGATATGGCGGGTGTCCGCAAGAGCAATTCTGCGTACCTCCATGAACGCCGCTGCTGTGTCTCTTGCAGACATGCTTTCTATGATAACTCGCGGCTTTTTGAACGGTTCCGAGAACGAAATCATGTCGGGGGACTTCGCCCATGTTGTCGGGCAGTACAAAGCTACATATGGTAAGATGACTAAGAGTTTAAGAGAATCGAAGCTCGAGCATTGGGTTTTGGGACGCGAAAAGATTTATGTTTTAGAAAAAGCTTTGGTCAAGTCGCTTGAATCTCTTTCCCAGGCCATCGGAGGCTTGAGAAGTGCGGCGAACACGCAGTTCACTCTCCTGAAAGAGCTGCCCCAGGATCCGATGGCCGGACAGCTGTCTCCTGGCAGCACAGTTTTTTCTCCAACACTATCCCGGGCCATGTCCCAGTATCTCAAGGGCTCGCGAGATCGGTTTGCGACATTGGCATCTATTGAGGAGGATGACGAATTTGAGGATGACTTTGATAGTCATACAAGCCCCGAAGCGACGCCCGATGGACCTCCACCAACGCTTCCCACGTTTCGCTCTCCAAGTGAGATTTTTGAGCTTTTTATAGCCTTGCTGGGCCCATCAATGAAGTCATTGGCTTATACACTTTCCGAGATCTTAAGAGAACAGGCCTTTGCTGCTGGTCCAGATTCCAAGATTACGGTTAACCCGCATTTTAAGCACAGTCTGCAGGATGCCATGTCGCTGTACAACCACGCAAGGACCAATGCACTCCAAGAACTCTACAACAGCATTGAACTTGGGCGGTCGAGATCGGAGAAGATCCAAGCAGATATCGAAGAAGTTGCAGCCGCATGCGGTCACTTTAGTTTCAGTTTGCAACACGTTGCGGAGGATATTGATGCCTACCTAACAGCTCTGGAGGAGCTCAAATACGCTCGGGAGATGGGCTCTCACAGCTGGGACTGGCTCAAGCCCTGGAAATATGGCAGGTCAACTGCCCAGCCAAAGGAGCCAGACCCAGTTAACCTGGACACCGAAAGTTTGTTGCAACAACCCATGGAACCTGATGAGCAACCTGTCCGGCCCATCAGAAAATCTGCTGTTCCTCGAGGTATACCGGACACCATGATCAACCGCAGAGACACCTTTAGTTGGGACGCCGCACCAAATGCGAGCACAATTCTGCGGATGCTCTCACAATATATCCTAAAGTGCTTGAGGGTTTTAGCTCGCGATGATAGTAAGTTATCCGGATGAAGTAATGATAGCTTCTACCTTGCTGACTAATGCCGTTCAGTTCGATTTGGTGTCAAAGTCGGCGTCGGTGCTATGATATGGGCTGCCTGTGCATTTCTTCCAGCGACGAAAGACACTTACAGATATTGGCGAGGTGAATGGGGTCTGTTATCCTTCATGATCGTCGCTTCCATGACGGTGGGTGCTGCCAACACCACGGGTACCGCAAGATTCATCGGAACCATTGCTGGGGTTACTTTCGCTATGGTGGCTTGGGCCCTCAGTCAAGGTAACGGAGTTGTTCTCGCATTACTCGGTTGGATGGTGAGCTTCTTCAGCTTCTACATGATGTTGGTCAAGAACAATGCCCCTTTTGGAAGAATCACGCTATTGGCTTGGAACGTGACGGTTCTTTATGCCTATTCGCTGTCACAAAAGGTAGACGATGACGATGATGATGAGGGTGGCGCCACCCCTCTAATGTTCGAGATTTGCTATCATCGGTTCATCGCTGTCACTCTCGGTATCTTGTACGGTATCATTGTGTGTCGAGCGATTTGGCCTATTTCTGGCAGAAAGAAGTTCAAGGAAGGTCTCTCTGTACTCTACTTGCAACTTGGACTCATCTGGAAGCGAGGACCCCTGGCAATCTTGCTTCGAAGTGACAACACAAGGTCTTACATGAGAGCCGGGGAGGAGCAAGCTTTACAGAGATATGGTAAGAAGCACGTGTCCTGAAAAAAAAGCCGAACACCGTTAACCGTATTTGCAGCCTTCAAGCTCGAAGCATTGCGTAGCGCCGCAAAGAGCGAGTTTGAACTTCGAGGTCCTTTCCCCGATGCAGCATATGGCCGCATCATGCAATCAACCAGCAAAATTCTCGACGGCTTTCACGCCATGAGACTGGTGACTTCAAGACGTGGCCAGCTGTCCGAAGGCGAACGAGCGTTGCTTGAATATACAGCGCCGGAGCGCGCTCAGCTATGTGATCGCATATGCCATGTATTTCAGGTCTTAGCTAGCTCAATTATGCTAGAATACCCGCTCACTGACGCAATTCCGTCGGTGGTTGGCAACAAAGACCGGCTGTTGGGCAAGATTTACCAGTTCCGAAAGGATCACCACCCGTCCACACAGCCGTCTACTCCCGGGGAGGAGTCCAACGGAAATGGACATAGTAATGTTACAAAGAATACTAACATCATTGCTGAGGAGAAGGATTACGCGTTGCTGTACGCGTACACTCTTGTCACGGCCCAGGTTGCTCAGGAGTTGTTATATGTTCAGCGGGAGGTTGAAAACCTGTTTGGAGTGTTGAATACTGAGGCACTTCTGCTGCAGTAGATAAGGACAGAAAGAGGGTGAGAGATACAACTGGTTGATCGAATACACAACATGCAGTAGACGAGGAGCAATGTTGAAAAAGGGGGCTTGATACACAAGGCATGGCTTGGTTGGCGTCGGGTCTACACAATTATCACTATTATGAATACCTTCATACCGTCTGAATGACTTTCACATTGGGCAAAGCGACAAGAACATGGATAAGGCATTATATATAAAGTAGTCAACGAGCATCATTATACCCTTTTCATATTATGAGATCCGAAATCTGACATTGACTTCGTCGAGATACCAAAGGCTGCTGTGTGCCTTGACACATGACTTACCCCACGCCCCAAAGGGAACGATTGGGAAGACAAATGAGCTTCCTTGAAGTTACCTGAAATTGGTGCATTCAATCGGGATATTTTTTTTTCCGTCTCCTGTATTTGCTGTATTTGCATCAGTCATTATGTTCACGAAACCAAGCCATGTTAAAACATCCTCTTCCTCCCTGCACAGAACAACACGCCGCAAATATTTGATACCCTTCAAAACGCCGTCTCCCTCAACTTCCCGATCTTGCCAATCTCGTACTCTATCCAGCGGCCAACCCGGTTGCGCCCAGGTACCAAGATACTACCGGGATTCATAACGTGGCAACCTTCATATGTGATACAGAAGGGTGGCGCCGTCGTGTCCACCAACACCATGGATGTCGGCAGCGGATACAGATGAAGTGCCGTAGCGTAGTCCCAGTGCACAGGGCGGATGGCTTGGCGGAAGGGCGCGAGGTATCCCTGGTCCAAAATTGTCTTGACGAGCTTCCGCGCCGTGTGAATGTCCTGATGAAGGCCCGAGTTAACCTGCTTCACTGCTGGCTTGTCACTCGGGGTGTCAACCTCCATAGCGCCGCCCTCTTCCTCGCCAGGGTCATTTCCTTCCATGACAACATCATCAGCTGCGAGATTCATATCATCTTCGTCTTCCCTTTCTTCTTGATTCTGTTGTGACGTCTTGAGTCGGACGGCTGTGCGGCGGAAACGGGCCGATATGTCGTCGCGGAATACAACGACTTCATGGTTGGGGCCGAAGAGTGTCAAGCGGCTTGGGTTGGAGGTCCATATGGCCTCACCGTCACCCTTGGCGCCCAGCTCAGCATTGGCGGTAGCGAAGGTGCGGCGGATTCGCGAGGTGAAGACGTCCGGTGCGGCTTTCCGGGGTAATGGGGTCGCAGCTCCGGCAGTGAAGGAGGAGACCCAGCCGTCATTGTCTCCTGGTACGAAGACAAACGTGGAAGATTGAAGGAGGGTAGGGAAGTCGGAGAGGGTCGAGGCTAAGGCGTCAAAGTATTCCTTATATTCTATACTGCCGCCACTGCCTCCTCTTGCAAGAACGGCGTGCTGTGTGAAGTTTCCGGTGATGATGAACGTCATGGGGTTTGAGCCCTCAGGCTCAGCGGCATAGAGAGCCAGAATCTTGCGCATGGCTTGCAGGGTCCGTGGCTGGTCAAGATTCACCTCGCCAAGGATGACCATTCGGGCCCGACTGGCTACGTCGTCCGCGGAGTGACGTGGGAGTAAACGTTGTTCAAGCTTTCGCATGCGAGGTCCAACTGCCCTCTCGCTCCCAACACCGAGAAAGTCGATCCAACCAAATCCGCCTCCTATAGTATGGTCTTGACCGCCATCTGGGCCGCTGACGCCCAGTGTCGCCTTTCTTTTCTCGCAAGGTGGTTGACCGATGAAGAAGCCTTGAAATCTGCCTCCTAGCGTTCCGCCGACACCACTGCTACCGCTCAATCCCTTGCCGACGGATTCATCTTCCTCTTCGTAGACGCCATCTACTAACACGATCATGCCTGGGGTGAACCAAGCCGAGTCCTCGGGAATGGCAACGGCTTGTGAAAGATCCAAGGCAATGGTAGCCGTCAAGTCACTAATAGCAAGGCCTCCTGCCGGTAGGATGTTCAACATGCCAAGAAGCATATGATGGCTGCCATGTCGGCCTAGCAAGTTTGCTATCGGGGTGATCTTATGGTTCTGTTGGTTCGATAACGAGCGCTTAAGTGAGGGGGCTCTGGCACTAGCGACGGCTGATGTTTGGAATGACTCGTTTCTAAGTAGTCTTTGATGTATAACGTTATATCTGTTTCGAAAGAGTGCAGTTTTATGTGATGCCGATGGTAACAGGGACGGTTTCGAGGTCTCTCTGTGGACGAAGTCAGTCAGCCAGTTCTTGCTGCAAGGTCATGCCAGTGCTCACCGTTCAAAATGCTTCTTGGAAACATTGTAAAAGAACCTTGGTTGCTCATATGCGTCGATAACCCTAAGCCATCTCCTTGCATCCTTTATATTCTCTTCATCCTCTTCTTCCTCAACATCCAAATTGGACATTCCCAGACTCTGTTGGCTATCTTCCCGCGCTAGTGAGGAGTGCGCTGGACGGATGCCTAGCCTTGTACTAGAAAAGGCTGCATCTTGCCCTGGCTCGAGAAGAAGGCTATTCTGCCGGGCCAGGCCTCTTGCACCGGTCACAATCTTACCCCCACTCATGTTCCCCTCCAACGTCTTCAATATGTCCTTGAGCTCCGGGCTTGCGCCGTCGACGATGACACCACCATTTCGACCCTTCCAACATTTGGCCACCTCTTCCAATACTTTTTCAGCTAAGCCCTCTTCTCGCCATGCGGAGCCACAATGACGACCTATGAAAGTGGCGAGTTCTTGTAGCGCCGTTGACGTAAGGGTCAAACTGTGCTTCTTCGTAAATGTTCGAAAGGCCAAGGGTCTGAGGGTGGCCGGTGGCAGGATGATGGGGAGAATCGCATGTTTCGATGGCGCTGATACCTTGAAAGGTTTTAGAGGGTGCACTGGAGTGCCGAATGCGGGAGAGGATGAGGGTATCGCGGAGGAGAGAGGGGCACGTGTCTTGGTGCCGAAGATATTGGCCATAGGCACTTGTTTGCGCTTTGGAGAGATTGATGGCGGTGAATCCATGATAAAAATGACATCCGAGGACCTTTGACTGTCCAAGCAATGAACACGTCGGAGAATCACTCAAGATGCGATCAATCTTGCAAGGTCGTCAAAATGGCTCGTGGGGTTTACTGTTCGTCGTCAGTCAGGGTCCGGGATAGTCACTAAACTGTTTAATTGAGACGCGTTGATAACCGCGTTTTGACAGGGCAAGCGCGTTCCACCGCGGTTTGCGCCGCACTGTCACCAATTAAAACTGGGTTTCAGTGGCTTGGATTTGTGGCTGCAGCTCTGGCCGATCAGACTCTGTCATGCCGTCATCAGTCACTTTGATGGAAGACAGGAAGCTGTTACCTCGACGAAAAAGCTGCAGAGCACAGTTTAACAGTCGCTTGTCCTGCACTGCACAAAATGTTGGCACCTACAGCACGTTTCCTTCCGAGGTACAAGAATACTTTTCTTCGATCTATTTCCAGCTTGTCATCCAATCCATCCATTGTAAGTAATCATTCATCGGCGCGACCCGTTATAGCTCTTAGCTGATTCCATTCTGTAGAAAGTATTTCCTGCAGATGGATCACGAGCGTCGTTCCTCCTATCCTACCTTGAGGATGAGCCACCCAATCAAAGAATAGCTATTGGATTTTCCACAAGGGACCCTCCTACACCGCAGTCCTTTATCGAGAACCAAACCTTTACCAAAATTCTCTACGAAGTCCTCGCCGAGCACGCGCATAAGGATAAGGAACTTATCGCCCAGGCGCAAGCCTTCGCTGGCCCCGGCGGAGGCAACCTGGGCTCTGGGGGCATCTTTTTTGCACAGCGAAACAAGAAGGGCTCTTCGGCCAAAGTGGGCGGCGGTGGTGGTGCTGGTGGAAGTGGTGCCGGAGGTGCGAGCGGCCAGGGCGGCGCTGGAGGAGGCGGACATAGCGGTTATGTCCACCTCAGCGACTCAAGGAACCCGCCAGACTTTGGCCGGATTGCCTGGCCTGAAGACATTCTGGGCAGTGTTGAAGTTGACCAGGGCGGGAACATTATTGGCAACCTTCAGCCTAGTGGGACGTACCGAATCATCACCAATGAGGGAATGTAAGTTTGACACCATGTTAACCCAGATTGCTATCAGCATAACTAAAAACATGCAGTCTCGGTCTCAGTCCTTTCCTAACAGAAAAGCTCATCGAAAGGCTTCGTTCAGAGGACAAGAAGGACAGGTCAAAATAAGACACCGTTCGTTGGCATACAACGCCGCATGGTCGCCTAGAGAGCCAAACCCAGGACACCATTATACGTCCACTTGTAACTTTAACTATCTTGGACATTCATGACTGGTTATTCAAGGCCTTATACCTCATCTGCCGTCAATTGGCAAATGATTCTTCAGTTCCACCCGTATTGCCAGATCGTACTGATTTGGAGATTGTCGGTAGCTTGAGAAGAAGGGATTGGGCAATGGCAGTGCGGATTAAAGTATCCACCCATCTCCACTTGGCTTGCTTTTAGGGCAAGGAATAAGCACCCGGAGGGGCATCGTGAGTTCCTTTCATAACCTCGGAACTGGATTCGCTGCAGATTCTTCTGTCCTGCAGATACAGTTACCCCCACAACCCCGTATTCAACTCCCGCTGTACTTGGACAAAAGGAGCTCAGAACAGAAGCGGACATATGCGCAAACCCCTCTAGGTTCAGACACCCTTACCGACACAGTCCTGGAAGATTGATGTGTCGTGAAGATTCTAAATCAACGTCTCAACAGTTGAAAGAGATGGCGGCACCAGACCTTCTGAGGAGTTAGGGGGCTGCAGTTTCTGGTAACATTCAGGGTCACTTTAGCCGATGCAGAAGTACTGCAACGATTAATCCCAGGGTAATCTGAGTTGCAAGGGCCGCCTACAAGATGGCATGCAGGCAGGCGACGATCCGTTGGGCTCTTTCTCCTTGAGTCAAGAGGACTGGGGGTTCTTACGGCGTCCAAGAAGGCTGGCGCATCGAAGGGCTGCACCGGAAATTCTCTCACGTCTGAGAAATAAAACGTTTTCTCAGGATTTACTGTGACATCAGCTGCAGAGGGCAGCCCGTACCATGTAGTACTTTTTGGAAACTTTGTCAGATACTGACCGACCTGCGTGAGCAAAATCCTGAAAAAATTAAAGAGAACGAGATTGCAGCTAATAAGGAAAAATTCCCCATCGACATCTCCGGTCAGAATTGTTTGATCACTGTCCTTACATGCTACAGAGATTTTGGTGATGTCAAGGCGGTAGCGCCAGCAACTCTTACAAGGCACTAAAGAATCCGGCTCACTCAGCATCGTTTGTGATATGTCAGTTCTCAATCACGCTCACCCACACCATGGTCGCGGGAATTTGTGTGTAAGATAAGGCTGCTATTGTGCTTACACGTCAACTTTATCTTCTTGATAGACTGATTTTCAATGCGCGCCGAGCCCAACATGAGGTGGTGTCGGGTCATGATTCGGAGCTGCAACTTTCAGGACAAATTGGTATGGTCCAATGGTAGTCCAGCCGACTCGCCCCGAATCTGACCATTTAAACTGCAACAATGGTCCCACCAATTATAGCACCCTTCGCCCGCTGTGGATGAGAGCGTTGTCCACTGAGAGGTGTTGTATGCCCTGTAAACATGTTGAATTGCCCCTCAATCCCCCATTCGAAAAGCCCAAAATGACAGCGAATGCACAGACCGGCTCACCTCCCCCACCATAGTGGGCAAGGCACCTTGTCTGGCCTGCCCAAAGTGCTTGTCCGCCAGGAAAAAAGGTCTGGCACGAACCAGGGAGCTTCTTGGCAGCCCTCCACCCTTTGATGTTCCCCTCCACAATTCAACTTCGTCATGCCCACTTGTGTGGTCCAAGGCTTGCTCCGGCCACAGCCCATTTAAACAAAAACGACTCGAGCCCCCCTCCCCCGACTGACAACATGGCTTCCGGCTTTGATGAGGAGGAGCTCCATATCAGCCTCTCACCCTCCCAGATCCGTCGACGCTCCCAGCAGCACGGTGCTGCTGCCGATACCGCTGCCGCCGGCCGTCACGACCACCTTCAACCACCCGACGCCGTCAACATGGCTCCTCCCGCCGACACGACCGTCCCGCTGCGGGACAAAATCAAGACGGAGCAGCGTATCGGCGCGTACAAGGTTATCAAAACCCTTGGCGAGGGTTCATTCGGAAAGGTGAAGCTGGCAATCCATAATGGCACCGGCCAGCAGGTCGCCCTCAAGATTATCGCCAGGAAAAAGCTCATCAGCAGAGACATGGCTGGCCGCGTAGAACGCGAGATCGAATATTTACAACTCTTGCGACACCCTCACATCATCAAGTTGTGCGTCACATATCCACCCAACAAGTTTGATCACCGGAACCCCCTTCTAACTCGCAGGACTCAGGTACACCGTTATCAAGACGCCTAATGAAATTATCATGGTCCTCGAATACGCCGGCGGTGAACTCTTCGACTACATCGTGCAGAACGGACGAATGAAGGAACCCGAGGCCCGCAGATTCTTCCAACAGATGCTTTGTGCCGTCGAGTACTGTCACAGACATAAGATTGTGCACCGAGATTTGAAACCCGAGAACCTCCTGCTGGATGATAACCTCAACGTCAAGATTGCCGATTTTGGTCTAAGTAACATTATGACGGACGGAAACTTCCTTAAAACGAGTTGCGGAAGCCCAAACTACGCGGCCCCTGAAGTCATCGGTGGAAAGCTCTACGCTGGCCCTGAGGTAGATGTTTGGAGTTGCGGCGTGATCCTCTATGTTCTACTTGTGGGGAGGCTACCGTTTGACGATGAGCACATCCCCAGCCTATTCGCAAAGATTGCTCGCGGCACCTACAGTATACCGCAATGGATGAATGCCGGCGCAGCGAATCTCATTAAGAAGATGCTTGTTGTGAACCCTGTGCAACGTGCCACGATTGAGGATATCCGACAAGACCCGTGGTTCATGACAGACCTACCGCCATACTTGGCACCACCTGTCGAGGAGTTCTACAACACGGGCGTAGACCCTAACAAGGCCATCGAGAAGAGCGACATAGCCCCTAACGCCCCTCCCAAGGTTCAAGAGAAGCTACACAACGAGGTTACGGAGAAGATCAGTAAGACGATGGGCTACGGAAAACAGGACGTTGAGGAGGCCTTGCAAGCGGCGGAGCCATCAGCGATCAAGGATGCTTACATGATCGTTCGTGAGAACAAGCTCATGCAAGTAAATGGTAAGTCATGGTTATCGCGCGATGCGTATCCTATACTAATTTTATCAACAGAGGCTATGGCATCACTCTCGGTCGATCAGGACTCAAATAGCCCCCTTCCAAGTGCATCATCTGCAAGATCAGGTGTATCTGCCGCCAGCACACAGCGTCCCTACATTAGCAAGATTGGTATTCTACCAAGCAGTTTGCCGACTTACCACAAGGAGTACGTGGAGCGCGAAAAGGCAGGCATCGAGGATCATCCAACCCCTACGATCGTAGTTGATGAGCCGTCATCGGCACGTACAGATGCTGAGAGGGAGGAGACTGCCCGACACTTGAAACCTCACTCCCGCAGCCAGGTTCGCCTCGATGATTCCAAATCGCGGCCACAGGGCATGACACCAGTGACCACGGCCAAGAAAACAAAACCAGTCAGGTGGCAGTTTGGCATCCGGTCACGTAACGCGCCGTGGGAGGCCCTTCTCTGTATCCATAAAGCCCTCAACAAGCTGGGAGCAACGTACGTGCCAGATGAAGACTATGAAAAAATGCACGGCACGGAGACAGATCAGCCCAGTAACGATGGTAGCTTTGTCGATGACTATACCTCTCAAGGGGGTAACGACTCCACGACCAGTATCGACCCGCTGAAGAGGTACAAGCTTCCAGCCGACCCATGGCATATTAAAGTCCGGTGGGAAACACAGAGTAAGTCAGACGGCATTAAAGGCGTAGAAGTGTGTTACTAAGCATTTAATAGCCTTGCGCAAGAGTTCAGCGACTCCTACCGAGGGATCCAAGACTCCAGACAGCTACCATGTCGTTGGAGATGACAAGGTCAAGCGGGATTTTGTGGCTCTACACATGGACATACAAATATACGAGATGGAGCACGGCGTCTACCTTGTGGACTTCAAGTGTTCGGGATATGAGACAGCTGACAGAAGATTGCTTGAGGAGAAGGACGTTACAAGTCCATTCCCGTTCCTGGATATGGCAGCCAGGTTGATCATGCAGTTAGCCGAGGCGGACTAATGCCTCGTCATGGTTTTTTTTTTTTTTTCTTTTTTTTTCTTCGCTTGGGCGTCTCTTTCATCTCCGTCTTGGAAACGGAGGGCTTTGCAAATATTTCTAAAACGGCAGGCTCTGCCATAGACATGGGAAGGTAGACTGATCAACCGGCCAAATCACACAGCGTCAGGTCATGCAAACATGGGAGTTTGGGTGCGAGGGTGACGAATGGGCGTGAGAATTTTGAGTATATCCACCGCAAGGGGTGTATAGCCTCGCCAATGCCAACCAGGCTTGGATACCCGGTTGCGTATTGTGATCTCGATCGTTAAGTTGGAATCTACATGACAGCGGGTTGAGCTCAAACAGGGGTAATGGCATATCAGGCATGTTTTGTCAGCATTTTAGTGCGGTAGTCGTCAGACCAAGCAAGCATCATTATTGTTGAGCACGGAGAAATTCCGGCGATATTATGGCCATGCTCTTCGGGAAATAGCATGATCCCGATGCCTTTCGATCCGGCAAGTACGGAAGCAGTGCAGAGCCTCACAATATCAAGAAACCCCCAATGCACAAACCATAAAAGCTGGATTTTCGGGATGTAAAGGCGGCGAGACTCTTGACCTAAATGAGAAGCCATCTCCGTGGTGTGTGTAAGGGAAAGGGGACCGTCTCACCTACACGCACGAACACACACACGCCAACACTCTACCCCTCGGGCGTGTTATAGCAGAGCCTCATGGAAACAAGTGCCAAGAAACGAAGGAAGTATAATATTTGGACCCTCCTCGAGACCGAGACAGCGGATGAGGTCGAGGCTTCTGCTATAGCTCGAAGCAGAAGCCAACTCCGTCCATGCGGTATGACCGGGAAGTCAAAAGCAGACGCGCAGGGAGACAGGCGACGGCAATGGACCCTGAACGGGGTAGTGGCAGTTTCAACGAACCATGACGGGAGAGAAAGCCGTCTTTGCAGCTGAGTAACCATACGACCCCGGCACGGGCTCGGATTTTGGGACGTCTCGGAGTACATCAGACGATACACTCAAGGCTCGGGACGGAGTCCAGACGAGACGCGCAAAGTGGGAGAGGATTGATTACGTACTTGCCGCGCCCGGAGCAGAAGGCACGGTGGGTACCCCCGACCGTCCGGCATCCCCCCAGTGGGGTGGAGGAGGGCTCAGGCTTATCGGCACGGACAAGCGTCTCCGGAATAGCCCGGCTTACTGCCCGCCGTGTGGGTGAGATTGGGGCCCGTAACTCTTGTTAGTCCTTCTTCTACCCTCATCTGCCGAACTGAAAGTGTCAAACCCGGGATGTGGGATCTTGGCACAGCTTCAGCCAGTCTGGGGAAAATCACGGTCCTTGATCCGATATCTTGTGGTCAAGGCGATGCTTTAGTGCGATGCGTGGACAAGTCCTCGGGGGCCGCGTAGTGCGGTCGCAGGCCTCCTTTGGTCATCCATCTACTAGTATGTCGATCGATAAACTTTATCATTATTAGATTCAGGGGTTGTAGGAGAGTCTACACTTAAATTCTCATAACTTGCGACTTTGGAGTGCTAAAAATGAATAGAGGGCTCAGCCTGGGAACGGGAGAGACAACATCGGATGCTAGTTAGTCACCGAGGACCAGAACAGGGCCAAAGGGACTACCACACCGACCGCACGACGAAACATGCTCCTCTGGATACCAAGCATCTGGTTGGCCCCCCCTTTTTTTTCCCTTTTTTTTTTTCTTTTTTCCCCTTGGCCTTACTGTAACTTGCTCGCGCCTTCGCTCCTTTGTGTCAACTGCGAGGTTTAAGCCTTCCAAACTTTCTTTTCATCCTTTTTTTTATAGAATGCAAAAAAATATGTAAAAAGTTGTGTCATTTTCTTCCCCAAGTGAAATAGAGTTCTGGTTCATCCCACACCATCCACGCCTCGAAACGCATGACAATTACATGTGGCTGTGGCGGTGACGGGAAAGAAAGTTGACACTTTCGATAGTAGAGTTGTAAGCCGCGTGAATCACAATCTCCTCTTTTTCCTGTTTCTGTGTCACTTGGTCTTTCCCCGCCGCCCTCCTATTGTTTTGCCCGTGCAGTGCGTTGTCTGATTACCGATGGTTGGCTGCACCAAATCAATATAAATTCAGTTGACTTTCGGGGCTGAAATCGCTTTAGAGTTGCCCACGCCCTCTAAACCCCCCCCCCCCATTTAACCCCCTCACACCCTCTGGTCCCCTTTTTCCCCTCTTCTCCAAACTTCAACGGACTTTGTCCGTATTGCCTGCCGGATGATTGGACTCAGAGCAGGCCGGAGCGTGGGGTGTGTGTGCGTGTGTGGCGTGGCAGCCGAGGAAATCCAGGCTACCACCTCCCTCTCTCCAACCGCAGCAAGAAAAGAAGGTTTAGATGTTGGCAGGAGGAGATAATTTTTAGTCATAAGGTTCTGCGCACCGAATAGCGTACTAAATACCCATGATGCATATCGCTAGACGTATTAGTCACTGACGACATACGATCCGACACTCTCTGTTTTTTTTTTTTTTTTCCCAACTTGCAACGCAAAAGAAACCCTGTACGGATCGAAGACCGATGTCAGCATACCCTGGAAACCTTAGAAACCCTGGAAAGCATATTCGCACAGGCAACATAGACATGTCCTTCTTTCTTCCTTTTTCATCGGGCTTTTTCTTTTCTTTTTCTCTCTCATGGGACGGAATGATACACAGACAGATGCGAGACATAAGAGGGGCACCTTTAGTCTAACAAACCAGCAAACTTTAAAAGTGAGGTTTTGAAGGAGGGTAAAAAGTCAAAAGGAGAAGTAGAGTGAAGGGGAGGGGAAGAGAGAGGGAAAAAAAAAAAAAAAAAAAAAAAAAAAACCAGAAAGGGAACGAACGAAGAAGCTTTGACGGTTGCCGGTCGGACGGGACGAACATGGCATCGGCATATGTCATGCATCGCGACGCCCGCTCTGCCTTGCCAGAAACCACGCGTACAAAAAAAACCCTCCCCCAATCTTGAGCCGATAGACACATAGATGGGCGAACCCGAATCTGGATAGTTGGCACTTGCTGGTGTGCAAAGTCAAAAAGATGGCTTGCGTGCCGTGTCCTTGCTAGTGTCGTTTCCTTACTTCTTTGGAGCATATACTGCGAAACATTAGACCATCCACCGTCAACGCGGGCAAATTGAACTCTAAATTCACTTGTCTTGGTTCTCTCTCACTTTCTCTGTCTCTCTCTTTTTTTTTTTCCATTTTAATTTCATTTTTTGGTCGTTTTATTTTTTTTCTCGTTTAACCCCCTCATCAGAAGCAATGGTGAGGGAGCATGGGGGCGAGTCTAAAGCTCGTATCAAAGCAGCTGTATTTGGAAAGAGCCAGAGTAATAACAATGAGATGACACAAAATGGAAAATGGTGGCTTGAACTGTTCAATGTGTCAAAGTTTGTCGTGGTAGATGACACAATTCTCACTACCAAAAGACCATAACATACATGTCTTGGCCTAGACACACACACACACACACACACACACACGTTCGCTTGCTGCGTTGATGTACTTTGCATACGGATACGCGTACCCCATCTTGGTAAACGACAAAAGATTTAAGGTTTCTTGGCCCGTTCCCATCCCCACACCCCCCCCCTCCCTTGCCATCTGTTTCCAGCCACCAATCCAAAGCAAACACCCCCCCCCCCCCCCCCCCCCCCAAATCAATCACCTTGTCTCTTGACGCCCCCGTCTCATAGCACCAGCGGAGCGTCGCACTATCCAGCCGTCTTTGTGATCTACAACTTCTTATTCTAGTGTCTGCATCTTTTTGATTGCAATGACAGCACAGATACACTGGTAAATGCCTTTTGTCACTATTGCACGCCATCCTGTCCCTCCCCCCCCCTTTTTTTTTTCTTTTCCCCTCAACGGCTGAATTACATCGCATCCGCATCGCATCCGCATACCGCAGATCGTCACTAGCTTCACTGCAGCCTGCACAACTGACACCTAGATATGGTCACGCCCCCTTTCCTCATAGGTGGCTGACCGGCTGGCTGATATTATTACTACTGCGCCATGTCCTCACTGCAGCTGGACAAAAACCTAGACAATTTACATAGGCTTTGTGCACCACGCGAGCGCGATTCTCTTACGCTGCGATTGCTATCAATTAGAGGCTAAGAAGGCAGGGGGGAAGGTAGATGGGTGACATGGACGAGGTATATTGCCCCTCTCCCATCCTTCCAAGAGAGGCGTAAGTAGCTCTTGTGAGCCATGGTGGGTTAAAAAAAAAAAAAAGTAAAAAAAAAAAAAAGAGAGAGAAACCTCATTGCATGGCATGTGAACGTAAAAGGGGGAAGGGGGAAAGGCACATGGCCAACCCGGGCCTAAGGCAGCCTCCAGGTCCGCCTCAACTACTTGAGCCTTTGCCATTCAGCTTCGGCTCGAAGAAATCTTCTAGAAAACGATGCCCGTGGCAGCGCAACTGAGGGTAGTTGAAGGAAAGCGGGTAAGCTGCCTTGCGTGCCGTATCCACCACCGACACCGGCACCGACGCCGGCACCGACGCCGACACCGACACCAACAACATCCCACCACCTTCGCTTATTAAATTTCTTGGGGTCGGCCGCCCTATGTTCACCAGCCACATAGCCCTTGTTTTTTACCCTCTCGTCGGGCGGTGCTGGCTCTACCTTGCTCATTTGACGTCCCTGTGTCCCGTGCTGCTGCTGATAGGCTTCATTCATGTGCAGGCGATAGGATCTGTATATGAAATGCGAGTTGAGCGCCCCCTCCTCTCGCTCCCCGTATCCGAAGAACCGGGATTCGGTACGATGGATGGGCGTGTTCCTTTGCCCCCCTGACTCCGCTGGTCTCCGCGCTGTCGCGGTTCCCGTGCGCGCATGTGCGTGCGTGCCATGCGTCTCTCTAGGCCCCCAACCTGCACCCACAGCGGCTCTAAACCTTGTTTTCACGCTCCATGAAGGGGGGGTTCGTCCAGGCAGCCAGTCAGCAAGGATGACATGAAGGATCGAAGAAGTGAAGCGAGGGGGTGAAAGGAAGGGATCACCAAGCCCGTCTGCTCCTCCAATCACCACCCCCGGTTCGCCTCGTATGTCGCCAGATTTGGTATACAGAACGTTGGTCATTAAACCAAATAATGTGAATAACCAGAGGGCGTTCGAAGGTCTGCAGCTAGCAATTTATTAAAGCGTATGCGCCAAGGAAGGAGCGAGAAACGAAAAAAATGTAAGGGGAATAACAGAAAGCTTGGCATAATACGAGGTTGTCGTATTGAGCGAAGTGATGAAATGGGCAGACTGCCAAGGTCCTATTAACTTTCTCTGGCGGGACAGAAGCGAATCACACGAAATAAGCGCTTCGTCGCTGCAACGACGACAAAATCTTTCAGACAGAACACCTACAGCGGTACCGCAGACAGACGCCCATCACGTTCGTGATGTGACCGTCCCCGTTCCAGACCAGCGCGCGGCCGCTCCTAGCGTAGTATTGGCTGAAGATGGATCGTCGGGGCCGTGTCGATGACGGAGAAAAGGAGGACTAGAGATGGCGAAATGACATGTCCAAAGCTTATCTGCGACGGGTTGGATATCTGACTGCCATAGAGTTTTCTAAGGAGAAAGGAGGGGAGGCAAAAAAAAAAAAAAAACATACACAGGGAGGGTGTGGAGGCAACGGAATGTTAAGGTTTGTGTTTCTGCTCCCACCCTATCAACGATCGACGTGTGAGTGGTCCTTAGATCGCACCCCTTACTTTTTTTTCTCTATTTTTTGCTTTCTCCCCCGTCCAATTGTGGCTTGAAGACGGGAGGGAAGGATGGAGGGGGCTTTCTATCCTTCTTGTCAACCGACCAAGTGTGTGCGTGAATACAAGTATGCGATAGGTTGTGCTATGCCCAGCCTGCCGGGCTTCATGTGATATATGAGGGCTGACAACAACAACAATTTAAGCTTCACTAACGCGTTTGCTGATAGGAGGCTGGTGCGCCGTCAGTCTCCCTGAATGCTGCTGCTGAGTAACCCCGCGGGTTAGTCACTGTTATGGCAAGGCATAGTCTGTCTCGTTTTGAAAAGAGAGTGCCCCCTTGTGCCTTGGCTGGGATATGTCGATAAGGGATGATGAAGGGAATGATGGGATGGTACGGTGCCAGGTGGAGCAGAGTGTCCGGAAAGGGCTTTTTCTTCCAAGACCATGGAATTTGTGATTTGCCGTGGGAGGGACGTTTAGAGTTCGACAGTGCATCTCACCCTCAAGCATGCATACTACTATTATGTAGCAAAGGCCCTCAATCCCGTATTTTGCATGGTACGAGAAAATAAAAATATCGTGCCATGAGTGCTAGCTCAGCTGAGCCTTCATCGACTCAAACAGTAATAACTGTCACCATTCTGACCATCCAAAGGAGTAACATACGTTGGTGGTTTCGATGCCCATATTGGCGGTTCCCCTGATTCACCTGTGCTCTCTGCTTTGCCTCGCCACAACGTAACTCAACCTTAAGTGCGGATGCCCAGAGCTGAAGAGCTGTGCTATTAGATCGCTGCCTGCAGGGAATAAGAGCGAGAGGTAATGAGGAGGCGCGCCGTAAAGCTTAGTGTTCGAGGAAGGGATCCATGTAGCATCGCGGTTGTGCTAGCGCCTTCTTTTTTTGTCCTTTTTTTTTTTTTTCTTTTTCGGAACTCATCCCCTCTTACCCTGCTTTGCCCAGGGTGTGGCTCATGAACCTCGGTAGTAGACACCGAGAGTGTTTGATTGGTTGATCGACTGGCAGATGGGGCATTTATTTGACCGCTTGCTTCTAACCCCGAAAGTTTAAAAGCAAATCCCGATTCAACTGTCCTTCGCCAACGGCAGTCCAAGATGAGACACTCTCGCCAGGCTAAGGGTTCTAGGGCACTTGGACCATTCGATAGACCTTGTCCGTCTAAACCCCAGCGCCGTATTCAGCTGCTCGGTCCAACTCGGACTCCGATAATGTGTATTTGTCCACAGATATCTTGAAACTTGGGAACTCACACTTGCGATTCTGTGACAGGCCCCCCTTCCAACCAGTCTTAATTGCTCTCCACCAATGTGCTTCGGATGGTCACAACCCTCGGCTGTCCATCGGCAGACTTTTCTTCATCAGACAATACCGTGTTGTTGGTAGCTTTTACCTTGCGAGAGTATAGCTCCACGTCACGTGCCTCGTCTCGGAGACCACCACTGAACTGAAAGACCTGGCGGGTTGTGCCACTCGCTGAACTACTCTTCATGTCTGCCGGCATGTTGAACGAAGCGGTGCCATTACGGAACGTTGAGAGTTTGGATACCTTGTACTGGCCCTGTTCCCCCTGTCTGGTGCCGTTTGGGTTGTTGTAAACTTCAAGCCCAGTTGGGTAAACGCCAGCGCCTTCGACCTCTAGCTTCAACTCTTGATATAGTGTTGCTTCGAGTGTCAAGTCACCGGCTGCTGTCATATTTGAGGTTTGATCAACAATTAGTGGGAAAGAGTATGTCGTGCGATATGATCCTTGCCCACTAAGCTCGTCAGTTCCGGTGATTATGAAGTTATTGAATCCATTGCGACCAAACTCGGTCACAGTTGCCTGGTTGCTGTACGACAGCTTCTGACTCCAAACAGGCTTCTGGGTTCCCTTCTTAGAGACAACTTCACCAGTGACTGAGATCGAACGCGTCACCTCCAAATTAAATGCAACACTCTCGTTTGCACCGGTCGAGTTTTGTTTCAGAACATGACCCGTCAACTTAATGTCGGGGTCGGGAATGTCGACAGTAGGCGGGTTTCCGGTTGTAACGGATCCTTCCTCGTCAAGCCACAAAAAGACCTTGCCCGAGACCACCCAGAAATTACCGACGGTTGTGTTCAAGACAACCCGGTCCTGCTGATCTGCGAGACCAGCAATCTTGATTTTGAACGTGTGCTCCTTACCGTCGCTCAGAACCGGGAGCCAGGGAGAAATATCAATTTCATGCTCTCGTAAATCGAACGCGTCAAGCCCGACAATGGGCCGATGAAAGCTGGGCACGACTCCTCCAGTGAAAATGACAGGGAATGGCCACTGCACGCCTGCGAGCTTGTCGTCGATGAGGACCTGGACCTCACGCCAGGGGCTCCCGGCAGGGGCCATGCCAATGGTGGCATTGAAAGCTGCGGCATCGCTTTGGAGTAAATTGCTCCACCAGAATTCCTCGGTTCCTTGGCCATTGGCCGAGACGGAGAAGACTGCTCGATTGGCATTACGCGGAAATTTGACGGTACTCACGGCTTCACGCTCTGGCACTTGCCAGGCACTGCCGGTGTTGGATGAGGCGTTCCTCGATGAGATGGGGATGATGAGGTCAGCAGGTGGCGCATTGTCTGTCACCGCATCGCTTTTGAAGAAGGTTGCGGTCAAGGTGCAATTGAATGGCCCCGTATATCTGTCGTCTTGGCGGCGTTAGCCGTTTTGGCCCCCACCCCAAGATCGCCGATACCAAAAAGGGAAACAGATGCTCAATACATACCGATGAGGTTGGGGAGGTCGAAAATGATCTTTTGAGGAGACTTCCATAGGCTAAGGTATGGGGTCATGTCCTTCCAATAGGTCCAGATGATTCCGGGCGGCAGCCTAGGCTCCGCAGTGGAGGTCCTCCACACCTCCGTGTCGCCGAAATACAACAGGGCCAGTCGGTCAAGTTGACGGCCTGCAGAAGTGGCAGTAAAGTTTACAATGACGCGGTTGAAATCACAGCCAGGAGGCGTGTAGTCGCCTATCAGAACCAAGTCAGGACATCTATTTCCGGTTTCCCCACAACACGCAACACCGGTGCCGGTTGAGCCCCGTCGCCGTGGTATTGCGACAAGACGAGACTTGACTTACCGACGAAAGGCTTGCCAAAGCTGTTGCCAAACGAGTGCTCCATCAACCGCACCGTACATGAGCCCTTGGGATCAGACTGCGATTTCCCCTGGTCATCGCTGCGGCCCAGTTCCTGGTAGACGGGACCTTTGGGACCCAGGACTGGCTGGGCGATCTGAAAGCAGTCAAGTGGCCGCTGGCTCCGAGCAGCGTCGTCTCCTTCGAGAAGAGGGCCTATTAGCGGCGGGGTGTCGGCAATGACCCCCTGGTGACGGATGGCATAGTCCGTCAAAGCAACCTCGGGAAGTAGATTACGTGAAGCCACGTAGCCCGAATTTAGAAGGAGGACAAAGAGAGACAAGGCAAGCGCCCGAAAGAGCGGCCAAGAGACCATCGCGGGCCTCTGGACTATGGGCGCGACGCCTCAGTCTGCAGCCTTAAGGCCTGTCTGCCCTATGTCTCGGTCGTGTGTCTGGTGGCTGGCGTCAGAAACCGCGTGACGAAAGAGGCAGGCCAAAAAAGAAAAGAAAGGTGTGGGCAAAACGGCGCATGTAGCAAAGCCACGGGATCCCAGACGGACGGTCAGGAATGGGCGTAGAAGGATTCAGAACCCGGCTGGCGCCACCAAGGCAATCAATTCAAGCAAGCGCCAGTGCAGGTTAGTTGAACGAGGATGGAGATGGGAAACTAGGCTAGCAGCTACTAGTAAGGCAGGCGGCGCCATGCGCCTAAGGAGGGGGAGTGGAGGGGCGCGGACAGTCGGTCAACGCGAGGAGGGGGATACAAGACGTGGATCTGTGTCTACTGGAAGTATAACGGCGTGGGCGGCGGCGGGCAAGGGAGCGGGGAGGCGGAAGCCGAACCACAATAGGCCTGGTTCAGGTCTGCCTTACCTGCTTGGTGGGAGTATGATACTGGTTTGAAAACAGTCTGTTGAGCCGTTTGTTGACCTCGATGCCTTACCGTACTTAGGTAACGTTAGAGTCCGTCAGCCCGCGCGGTCGAGGTAAACGCCGCAAAATCTCCAACAAGACGGACTTGGTGAGCCAAACCACGCCGTCTAAAGGTTAAAAAAAAAAAAATTGTATTATAAAAATATAAAGGTATGAAGAGAGAAGAATGCAAGTGACGCACGACTAGAGAGCAGAGACGTGCTATGATGATGACGGACTAGGTTGAGTGAGGGAGCGGTGACGGAGTCATTTGGATCAGCCCGAAATTTCTTGTGTCAGGCGGCTGGGAAGTGAGAGGATGAGCGGAGCTGGTTGAAGTAAAATGGAAGGTAATCTCTGCTGTATCCGGAGGAAGCGGCACTAGGGCGGCGAGCTAAAACATCAGGTAGAGGGAGATATTGAGTTATGGTTTTGACGAGGCTGTTTCGTGGGGTCAACCGGCTGGCAAAGGAAGATCACTAAGAATGTAAGAATGAAAACGATTTCACTCTGAGTGTTCAGTGGAAAGTGAAAATGGAAACAGTCAGAAAGCCAAATTGATGGTATGGGCCCCCTATTGCCCCCTTCCTGCCCAGCTCTAGCTCTGGCTCCCTTCCTCAGTGTCCCTTCCGTAGTCATGCCCGCATCGTTCTTGTTCCGAGGAGCAAAACCATGCGCGCGTGTGTGCTTGTACTAGTATGTGCAGGAAGGAAACAGCCATCCTCAAACAAGTGCAGTGGCTCTTCTGCGACAGGACTGCATCTCTTACAGGTGGTCCCTTGCCTGCCTTTCCTTTTCGGTGACTAAAATGGCAAGTTGCGCACCTGCCATTCTATGCAAACGAGTAGGCAAACAAAACACAGAACAACCTTAAACAGCTCCACGGTGGAGGGTGCCAATTTGAGATCCAAGCTGGAATTATCTTGTCATTCCCTCGGTCTCTCCCTCTCCCCTTTCCTGGCCTCTCCTATCTCTTCTTGTCATTCGGCAGAGACGGGAGACAGGGCAAGGGAATCGGAAGGAAAGGCCCTTTGTTCTTGTGACAATATAATTCGATACACACTTGACTGACTGGACGCTGAAAAGAAAAAAATGGCGAGGAGCAGTGAGGCGGAATTCAAAAAACCCAAATTCGTTCTTCTTGTTCCAATGCTTTCGCTATCTGCCAGGATGCTACATGCAGAGGGGGTGTCTGTGAATATGATATGCCAGGAATGTACAGTGAACCAACTGCCGCGCAAAGATGTGTGTATACAGTGGTGACATGCAATTGAATACGAAAAATGATGCCATTACCATAAGCCCCCTAACCAGCCTAAAAAGCAAACTCGAAAACGTGTGATGATCACACTTTGATCCTTCTCCCTTCCGTCGATCGCTCACGATAATTCCGGCCGCAACAGCAAAGTCTGTAAATGGTTCCTTCCCTTTCCGATAATAATCCCCAAAGTTAAAATTGACACGACTGAACCAATCCATATACATATTGACCCGACTGGGCCGCGCGCGCTCCAGAGATTCTCCCAAGACATGGACTACACAACATTTGAGTCCACACATGACACGCTTGGGTTCCCTTCCCAAAACCCACAGCAAAGACTGAAGTGATACCATCGATTGTGCTGTGTCATGATAGTGTCTTAGTGCCTTTTTTTTTTTTTTTTTTTTGCGTAGGCGCCTCGAGCGCTCGCCAAGTCTCACTTGGAAAAAGGGGGGGAAGAGGGAGGGGTGCAAAGGGGGCACACGGTCGCGAGGAAAGTGGGAGATTTGGATTATGCCGCTGGTGGCTTGCAGGCTTGTCGGCAACCAGTAATCCGAAACCAACAGTCGTCCCGAACCCCAAGACACCGCGTCGTGGTCGTCCAAACCTCGAGCCGAAGCAACTGACAATGCCACTGCCACTCGCAAGCCTAAGCATACGTCAAGGCAAGTATGTGTGAGTGGCACACAAAGTGTCATCGACGTGCGAGACCCGATTTATTTTCGCCCATTCGACAATCCTCCATAACTCGTTCACAGTGAATTTGCCCACCGTATCTTTATCTTGTGCGACATTGTCCATATCCCCCCACTTGACCTCTCCGGCAGCTCATCTAGACTATGCCTAGAGAGTTGGGGACCAAATTTGTCGAGGTGCATACTGCAGACGTGCCGCCCACATATTCCCAAACACCAGGATGCACAAGCGATGAGAGTAGCAGAAGCAGGCTATAGCACACAGCTGGTCGAGTCAACGTCGTCCAGTGACCTGCCGGAGGCGTTGCACGGACAGACCCAAAGGATCATCCGCGTCGTCCAAGTTGCCTGCCGGAGACTTTCCTCTCTTCTCTCCCCGGCGCATGCAGGCTGCGCTGTGACGTCCGCCGTGCTGCACTTGTAGGGGCGGCCCAAAGGTCACCGAGGAGCAAACCGTCTGCAAGACGGTGCATGGTGAGGGGAGGGGAGGGGCTCTTTTTTGGAGATTAAGCGCTTGGACGCAGCCCCCACTTTTCTGCCCCAGAACAGGGGTTTTGGTCTGATAAGTGGATGCTTGTCGGGTATTAGAACGGATATATGCGTATGGTGGTGGGTATGCAGGTGGGCTGATAAGATTATGGGACGGATAAGGGGACCGAGGCGCGAGTGAGCCAAGACCGGGTCCTGGATAGTCGGGTAACGCTGACAGGCGGGCGGAATAGCGGAATGCTGCAAACCCAGGCCCGAAGGAACGAATGCTTGTTCGATGGCAAGCAGGTTTCCCCAAGGTGCGGGCGCCATGCTCCGCCATGGCCGTTGCTGGCTGGCTAGCAGGACATCTGCCAATGACCCGCATCAAAACGGGGAAGATGGTTCTGCCTCCGAAAATCCGTGGCGACCAGAATCTCTGGGTCGTCCAACTATGTTCGTGCTTGGAGGTTTGGTGTGATGCGACGCCTCCCGATAGAAGAGAGAAAGGGATACCACTGCTGGAACTGAGGCGTTGTTGCTTCGGGGGTGACAGGCTTGCCGGCCCATTCATTAAACCCATCCCGAACGCCTTAACCCTTCATGGCAAGATTTTTTTTGTTTGGAGTGCGCCAGATGATGCGCATTGTGGTGATTGCTGAGAGAAGGCTGTGTTGCGCTTTTTCAGCAAAATCTTGGACTAGGCAGTTCAAGCGCGCGCGTTGTCCCAATAGCGCTTGCGCGCAGCCATGGCAATCTTGTTGCCAGTGAAGCGGTGTTGAAAGTAGTTGAAGACGGCAAACTCGTCCCGGCTCAACACATAAGAGTCTGGCTGTGCTGCCACCTTGGCCCAGATCTGGCTGATAGCGCTCTCCAGGATGCTGCTAACAGTCGGGTCTGATGCGCCGTCAGGGCTCTCTCGAGCGATCTCGAGAGCCTGGGCGACGCTGGCCGAGTCCTTGACTGATGTTGTGGTTGATGCCGTGGAGTTGCCGGCCTGGTGCAGGCTGTGACCCATACTGCTGGCGAGGGTGGTGAGGAAGGGCAAGTCGGTAGTAGAGCGGCTCGGGGAGGACAACGGTCTGAAGGGGAGGTAGAGGGACTGGTGCTGGTGGTCTCCCTGAGGTGTGATGGACAGCATCGTTGAGTGGGAAGACGGAATGATGTATGTATATATAGATGGCGAGTGTATGTTGATCTTTGAGACAAGAGGCGAATGATACTGGGACTTGAGAGAGAGAGAGAGATAGAAAGAAGGCTGGGGATGAGAGATGATATATAATATGGTCTGGTCCGATCAGGACTAGGTAATCGGTGGAGAGAGGGGGGGCAGCAACTTTTAATGAGTAGGAACCAGATGGGAGTCTCCAATAAGATGTGCACAGTTGTTTGACGTTGTGCCTTGGCTTGCGTTGCCTATTACAGGGTATAGCTGGAGTTGAGCTTTGCTGTCGGGATTGATGTGTGGTACAAGTATATCGATCCAGAAGAAGCATGTCGTCAACCCCGGATTAGACGGTTCTCTTATAGGGAACTGGGCTTGCCGCAGCGGATGAGGGAGCGGATGCGCGCAGGTCAGGTCGGGCCAGGTACGGGTACAGAGTCAGGCATGGGTTGTAAAGTGTAATCGTCCGTATTGGGGGTACGTAGCATGAGGGTGTGTGTGGGTTTCTGAGAAGTTAGTTTAGAAGGGGGGTGAAAGAAAATGTAGTGGAGTGAGAAGAGAGAAAGTGACAAGCGTGAGGGTGTGTGTAGGTGTGAGGCAGTCGGAAGGGGTGCGAACAGAGTCGAGCTCCTCGGAGCTAGAGCTGGGAGCTGAGTCTGGGGGGGGAAAGGGGGGGTGTAAAAAGAAAGGGAGTGTGAAATGGAGTTGGGGTTGGGTGTGGCCTTGAGGTGCGGCGCGGGAGGTGTGCGTGGGTATGTGTGTAAGTCATCAGTCAGTAGTGAGTTTCTGTAGGGTAAGGGAAGGGAAGGTGGTCAGTTCCAGTTCCAGCCCAGTCCAATCCAAGTCGTGGGTTGTGGCACCAGCAAAACAAGACGAGGAAACAGATGGGCGGGTCCTTCTTGGACAGTCGACAGTTGACTTGGATTCGCAACAGTAATGCGACCTGCATCCCGTCATCAACTGGGACTGGGACTGACGGGAGGGGGGCCAGCTTCTCCATCTCCGTTGTGTGCAGGCATCCAGCCGCCATGCAAAGTGAATAGCGTGGCGGTAGTCATTAGACTCGTACTGAGGCTTGGCAGCGACAGGACAGGCCGGGTAGACTGCGGGAAGAAGCCCTGGTGAAGAAGAAGGAGGGGGGGGGGGGCGTCGACAAAGTGAAAAAAGAAAAAGAAAAAAAAGCAGATTACATGGGTAACTAGGAACTGAGGTGCGTTGTGGGGAGGTAGCGTGGATGGACGAGAGATCCCAACCCACAGGGAGGGAGTCGAGTGGATGTGATGAGGTGGACGGATCATGAACTTGGAGATGGGAGGGTGTGCATCTTTGAAAGGGGAACGGGGTTCTAGGAGGATGAAGGACAGGGGCAAAATGGAAAGTTAGGGGTGGAAGGGTGTGTGAAGAGTAAAGTGAGTGTAGATTGGATGTGAGAAAGTGGTTCACCAAGTGAAAGTGTAAAGAGCCCAGTAAGCGGCGACAAGCAGTACAACGAACGACCCAACGGCAATATGGCCCGGTGGGAGTGTTTGATTGATCGACTGGCTGGCGAACGGGATGAGTATGATGATACAACTAAACTCTAAGGCAGAAGAGTCCTTGTCTCTACATAGTACTACGCGGATTGTGTCTCCAGTCAAGTCACGAGTTGAAATCGTCTCGTAGCAGAGTTCCGTAAACTCGCATCCATTCGTCAACCGTCAAAACCGTAATCAGCCAGAAGGGCCATGCCGCCTGAGCCCCCCATGCGAGCTTACTGGCTCACGATGCAGTTAGTTTGTCACCAATATCACGCCTTGCCTGCCGCGAATCTATTCTAGTGTTCGGGTCTATCTAGCCTTTCCAAGGAGGGGGGCTTTTCAAGGATCTGGCATGAATGCTGCGTTGTAGGTTCTCGCCCATGGCTATGTTTTCCAACCCGGTCACCTACCCGGACATGCCTGACTTATGGCGAGAAATAACAAAACTTGCAAAAGAAGAAAAATACAAAAAGAAGTGGAATGGCGATGTCATCTGTCCGCAGCCGAAGTAATGTCCGGATACACGAAGGATGGATGCGAATCTTATTCACCTATCATGAGCTAGGTTAGGATGGAACAGCAATAGTAGGAAGAAAGGCATGTGTGGCTCCACATGGCCCAAAGTCTCTTTGGCACAGCCAGAACGGAGGTTTTTCCGGTTTTGTCAAAGTTGTTTGGGAATGCAATCGCCTGTTGTGCGAATGCAATTCAAGGTTCCCAATTCTTCACTCATATTGCGTGTCTGACGGAGCGTGGGTCGCGGGTTATTTGTGCTATGCTCATAGTTGAGACGAAGACAAGCAGAGTGTTGAGCGTGCATGTATGATGTATTCGTGCGTTGACTCTGTGTGTGTGTGTGTGTGTGTGTGTGTCAAACCTACCTGGCCCCAGCTGCGCCTTGGAGAGTCTCAACGGAGTGGCGAACAGACACGGTAGGAAACGGATTTAACTACAGCAATGTGGCCGAACAGTACAGCTGAACAAGGAAGCGAGAAAATGAAGGTGGGAAAAAAAAAAAAAAAAAAGGTTCACAGAGATGGTCTCATGGCCGTGAGGCAGTCCTTGAAGGGGCTGGCAGACTACGGGTATCCCGAAGCCAAACTCTTGCCTTGCGGAACCGGCAAACCGGAGAAAAATGGCCGGTAGAGACGGCACGGGGGACACGAAGGAGAAAAGCGGGAGACGTTCACCAGTTGTCAGGCCTCCTCCACAGGACTAAGCTGCCCTGGAGAAGAGGTCTAGAAGCATGCTCTTGCCTGAGCCGACAGCAGTAGTAGGCAGTTGCACAGAGCGGGCAGAAAAGGGGCCAGAGTGTGGGCGTGCTATGGCATGACCACTAACCAGCAACGCCACAGAGTCAATAAGGCAGTTAGTATGCTATTGACAGGGACTTCCCAGTGGCCGGGTTCGGGGGTCCAGCGAGCAGAATGGCTGCCCAGTGGCTGCGACGACTGAAGAATGCTTGTGGTGCTATGGAGTAGTGTAATGTTTGAAAGCAGGGGGGCCGCTATGGGATGACGGGGACACAGAATACACAATACGGAGTAGCACTCACTCTGCAACCGCGCCTGTGCATGCGATTCCCGGCAGGAATCAATTTGTGGCTAATCACATTTAACCTCTAGCCGTAGGATTGGCCAATGGTCAAAAGCTTCGCTGTAGTCGTCGTCGTCGCCCGCCGAGGGATATATAGATTGTGTTACAACGAGGCCGCGAGGATATAGATTGTGTTACAGTAAGGCAAGGGCAGTGACAAGGAGCCAGGCCGGTGTAAGACACAAACAACAACTGAGCCACGGCAGCCAGCGTCGAGGGACTCGGGAGCCAACCAGGACACGTCCTGAGCGAAGCTCATTCAGCTGTAAATGACCAGGGCAGGCAGTATGAGAGGGGACGCAGAGTGGGGGGTGATTCCTTCAATACCTGGACGGTCTTACTTAGTCAAGCAAGTCTCCATTACCCAGATTGCAGTAGTCAGGAGCAAATGTGACAGCTGAAGGAACGAAACGTGCCCTCACGGTACATACTTTGTCTCTCACACACACGCCTGTCTCTATATCTCTGTCTCTCTCGTATTCTCTCTCGCATTCTCTCCTTTGGTACTCTCATTTTACCTTCCAAACCCTTTATGACAATGCCACAGTGGCTGATTTGTGCCACTACAATGGATGCGTGCATAGACGTTGCATCTCCCAATTAAAGTGCTCTACTACCTTAGCCGCCAGCACGTTGCTGCGGCCCTTGATTCGGTACTGTCATGGCGGCGCTGGGCGGTTAATTTGGAACTGACCCTGCTATTGCAACCTTATTCTTAGCCCTGCAAAAATTACTAAATTGATAGCATTCGCCATTTTGGCTCTGGCTCTGGCTCTGACTCTGACGCGACTCTGACTCTGGCTCTGCGTTTCTGGCCCTTTGACCTTGGCTTTGGCCTCTCACGAGGAGGTGGCGATGACCTATAACAACGAGATTAGAATAGACGCTTGGAAATATAGAATGCAACTTTCTTATTGCTCACGGGTATTATTGATGGAGCCAACTTACTTGCTGCCAACCTAACTTTGAAGCTATCCCATGCCATGTGACAACTCGTGTCCCTCCCCCGCCCTCTTTCGAAATATGTGCCATAGTGTGAAGGCTGAACACACAAGTCAAGCCATCGGGCGGCCGCCCACCTAACCTCCTCACCCCTCTTGGCTCCGCTCTCGCATCTTCATCCTCATGCGGCGACGCCCATTGACCCGTGGATCGGGAACTCACTTGCTTTGCCTTTTTTTTTTATCCCCCTCTCAACAACAAAGTCTGAGGAAAACGCCACTCACTCCGCTAGGTTGGTGCCGAGATGTCATGGGCACCACAGGGCGCCTTCGACAATCAAACAATCAATTAGGCTTGGCGGGGCTCTGCTTGGCCAGGCCCGGTATTTGCTGCCCTCGTTTGGGGCCAATTACTCACAACTTACACTACTCCGTACCAGAAACAGACTTCTCTTAGAATAGGTTACGACATGCCGTTCAACCTCCCAAGTAGAGTGCTTCTTGTCAAGGGGCTACGCAGCACACGCAAGTGCGCATGGCTACAAGTCTAAAGTGCGGATGCCTCTAGGCCAGGGGCTAGAATTGATCCATCTGTAAGCTACCTTTCTCACCATGCCCATGCCCATGCCCTTGTAAATGATCATGGTCCCTGCCTGTCTTGGCTTTGCTCTGCTCGACGTGGGATAAAACGAACCAACAGTGGAACAGGAACTGCATGCGCCGTATATAGACAGCAATGGGCGGTTTTTATTTTATTTTAATGAGACTTGCCGAGGTTGTCCCGACCCGAACCAAATGCCCCGTTGAGACTTTTGCTTGCCTCCCCTGCTTCTTCACATTTGTTGGTCCATTGCCAAACCTAACCTCGTACGCAGAGGATGCAGGACAATATCTTGCAATTTGGAGTCGTCTGCTCCTCAAA